TGAGGATAATAACGGGAAGCTGTAAAAAATAACAAAAATATGAATAAAAGATGGATTAAAAGCAGGAATTAATCGAAAATATGATTTAAAAAAGTAATGGCTTAAAATACGTCAGTGGGTCGACAGGAGAAGAAATAAAATAGGCCGTTAGTCATACTGGAACTAAATTAAAATTGTTATTATAATAAATAAATTATTGTCAATAATTAAAATAAGATATCATAAATTGGAATAATTAAACAAGGTCTAAAAAATATTGATTGGCAGTCAAATCAATCAAAATTAAAAAATATCAATCAATCAGATATAATATTTTTTTTATAGCCTACTAGCATTGCCCGCGGCTCCGCCCGCGTTCAGATGACCAAAAACTAAATTCTTAGGTGTTACATATTAGTATACTCTTACATTGCAGTTTTTGTATTTTTCCTCAGAAATAAGATATTTTCCCGCGGTAAAAAGTATCCTAGGATCGCGCGCTACATCGCCCGGTTTATATAGCTTGAGCAGGCGGTCGAGCGATGCGGGGCAGAGGGGATGGACTCGCCGTAGGCATCTCAATGCTCGCCAAGCATTAAAAATGTTTCGCTACTAATTACTTCTAACAACGATATCTCAAAAACTATTCATCTGATTGATTTAGTGTAAAGAGCAATTTTAATCTGCATTAAATGACTAAGCTAACTAAAATATTCATTTGGATAAGGATTAATACCGAACTAAAGAAAATAACTTTGAAAATAACGTAATGTTTTTAATTAAAAATGTTAACATAAAAGTGGTTATTGTAAGTCAACCGTAAGAGATAGAGATATGCTATCGCGGACTTTTTTGTAGCATTTTTATAGATTTTGAATTCTCTAGTACATTACTTAACTGTATCTTTGCTAGTTTACGCGGCGTTCGCGTGGAAAGTTCCCATTTGGCGAGATTTTTTGCGACCTCTTCAACATTTGTCGCCGTATTTCAGCTAATTTACATAAAAGCATAATAAATTATATACCTAAACCTTCCTCAAGAATTACTCTTTCTATTGTTGAAAACCGTATAAAAATCCGTTCAGTAGTTTTCGAGTTTATCGCGTACAGACAGACAGGAGGACAGACAGGAGGACAGAAAGACGCGGCCGGGGGACTTATTTTTATAATAAGTATAGATAGGTAGGTAAACTGTAGATGTAGGAACATACCTACAGTTTAAGTTGCAGTCATCCCAAAGATGCATACAACGTCAAACATGCAAAACCCCACCATTTTTAACATCGATATTAAAAAAAATACATACAGATGAAATAAAACCTCCTTGATTTTTTCTTAAAAAAGTATAAGTAATTTTACATGTTTATATTTTTGTTCAAAGGAATGCTAATCTAAAACTTTATTATATGAAGCATTTGTTGTTCACTTATACTTTATGTATGGTCTCATTATGTCAATTGTAAAATTTTTATGACTCTGCAAACCTAGCGCAGCGGTCAGGGTCGCCTGCATCGCGTCACACTGACGCGTTAGGATGGACTTATAACCTCTTTATTTAAAATTGAGCTAGTAAAAATACGAGTAATACTAATACGAGTATTTTAAAAATAAATCGACTTTATACTATAATTTGTAAAAATACATACTACAATTTTAGTTTATTTTTTTCTTTATTTAAATAACTAGCGACTCACGGTTCGTCCCTAGCTTGCTTTCCAATAAAAACTTTCATCCCCATTTTCACGACCTTAAGGGATGGTTTCCGGGATAAAAAGTATCCTATGTCCGTTCCAGGGTCTCAAACTATCTATTCATTCATTTCATCTAAATCGGTTCAGTAGATCCAGATACTACCCCCTGCAACGTTACAAAATCACAAACTCACAATTTCTACTTCTTTATAATATTAGTAGGTATAGATGATAATTAAGCCCTTTATTTTCTAGTGAGCGCCTTCAATTAAGTAATATGAGGTGGGTTGGCCATTCAGTCCACCACGATGGTACTGACTTTATACTTTTTTTATGGCATGCAAGTTTTCGTAGAAATGTAAGTCAGAGAGTTAAATATTATATGATCTGTGGTTATAGTATTTTTTGTCCCGTTATGTACATTAAGTGGTTTTCATTCTCGAATTCCGAATTTTAGTCGACTACTGAGCATACTTCGTATTACAAAATGCTGGTGGGTGTAATGGTAACTTTATACCGTATAAAAATATTAATGTAGGTACTTTTTCTTTGGTTGTTGGAAATACTGAAACTATGAAACAACAATTTAAATAAGTTACTTTTTACCAAAGCAAGCGGAGCCATGGGATCAAACGAAGTTTAAATAAGTATAATAGAAAATGTCTACTTATATTCACTTCTCGACAACTTTGTGCACTCTCAAGTCTCAGGTGGTCTCGTGAGACTACTCCGGAAACGTCGAAAAAGCACTAAAAGTGCTCCTGGATATATATCCCTAAGTTTTGAGATTTGAATATTTCATATATATACGAGCTAAGTAAAACAAAGGACTTATAGTAAAAGTTAGGGTTAATCTAATAATAAGCTAAAGGACACTATACTATGGAGCCAGGAGTTGTTTAACACCATTATTCCACTTTTATATAAGTAAATGTAAGTAGCTTTAATAGCCTATTTCAAATAGTCATTATTATTGATACAGAGGCCGAATTTATAGGTTTTAGAATTTTTGTCGGCCTGTCTGTCTGTCTGGGAAAAGATCACGAGAAAACCACTGGATAGATTTTGATGAAATTTGGTATGATGATAGCTGGTTACCCGGGTCAATATATAGGATACCTATTACTACGGGACAAATCTATACAAACCGGTAAAACTTTCCAGTCTCATATATTTTTGTGTATGAGTATTATTGTAATAATAATGTGAATGAATTACATTTACGGTGTAACGGCTCAAAGGATCTCGGTTTATATTCTGAATACACAATGCTATTTTTATCGATGTACCTTCTACGAGCGAAGTCGTGGGCAAAAGCTAGGGCTCATGAAATAAAAGTAACATTCATAATGCATTTTATCTCAGGTAACCCAGTAACAACTAACGAGGCCTGGAGCCTAGGGACCGGGTAACGAGTGGCCATTAGATATCACAGCGTGTTACGAGACACTCGCGTTATTTACACACTTTTACAGTTATTATTTAAGTTAATGAATAATATGCTTTGTGTAGCTGAATGTTTTGCTCTTCAGAATCTAAGCTTAGAGCTGGATATAGAAGTGTGCCCCGAGTCGTAATAAAGTAGATAAACTAGAGAATTATTATAAAAGGCTTTTTTGCTTCACCTTTTTTAGTATTCTAATTTCACGTAAATTTAAAAAAACTTTTTTAGCAAACATAACATCGAGAAATTTCTATCGCAGAGACACCACTTACCACTCTTATCCGGGTCTACTAAAATGTATAATTATTTTTTATTTTATTTTTTTGACTTTAGATGAAAATATAAAGCTTTCCTATAGATAAGTGCTACCTACGGGGTACGACCCATTTTGATTATTGCTTTCGCATCTTACCAAGACGCCTCTACTCGAACTCGACTTCCCTTTTTAGTGTGAACCTACGAATAAATAATTATTTATTTGTAGCAGAGAACACAAAAAAATCAGGGTTTTCTAAAAAAATCTGTTTACAATCTCATATGACTGATCTTTTAAAAGCAAGATTTCAATAAGTATAAAATGTTTTAGTATTCAATAAAATATTAATATAGCAAATAGCTTTATTATATGTATAATAAATAATGTTATTAAGATTCTACTTTAACAAAACATAATGTAAAAGTATCTAACTAACGATGCCGTCTGGAGCTCAGGAGACCGTATAACAAGTGATCATTATAATAAATGTACTTGACTAGGATATTATTTATACAGGCTTTTTCTCACTAAGTTAATACCTACATACTATTATATTACTTTACATATACTTTTTTCGTATCTTATCTTCTTTTTCTAGGCAGACACTTAGGACACTTAAGATACTTGGGACCCTTACCACACTAGGGACCCAAGACACTTTTATGAACAAAATAAGTACGCAAATCCTATCACTGTCGATGGAGTAATGGCGAGTTGGCTTCAGATTCTGATAGCAAAGTACCTACGTCTTCTATCTCATTTAGAAGACCAGTAATCATACAAAAAAACATATATCATACTAAATGGAAATCTAATCATCTACCTATATAATCCAGATAACTTTGTTTTCACAGGAAAGACTGAACTACACAATACCCATCTATATCAAAGAACTGGATTCACCGGTTATCATTCTTTTTATTTCTTTTTACGGGTGATCTATATCAATGATTGTAGAACACTCAAACTTGAAAGATATTCAAGACAACGTGAATAAGCCTATACATATAACCAAAGAAGAGATGGAGCAATTTATTGGTATAATAAATTTTTTTGACCCAATACCGGAACACCCACTCAAATAAAAATGAGAAAAGCTCCAACAAAGCGCCAAGTACTACCCTTGAATTCTGTAGGGACTGAGAATATAGGGTATTTGCCTGATTGCAGCGAATAAAACAATTACAGTCATAAAATAATTTTTATTTCACGCAGTAGATGGCTACATTATACATAGGTAAATAATTTATATTTATGACATATTTTCAATGGCAATTTCAGTTTTGATTTTTTTCATATGGTAAGTGGTGACTGACAACATTGTTAATGTTGACAGATAAACGTCCAATGTCCATTGGCGTCATATTATTTTTCTGAATTATTATGCCTATTTGTTTCTCTTTCATTTTGTAAACTTATATTTAAAAATAATTAATTTCCATAATGCAACATATTTGATAAACGTTTTTAATATAGTAGAAAGTGTTAAAATTTCCTCGGGGGACGACCTGAATTTAATAATGAAAGATGTCGCATTATGGATCCATGTACAACAGGACAAAACGAAAGTGAATAGTTGACAGTGTGTTATTTAGTGATATTTGAGTTTAGAATTATAATTAGTTTTTAAAATGGCGCAGACCGTAAGACGTGCCATCGAGGGCAAATACCCCTCATGTTATATACCAAATAGGATTATAGAGAGGAGAGCCAAAGCTAGGGCATTAAGGTAAACTAAAGCATTAATACACCGTTATATCGATCCAGTTTTTAAAACAACGTGTCAGAATTATTTCGAGTTTTTTTCAGGTCATTGCTGTGTAAAATGTCTGTCATTTTATTGTATACATGTTATTGACCTAAAACCTCTTTTATCAAATACGAAATTTTGCTTACTATTCAATATTATGGTTTTAGATATCGAAGATATATATTAAAATTTACAAAATATTGCAAAACTGCCAGATATTTTAGCTAGTATAAAAACCCTAAGTTATTTCATTATTATATTTATTGAGTTTTCTTTTTTTACATATGAAGGCTAGCTATATTTTTGCGTATAAAATTGAAATTGATATGACTTAAGATTAAATCATTGTTGTTAAAGTTAATATATCTTTAAATAATGAATAATGTTATAAATATAAAGAATATAGTAATATTGAATAACCCTGTTATTTAACAGGGTTATTCAATATTCTCAGCATGCTCTCAGAACCCAAGTAGTATTTACTTTTGTTTTGTTTGTGTATTTTATGTTTGTAATAATTTATAATGTATAATCTAGTTAGTGTAACTGGTACCGCCATTCTAATTGGATGTAAAATAAATAAATAGCATACATTACCATCCAAAAACAAAAAAGTTAACAAGAACGAATGACAACAATTATTACAAGTATTTTATACTTATTTGTTGTAGTGTATAATTATGAGTAGTAAAATTTAACAGTCAAAAAAGAAACAAACAGATGAAAAATAAAGATCCAGATCTCTACAAATCAATTTCTAACTAAATTATATATAAATATTTTTTGATTAATGTGTGTATGAAAGACACCTTAAAGTCAGAAGCCACTTTTTTTTGAATTTGTCTAACAGTCATCTTTTTATTTCATCATATCAAGTGAAAAGGCCGAACCTATCTTCTCCCTGCCCATTTCCCAATCAGTTGGGGTCAGCGCAGTACTGCTGATAGGATTTGACAAAAGTTTTACTACCGGTCACTTACCTGACATCAACCCTCCTTGGGAATGCTATTGTTTTATTTTTTTATAGATTTTTTACCAATACAAAACAAAAATTGTGACATTCTTTGTTTGTTGCCTGTACCCTTCAAATAGTGATGTTATACCGAGAAAGCTTAAACTTGCATGCCTAGCATTACTGAATCTCTAATCATTTCAGGTTAGAACAACAACGTAAGCCGGATAAACCTGAAGATTTTGTGTGTTACCCTGATAGTGATAGCGAGGAGGAAACGCCTGCCCAGCAACACAGAGTATTGAGTACATCATACAATTTCGTTGACTATGTTCGATCTAGAGAGATACAGGCTCCAGAGGTATGATTATATTATATACATATTTTACTTTTTAAAAAGCATGACTTTAAAAGTGTTACTCTTTCATGCCAGAATGGCTGAACAGATTTGCATGAAATTTAGCACAAAGATAGATTACTTATAATCTGAAATAGCACATAGGTTACTTTTTATCCCCGAAAAATTTATGGTTCCCGTGGGATAGACTTGTTTTTGTCTAGGGACTAACCTGAAGTGAAGCGAAGGTGAGTCGCTAGTCTAAGATCTTTTAAAGAAAAAGAATCTGCAAGACAGTAATTGGAGTATTTCCCAAATTCTAATAAAAATTCTCTAAAAAATTCCTAGCTTAGCTTCAATGCTGGAACCAATAAAAAGCTACTGCTTAAAGAGAAAATTGTTTCCTCTTTATTCTTTTCTTACTTGAGCTCTAAACTCTTGTAAGTCTCTCTCTGGTGGCATCCTCACAGAATTATAATATTGACATTTTTGATTTTATTAGAAAATTGATAAATTCACTTAAGGTACTTGTAAAGGAATATTTTATAATATATCAATAAGATATAAATTGATTTCAATAAATATCAGGGACCCAATCATTGTAAAAAAAGATTTGATTTATTATCCAAACAGCAAATAGCACCTATGATTATCAAATATATGTTATTTACATTAAAAATAATAGTGAGTGACCTTCCCCAATTTACTTTGTGTTATCTTTCAAGCAATGCACAAGATAAGTGTCGAAACGATTGACGTATAATTAAATATTTGTCTATCCTTAGGATAAGGATATATCTTATATAATATATAGGATAAGAATGAATTAGGATAAGAATGAATTATATTATTCTATATCTATCCTTAGGATTAGAATAGACAACTTATTACCAGCAGCATTGCCTGTATTACTTTATCAATTATAATTATTTGTAAAAAGAGTCATAAATGCGAAAGTGTGTTTCCGTATGTCTACCTTTCATACTACATATCTATATATTGTATAAAACAAAATCGGATTTGTTACAACACTTACAACACTTATAACTCGAAAACTACTCAATCAATTTTTATGATATTTGTTTTGTTGGATTTGTCTTCACCCAGAATAGCAGAATAACTATTAAAATAGGGGGAAAATTCACGAAAATTTTTTTTGGAAAAAATATCTATTCCATACGAAATGTCAAAACGTACCTAAGGACCTGAGCGAGGTAAGGGTTAGTCGCTAGTACAAGATAAGGGTCAAAACTATGGACATATAATTTAATCTATCCTTATATGATGATATGTCTATCCCTAGGATAAAGATAAACTACCTATAACCATTTATCACAAAGGATATGGTTATTTTTTACTATATAAGATATACTACAAAAGAAACTCTTATAAAAGTGCTAGAAGTATTAATAAAAGTGTAGTTGAATAAAGTTAATTTTTATTTGACTTGTTATGTGTTAAGTTGAATGATGTAGAGTGTGATATTTTATTAATTAATACTAGTGACGCGTTGATGCCTCGTTCTGGTTGGTCCCTAGGTAAACAGAAGCATATCTATAGATGTCACCCTCTAGGCTACTGACTATCTCTATACAGAAAACCATAAGACAAAATTTCCTGTTTATGGGTTTTATTTTAACGTAATTTCCCTTGGGCACAAAATATTTTCCTTGGCTAAATAATAGCTTACGTCACTCTCCATCTATCAACTCAAAGTGACACAAACAAACGCACTTTGACATTTATATAACTATATAATAATATTGTTATGGACTAACAAAGGTGTAAAATTAATCTTATCCCGCGGGATTTATTAAGAATATTAAATTCCAGCCTCGATCCATCGACCCATCGTACGCAACCCGCCACATGCTCACGCACGATATGTTCCGCGAAACACCGGTCAATCTGGGCAACATGAATAAAGTGTTTTGTTCCCAATGGCTGTCCGACAGACAGATTGTGTTCGGCACTAAATGTAACAAAGTGAGTATTTTTCAACTAATGTTTAATTTGAGAAGTATACTAACTTCTATATCACTTCAAATATAAACTTCTACATTTAAAAGTCAATTTTTTCATGAAATATGGAATATATGAAATAGGTAAAAAAAGTTTCATGAAAATTGGTTCAGTACTGGCTAAGAAAAAAAGCAGTACTTAAATTTATTATATTTTATTTACATTATAAACATCAATAACAAATCCATAGCCAAGCCATATATTGAAATTTCTTTGTACTAATTATTCTTTGATCTCAACTACTCCATGATCTGAGGTAAATAGCTAATTAAATAATATTTTATTAACAGACCCTACGTCTCTATTATAAAAATTGGATGGTTTTCATTAAACAATAATTCCCATACAACTTCTCTATAAAAATATTTTATTTTAGCCCTAAAAACCCCATTAATCTTTAATTAACTGTAAAATTAAATTTTTAGTTGCTTTGGGATCTATCAAAAGTATATTGAGTTGGTCGGCTACTAAGTATTTTATTATATGTATTAGATATCGTTATTGGCTAACGTGATCTATACTTATATAGCCATAATGGCGCATAGTCGAATATATTCTCACAGACAACGACGGACAATACGTTTGATTTGAACGTGGCCTAAAGCGGTAATATGTGTTTCAGCTAATGGTTTACGACGTAAGATCTCGATCGCTAGACGCCATCCCAACACTCAGGCCGCGAGCGCCGTGGCCCGGCGCGGAGCACCAGACCGGCATACACGCTTTACAGATCAACCCCTCTAGGTATGTATGTATGATTAAAAGGCCACATTACGTTTCAAAATGCACAGACGACTTGCGTATTCTGTGCTGATAAATTTTATAAAAATGCATTTCACAGACGTGAAAAACGCGTGTTGACAGCGCGTTTAAAAGTCGTCGTGTGAATAGACCCTAAGAAATAAGCTATGACACAGATAATAATGACATCTTGATTGATTTCGACGACAACGGCCAATCTCACTGAGATTAGTTCACTGCCTAAAATATTATAATGCAGATTGTACATGCGAGATGAGAATTTGAACAACATAAAAATAGCATGTTTATAATTAAACGTTATGTAAGAAATTCAATTTGCGGGTTAACTTAGGAGAAAATTTACGTTTTTTGTAAATTTCTTATTCAGTGCGCCACATGGCCATGAAGTCGTAAACTTTTGATTTTTGGTATAAATGAAGGTATCCCATATGGTCATCGATTAAAAAAAGGTACAGAAGTTTAAAAAAAGGTTTTTTTATTGGCTGATTCACTCTACCCTAGTGCTGGTGTGTAAGAGAGAGCTCACATACTAGGTGTATTTCGTGTCGTGTCCCTTTCACTCTCATATTTCAACATCTCTTTTAATAATATTTTTTTTATCTGTCACATACTTACATTATTGATAAATATCAGTACAATAATAAAAAAACTTCGTATTTAGAGGTGATTTGCTATTACAAAGTAACTATTGAGTTTTAACAAGCTTAATTAATTGTAGTTGAAATAATTGTTTCTGGCAATTAAGATTTTAATGAGAGTATTTATGAATGGCATGCGGTTTTCTAATAGCAAGGTTCTCAACCTTGTAAGATAATGAGTTTTTGCCCTCGCTTCTTCCCGGGATTAGCTGCGCTAGATTTCTTCACGAGTGGTGAATTGTGAGAGTGAAAAGGACAGGACATGACATACACTCTCTCACACACCAGCACTAGGGTGGAGAGAATCAGGCCAAAAAATTTTTTTTGTCTTTTTTTTAATGTCCTGTATCTTTAATCAATCAGGTCGGTTTTCTTAATCATTTGGCGCCATTCATTTCGCTGGTAAATATCATCCTATGTAAGGCCAAGCCTTTCCATATCCTTCTATCCTACCTCTCCCTATCCTTTTTGTAGCCAAGGAAAGGCACTTTTTCACGATGTGGTCATACGTTTCGTGTCCGTCGCATTACGTGTCCGTACCACCTTGGCCTGGACTCTATAATCTTCTCGGTAATAGGCGCTACTTTGAAACTCACCCTTACGTATTCTATACGGACGTTGTAAGATAGTGAGTAAAATAATAAAGTGATATTTTCTTGCATACTCTGGTAATCTACACTTAATATTATAAAGAAGTAAAGTTTGTAAGTTTGTGAGTTTGTTTGTAAAGGATAAACTAAAAACCCGCTGAACCGATTTAGATGATGAAGATAGTTTGAGACCCTGGCAAGGACATAGGATAGTTTTTATCCTGGAAATCATCTCTTAAAGGGATGGAAAGGGGGATGACAGTTTAGATGGGGAATTTAATTAATTTAATTTCTCAAGTAAAGGATATAAAACTCATCATACCTATGTACGTACCAAGGTCCCATCCCTCTATACCAAACTTCATCAACGGTTTTAGGCGTGAAAGCGTAACAGACAAACACACAGGAATACTTTCGCATTTATAATATTAGTATGAATTATTTTACAGGACACTATTAGCGACCGGAGCCAGAAATTCCTGTGAACTAGCCATATACAGTTTGCCCACGCTCGACCCGGTGTGTGTGGGCGAGGCGCATAAAGACTGGGTGAGACAGTTTTCACATTTCGTCGCCTTAGTGCTTATTTGTTCAAACCAATACTTATTGTATTTTACAGTAGAGAGTTTTTCCTCTATTTTAATAACAAAACTATTCAAATCTTAGAGAATTGTATACATATATAGATAAATACATTTTTTTTCGGCTTTATCAAATTCACCAATAGAATTGTCATTTAAAAGTTAATAATTATGTATTAAAAACTTTCGGTGAATTGGTCGTTTTTATTTTTCCACGGTAAAAAGTATCCTATATGTTGACTCGGATAACCAACTATCACAATACCAAATTTCATGAAAATCTCTCCTGCGGTTTTTCCGTGATGCAGAAAAAAATTCAAATTAACAGACAGACAGACAAAAATTCTAAAAACTATAGATTCGGCCTGTGTATCGATAATAATGTCTATTTCATTGATTAAAATTACCTAATTACAATTGGTGACAGTTTTGGGAGAACTTTTGCATGGGATTGTGTATCTAGTACTTTTTGAAGTAAAACTTCTTTACGCACGCTTGACTTGGGGGGTAAGCTGGTGAATGCGTTACGAAAAAATGTACGTACGTTTGTTGCCATGGTAACCGTTGTTATCGTCTGACAAATGATATATAATATTATATATTTTCCTCAAATGATATTTTGTAAATACACGAATCGTAAAACGCCTAATATGCGTTATTTTTAGTATCTCACGTATCCTAATTATTTAAAACATAAATTGAATTTCATAAAGAGTACCGATAACCTACAGAAGTTTTACTTCTTGCGCGTGTACACATTCGTACACGCACTCTTTAATTACTTTTTGATCGATGTCGTGCCCCGAATATACGAGACGAGCGTCCCCCAGATCCTGGACATGTGCTGGCTGGACGACGAGTACCTGGTGACGGGGTCGCGCGACTCCAAGCTGGCGCTGTGGCGCGCGCCGCGCGGCGCCGGCCCGCACGCGTACATGGCGCCGCACGCGCTGCGGGACTGCAAGAACGGTGCGTGCTGCCGCCGGCTGCTTGTTTATTGTGTGGTAGCATCCTTGTCGTATGACAAGACCTAGCCATATGGCTAGGATGGTTTGTGCGTGTGTATATATATGTATATGTGTGTGCAGCGTGAGGGACAATGAGCGAAAGTGAGATCAACTCGTTATTTGTGGGTATGTGCAGTTTGTAATAAGTGTGTACCTTTGAGATGTCTAAAACCTTAGTCTCTCTTGTGACCATGATTGTCGGAAAAGCATTCAAAACGTCGAGAACCAAAACACAAAATAAATCATAAAAAATCCGAAAAAATAATTGATTTAAAACGTCAAGTATTCGCATAAATATAACTTTTTAAATTTTCGCGTTCCATAATTATATAATAACTAGCAGAATCCGCGACTTCGCTCGCGCTAAAACTACAAAAAATCTCAAAAAAAGTAGTTTCATACAAACTTTCTTCTCCTATTTTATTCCCTTAAAGAATAAATTTCGAAAAATGCTAAAACACGTATTTATTTAATTTCATTGAAGAGCATTAACACCAAATTTCAACTAATTCTGATTGTAAATATTTTTTTTATTGTATTATAACGTGTTTTGCGATAAAAAGTAGCCTATGTCACTCTCCAGCCCTCTAACTATCTCCACACAAAAATCATGCCAATCCGTCACTTCGTTTCGATGCGAAAGAAGGACAAACAAACACACTTTTACATTTATAATATTATTATGGATACCACCACGGGACTTAAAAGCGTAACGCGTGTAAGTCCCGTAATGTAATCCATACTAATCCGTATTTATAAATGTAAAAGTTTGAGTATGTATAGATGTTTGTTACAAAAAGTTAAGCTCGCGGATAAATGGCAATTAATAACTGAACAATCGGTGTTTGTTAACTAATTGGACGGAAAATGACCTAGTTTTGGGTCTAAACATAGCCACGTGTCAGTGAACTCTAACGTCGGCCCCTTAGGCCAGAAGGTGCGCGCGCTGACGTTCAACGCGAAGTGGCGCGAGATCGCGGCGCTGACGCTCAACGGCTACATCCACGTGTACAGCGCCGCCAGCTTCCGCCAGACGCACTCGCGCAAGCTGCCCTCCTGCCAGGACCTCGTCTGCCTCGCCACGCAGGTACAGACGACTTACTTTATACCGCTGGCTCACTCAAATTATACCAAATCAAATTTTATTATACACATTAACAAAACTGCTGAGAAATATTCTGTGGCAAATAAAAGAAATCAATAAAAATAATAGCTGAAAAATGAATTATACTTACACAAGATAACCATGTTTGATCATTTTCGCATCCAATTATAGATCTGGCAGCCCTGCACACGTCATACACATCACATACACTTGCTCACACGTATATATACGCGCACACACATATACATTTGCTCATTACACACGCACACGCACATACTACACGTACAAACTTTGTTCACAAACACATACATACTCAAGCATATATGGCCACATGTGAATATACGTGTTGATAATACATATGTATGCATGAAGTGCGGTTTTTTTTAAGTTTGTATATTTTCTTTAGTTTATTTAGTACTAATTTTTATACGGCTTAGTTCGCGTTTTAAGTATACAGATAAAACACACACAGTACACACTAGACTATGATCTGAAGTAACACAGCTATTTTTAGGTACCTAGTAGAACATCTAAGTCAGCTATACTCAAGCTGCGGCCCGCGAGCCGCATGCGGCAATACCAAAATCGCATTATAACATATCTTTGTTAAAAAAGTAACTAAATCGTTAACTTGGAGTTACGTTTTCATTAAGACCTAAATAATTTTTGCTTACGGCCCTCACACCATGACTGAAACGTGTTTGTGGCTCCTACAAAACAAGCTTGAGTATAGCTGATCTAAGTGAAGCGATAATATTGTAGTGGTATTAGATATTTTCATTTTTTTATTATGACGAATATAATGTGACGTCCGGCACAGGAGAGCGGTATCTACGCGATAGGCTGCAAGTCGTACACGCTGCTGCTGGACTGCCGCACGCTGCAGTCCGTCAAGAAGATCACGTCGCGCTACAACGGCTGCGGCATCCGCTCCGCCAGCTTCCGCGGCGACATGCTCACCATCGGCACCGGCCTGGGTCAGTGCCTAGCTTGCTGGAAAATGTATTTAATGGAATTAGCTATCTAGAAAAGCCAGTACTACCCACTAAGACCCAACAAAACCTCCCCCGTCTTAATGGGGCGTCGCAGGATCGACCACGACGCCCCGACGGCAGGACAACAACCATGAGGTTCCAACGGTCCACTCTGCTATCAGAGAAGTGCCAGGAGGAACCCGCTTGGCACACCGCCCACCGCAGTGAGCCTCCTCGCAGTATATTTAACTTTATCCAGCGGGATTGCCCACCATGACAAAATCCTGGGTTCGTGTCCTGAATTACCCCTGATTCAGTTCTTATCTACAAATTCTCAGGAGTTGAAAAGGCTATGCCAAGATTTATCGTCGTGGGTACGTGGAGTGTGGGAACGAATCGAAAGCAAAATCCCACGCATGCATATTATGTTCTATACCATTGCTAGCCGTAGCTAGCCTCTTTGAAACTTACCGCCATGACTGAAAGGAAAACCATTCACTTGTTTGCAAAAATTATAAAAAAATATACTCCTTAATTTACTTAACGTAAATCTCTATAAAGATACAGTTGGATTTCGAACCTATACTTTTTTTAGGACAGGACCAACATTTTTAAACCCACAAAAGTGAATAATATTAATACGTTATTTTTTATCTCATTGTCTCTTCTACAGGTATCCTCATGTTCTATGATTTACGAGCGGGGAAATATTTGGAAAGTAACATTCATTCCTCGAAGACAGTCACCCTCAAAGTGTCTAAAGGCTCGGTGGTGAGTTCTTTGATTTCGCACTTCTACACTCGTTTTATTGTTAGATTTAGTTTTAATTATTTTTTATCATCTATGCTTTATTTTTAATATATTTTTTATTATTTTTTTCAATATTATTGAAGTAATCTATAATTATCAATGTACGAGTATTATGGTTGTTCATAGTCAGAATACTATCTTTATATGTGTATATATTGTATTTTTTTTAATAATTAACTACTTTTCTTCTTAATAAAGTTAGAATTTTGGCTTTTAAACAAAAAAAAGCTATACAAAATTAAAATAAAAAAACATTGTAAACCTTTAAGAGTATATAGACATATCTACCTATAATATTTAGCATAATGTATCCCCAGTTCTTTTAATCATTAGCTACTTGTAATCTCACTAAAGCTAAAAGTTTAGCTTTTAAATAAAAAATAATTGGTCCTTAAGACTATAAAAAATAATTAAAAAAAAACAATATAACTCCTCATATCTGTCACTGAAATTATCACACTGTGCCCCCGCAGTTCCCCGACGAGGAGCCCGAGGCGTACAGCCAGATGCGGTACACGCCCGCCATCTACACGCACTGCTACGACGACAGCGGCACGCGCATCTTCACCGCCGGCGGCCCGCTGCCCGCGCCGCTCGTCGGCAACTACGCCGGCATCTGGCAGTGACCACCGCCCCCGCCGCCCCCTCCCCACTCCCCGAGGTGATCCCTCGCTGCTCTCCCTAGGGTGACCCCATGTTCCCCTTCCTTGGGTGGACCCACGCTCCTCTCCCCAAAGTAATCTCTAGTTCTTACCCATGGGGTGACCTCTTATCTATCCCTGTCCCTTATATTCTCACACTATGGTGGCATAATGCCTATGCTCTGCCTTGACATGGAAATGTAACACTGCCAATTTTACACCAAGCTACTGAAACAAAAAACGCAATAATAATACTTGGCCAGATCTGAAACTCGAACTCAGGACCTCCGGATCTGCAACCACTACACCACCGAGGCAATAAATACCATCAAGGGCTTCACAGTCGATCTATCGCCTATTGGGATATAGTTCCCGTAGTCAGCGAACATGTAAGAGTAATACATGAAGCCTAGAAAAAGAAAAGTGTCCGCCAACCCGCACACGGCCAGCGTGGTGGACTATGGCCTGAACCCCCTCGTATTAGAGGGAGACCCGTGCCCAGCAGTGGGACGTTAAAAAAGGCTAAATACAATAGAAAAAGAATATGAACTGATGGCCCTGCCTCGACATGGAATTTCTCTCCTCTCGCCTTCACACGTAGATCAATAAAGCTAGTATTAAAATCTGTACATGTTATCTAAATCTTAAGTATGTATGTTCATCGTGTTATTAATCTCATATCGAGTACAGTCAGCAAAAACAACACAAAATTCCATATACATTTTACCACCTATTTAAAATATAAACTTTATTTTTGAAGTAAATCTTCTTTAGGCGTGACTGATGGTTTAAAGTACATTGTAAAAATGAGTGTCGCGGAAGTTTTTTATAATAATTATTATTTATAAAATTATATATTTATGATATTTATTAGTTATAATATTATAAAAAATATTTTATTTATATTGTGATTTGTTTTAATGTAATTACGGTATCTGCCGCACATAGCGCCAAAGAAGTTTTACTTCAACCGCGCGGAAACGTTACATGCACTCATTTTTTTTTATTTTATCTAAAGAAATTCATTGTAAATTATTAAATTTAAGTTTATTAATGTCTCGTAAAACGTGAAACTCAAAACAATTTTTTTTTAAGTTTACAGTTATTTTTTTTATTTTTTAGTAATTATAAAATTGCAAACAAAAATATGTTTAAACTTTCATTTTCTATATATTTTTTTATGTTTGTTTTTAATATGAGAGTTATTAAAAAATATATTATATCTGATTTATTTTACGAAAAAGGCACTAAAATGTAATTTAGTAATATACCCTGTACTTCCAATCCTTAGTTGAAATTATAATCTTTATAGAATGTACCTAACACTGTAAATATTTTAAGTTATTGTATAATAGAAGTAATGTATATAGAGTAGAGGAAAATAATTAGTTTATGTCATAGAGAGGTTCTATGACATCCCTTGAGGGGTCCTATATTTAGTCACTTCTCGGACATTGAACCCATGACCTAATGGATTATCCATATATGCATACAAATTCAAATGAACACTAAAAACGATTGTCGATTATCAGATAAAAGAAAAAATTGTCATAATATTTATCTTTTATATTTAGTCGAATTATTATTATTATTAATTGAAAAATAAAAGTCATTTGTATGTTTGTATGCAACTCGCCATCTTTTTTGATGTTGCGTATACAGGTTCGACTCCAATTTGATGTAAATTTTGTAAATGTATCATAACGTGTACCAAGTTGTGTGATTTATATTAATATTTTTAGTGTAAAGATAGAATTCACTAAGTGAGTTTAAAGAAACTTTTGTACTTTTAAGTCTTTGAATTCGAAAGTAATTATATAGTTATTGGCTGTATTACTTTTAGGATGGCTAATAAATTGTAAAAAATATCTCATGTCTTTTAAAATTGTCTAATTCTTTTTTTTTAAATACTAAATGACTTTACTTTATCCTCCGATTCAGACTTTCAGATACCGTAATAAAATAAAAAATGAACATATTTTATTTGCATAAAGAGATAGTGACGACAAAATTTTGGTTGAGGTCCCCTTTAAAGCAAGTAATTTTTGCATGTATTAGGAGACCCCCTTCCATAACAAAATGTACAGATTTTTCTTTAATCTAATTTATACAAGGCAATACTTTAAACTTTAGAAATACTGTTAGTCGCCTTCTCAGTACTTATTTGTCCAGACGACTAATTACCGAAAGAATTTTTAATACAGAATTATGGACTTTTAAAATTCTAATGATATTTAATACACATTATACTTTACAAAATCATACATACTTATCTATACTTTAATATTATAAAGAGGTTTTGTGAGATTGTGAGTTTGTGACGTTGTAGGGGGTAATCTCTAGATCTACTGAACCGATTTATAGTTTGAGACCCTGGGAAGGACATAGGATACCCCTTAAGGGGGTGAAAATGGGGATGAAAGTTTGTATGGGGACTTAACCCAGGGACGAACCCGAGCGAAGCAAGGGCGAGTCGCTAGTATGTATATAAATCTTAAAAATAAAGCTTTTTTTTTAGAATAGAGGAAAAAACTCCAAAAGAATAAAGCAATTTAGTGTGTGGGTTGAAAAAATAAGCATTAATGCGAAGTAGTGTTACCAGCGGCTCTACCTGCATAGTTGATTTATGTAACCAGAATAACTTACCTGTAAGACTGTATCACTCTAGCAGCAATAACATGGGACTTTTATACAAATATTTTATTTCAAGAGCCAAGAGGCATATCATGTTAGTCCTCACAGTGACAACGCACCTGCGGTTCTGCATTTTTGTAACATTAAACCTAAGTGCATGAACCGTAGGTGTTATGGGCGACAGGTACCGCTTTCCACCAGGTGGGCTGTCTGCTCGTTTGTCACTGAATATCATTAAAAAAAACGTACACTTGGCTTCGCTCAGGTGCGTCCCTCAGATTGAATGGTTTGGGAACGCGTAAAAGACAAAGTCCAAAGAAAAAAAATTTTTTTTTGGACCAAAAACCTTCGCAGGCGTATAACGAATAACCACCAGAGTTTCATCACAATCGTATGGCTTAGGAAAGCACTGAGGACATACATACGAAAAATTCATTTTATCCGACTGCGGCGAATCCCAAAGGGGGGTAATGTGTGTGAACTATATGTATGTACGTATATCTATGTTCCCTCTTAATTAGTACAAATAATTAAAAAAAAACTAAATGCGGTGAAACATTTATTTTCAAGCGTAAATGCATTACATAGCTCAATTTAAATCTAAAAATACAATAGCAAAATAATATTAGGCATGATTTTTAATCGCATGATTAAGCTTTAGCTGGCAACACCCATCCTATAGGTATAGGTGATGACTCGGGACCGTTGTCTATGTATTGATCCCACTGTGATCTGAAACAGAATATTTAAAATATAAATTATCAAAAGAATGATGAAAAAATGAAGCATTTCTTTTTGAGACATTAGGTCTCAAGTTGGAAAGTAAATAAATATCAATAATTTTGAAAACCCAAAAAGCTCGCTTTGAAAGTTTCACTTATATATATGAATAAATGGATGTATATAAGTGATTTTATACATTTTTTTCATAAAGATACACATTTTCTATGTCATCTATACATTTTTTTAAATAAAACCAACTACATACCTAACAGCAACAAACTTTCCAATATCCCCATTGTAGTCCACCTGCGGATCTACCTTTGAGTCAAACAATACTTTGCGCCATTTTGCCAAATTCTCCAAAACCTGCCTCTCCATTTCAGTCGAATTGTCTTTATCTTTATTTAAATCCAGTTTAGTGCGTAGTTGTGCCTCTTCTACTTCATAAGTCGAGAGTTTGAAGATCCAGAGAGTCTTAAGTCGTTCTGAAATAAAATAAAAATGTTACATATATATTTTGGCTCTATATTATAGATTACTAAAAATATTTAAGTCACTAAGTAAAAAATATGTTAGTTAAAAATATTTTAATTCTTTTACAACTTATCACTTACCAATGTTATTTTGGAATGTGGCCATGTCATGTTCTGGAACATTCTGCCCCTTCCCTTTAGCAGTGTTTTGTCTGGCAAGCCGTAGCTTCTGTAGAGCTTCCAACTTGGCAATACTTTTCTTTGCATCATATTTCTTTCTCAGTACTTCCTTTAGTACTACATCTGCTTGGAGTTTGGCATCTTCTTCCTGTAAACAATATATTTTTTAAATGGGTAAAAATGTTGCAAGAATCCATACTAATTCATAACAATATTATAAATGCGAAAGTCACTGTCTATTGCTTTTTCACACTTAATAAGCTGAACTGATTTAGATGAAGTTTGGTACGGGAATTGTTTCTCAAATTAGGGATATAAAACTCATCATACCTAAGTATATATAGTATATCTAATCCATACTAAGCATCAAAACATATGTTAATCATTAATTTACTTAATTATTAAATTAATTAAATTATCCTATGAATAACAAATAAAGTAGTTATTTTTAGTTATTTATTTTACTAATATGGTATGTACAAAAGTACTAAATAAACAAACCTCCTTCACTCTCTGGATATCCTCCTTAATTTTTTGCAAATTCTCATCAATTTTCCGAGAATTCTCTTCTCTTTGTTTCATGATCCTTCTTTTTTCTTCTTTAAATTCGATGCGGCGTCTCTTTTGTCGACGTCGTTTGGAAGCTCGTCTAGTCAACAATTTTCTATTCAGTTCTATAAAAGTACCAGTAACTTTCTTCATAGTAAAATCAATAACAGACTTGTTAATTTTAATACTTTCAAGAGCAGACTTTCTTTCTTCATCACTGATTTTATTATTGCCTGAAAGCAATTTCTCTTGGATTTTGATGTCTCGAATAGCTGACACTAGACCAGCTATACGAAATTTAGTTTTAAATATATTTGCACTGTTGATTTTCAATTTCTTCTTAGGATTTAAGATGCAAGTCTCAAAAGACTTCAAATATTCTTGATCTGATACCTCTTGAATCAAAGGTGGTGGTGGGGGAGGAGGTGTCAATGGAAATAGGTTCTGGAATGTAAAATTGCTAGAAAAGTTTCCGGACATGATTTTTAGTAGTATAAAAATATTTTAAAAGTATATAATTAAGAAGATTCAGGTAATTGGGTTTCAGCGTCTTTTAATACTTGTTCTGCCGCAATGTAATCTTCGTTTTCTTTCAAATCTTGTTCTGTTTCCAATATGTTTTTTAAATCTTCAAATGCTTTAGCCAGTCTGGAAATGAATAAAATAGTAAATATTTTTTTGAACCATTATAAATCATGTGTAAAACAAACAACAAATTCAAAGAGCATAAGCATTACTGACAAAAAACTAACACAATGCGAAATAAATGAGTCATAGTTATTCTAGTCACATTTTTTTGACATCTCTAATACCTAATTATTTTTGTTCCTAATATTATATATGACAAAAGTTAAAGGATTGCGAAACTATATTTAATTAATACGGATTTTAAAACCATGCTTTGTTATGTTTTAAGCAACATCTGCCATTATACCGCTCAATATCAAAGAAAGTATGGTTCCTATCTAGATGAAAATAAAACAGTAGGAATCCTTGGAGTAAAAATATATATTTAGAATGTAACTTACCGTCGCTGACAGTCAGGGACCATCATAAGCGACTCCTGCAGGACCTCCTCTTGCTTCCTTATATTATGTTCGTCCTGGCCTTCGTCTTTTATTCTCTGTATCCTGTTCTTTTGCTGTTCAACTTCTTTCTCGTAAACGACTTTTTCCTTCGCAATTCGCTTTACCACCCCAGTTTTAATTTTTATTTGCCGTATGCGCGGATCTGCCATTGTAAAGTTAGCAAGAGTGACCACAGAGTACAGACTAAATGTAAATTGAATTGAGTGACAAAAACAAAAAAAAACTGACAACTAATCATTATTCTTTTTTTATATTCTCTGTGTATTTAAGCTGTCTATGATTTGGCTTTTAAGTGTAATATCTTAAAAATAAGTCTATAATAATTTAATAGAACATATTCTATATGGTTTTAAAAATCTTTATAATAAATGTAAATAAATGTTGGTACATAGAGAAAAAAAAAATTCTTACCCACAAATGACATTACGCATCATGTTTATCAATTTAAAATTTAAATGTCTAGCTCTGACTCCACCTCAATCATTGAGAAGATATGTTTTATCTCCTCAGACCAGGAACAACAAGATTATCTCTATGATATCCAAAGTAAAATACGTAGCATGATCCCAAACGAAATGAAATAATATAGTCTATACATCTATACAGTAAAATAAAATTGAAGTGTCTGTTTGTAATGTGAAAATAATAGTTTTCACTAAATTTATATCTATAAATATAATAAAATTGTAACTAAATCGAATCTGTACATTAAATATTTTTTGGAAAATCTAATTGAAATAGACATTATTATCGATACAGAGTCCGAATCTATATTTTTTAGAATTTTTGTCCGTCTTTCTGTCTGCCTGTCTGTTACCGCATCATGAGAAAACCACTGGACAGATTTTGATGAAATTTGGTATGATGATAGCTGGTTATCCGGGTCAACATATAGGATACTTTTTACCACGGGAAAATATCTCAGCAGGTGGCAGTAGTGACATTATTACTTGCACTAAATGCCGACAAAATTACCATGTTCAGTGCCTCTTCGCAACAGATAGTAAAAAAGAATTAAAACATGAGTTGAAAAAACATTGGATGTGCCCGGAGTGCTCTTTACTGATACCGAGGCAAACAAATAATGATAATACCCCTATACGTAGTAGTGGTGTCAATACTAAGTCAAATGAAAATATTAATTTTAAAAGAGGTGGTAGTTCATTGTCAACTATTCAGGTGGACACCTGTGAAGAGGCCGGGATAAATAATAATAATCTACTTGAGTTAATTAGGTCGGTTGTTACTTCGGAAATTTCTAGCTTGAAGGATGAATTTAAATCAGCATTCGTTCCACTCAAAGAAGAATTAATTTCGATTCGCCAGGATTTCAATTCTATAAAGGAATCCTTGGACTTCTTTAGTTCAAAATATGATAGTTTGAATTCACGTATTGAGAAATGTGAAAAAGAACTTCATCAGTATAGTGAAAAGGTATCTGAATTCGAGGAAATAAAATCTACAATGCAATCAATCCTTACTGAAAACAATAATCGTGAGCAATGGGCTCGTCGATCGAATATTGAAATTTATGGAATTCCAGAACAAAAAAATGAAAATCTCTATTCTATTTTACAAAACGTTGCAAGCAAAACCTCAATAAAAATTGATCCTGGCACTGACATTGATTTTATCACCAGAGTTGCCACCAAAAACAAGAATAAAGATGGTAAAAAATGTAAGCCTATCATAGTTAAATTTTTATGCCGCTGGAAAAAAGATGAATTCCTCGCACAGGCAAGAAAACTAAAGATTAGGTGTAATGATTTAGGATTTTCTAACAACTATAATAACATTTACTTTAATGAGCACCTAACAAGCACAAATAAAACCTTGCTACTATCTGTAAAAAAAATAGCAAAGGAGAAGAATTATAAATATGTTTGGATAAAGAATTGCAGCATAATGATAAGACGTTCTGACAACAGTGCTGTGCTGAATATATCAAATATGAAGGATTTAAACAAAATTGTATAAGGACAATTTATATCTGTACCTGTGGCACTTCCTGTTACGGCGTTTTGGTGTTTTCTGGCTATAGTTGTTTTGATCTTTGTAATGCATTTTGTTCTTTATTGGTTTTTAACGTTGGTGAAGGCATTTGTGCAAATAAGTTTAGTTTTAAATGGATTATTCGTTGCGATATTTATTTGATGGATATTATTGCAGTCATTTATTACATTTATCATTTAACATATATTTTTTTCTTATAATATAAATCAAATGCGGAATAGTGGAATTATTATAGTTATTATTATTATTATTTTTGTAATGAATTATATTGTACGTATAATTGCATTAAACTTATTTAATCATGGAATATAATTTAAACATTTTCTACCAAAATGTACGAGGCTTACGTACCAAAACTGATACGTTCTTCAGGGCTGTGATGCAGGGGGAGTATGATATCGTCTGTCTTAGCGAGACGTGGTTGTATGATGGTATTTTTGATTCCGAACTTTTTGATTCAAGATACACTGTCCATAGATGTGATAGAAATTATAATGAACGTGGAGACACAATGGGTGGCGGTGTACTTGTCGCCTTAAAATCTAACTTAACAGTTCGTTCGTCGACATCCATACAATTGAGCAACTTTTCAGCTGAAATAGTGAAAGTAACAATATCGTTGGTGTCTACTGCAATAACTGAGTCACTTCATATATATTGCTGCTATTTCCCTAATATTAACGGCCATTGTGATAGGCTTATTGATTTTTTTGAATTGGTTTCCGATGACAAGCTAAATTATCCTAATGACAGTTTCTTGGTGTTAGGTGATTTTAATGTTCCGACTGCGCAGTGGGTTAAGAATGACAATATCATGATCCTGAGTAATCGTGGTGATGATAATAGTCTAGTGTACGCCTTGGCCAACTTTGTGAATTTTACTGATCTGAGGCAATTCAATTCAGTTCATAATATTAATAGCAGACATCTAGATCTTATTTTTAGTGACTGCCACTGTACCGTCAGTCGTTGCCCTCAACCTCTTGTTAAAGAGGATGCACATCACCCAGCTCTGGAGATACTATTTGCTATACATAGTTTACGAATAATTAAACCGACTCCTAGAATGATTCGACTTTTTCACCGTGCTAACTACGAAGAAATCAATAATGCACTGTCCAAAATTGATTGGATTGAATTATTAGATGACCGTGAAATCTCGGATGCTGTTAATGTTTTTTATGAAACTATATTTAAAATTGTTAATGATTTTATTCCAATTAAAATTGTAAAATATAATAATAATTATCCCTGCTGGTACCCTAGATCCTTAATAAAAGTTATTAATGAAAAATTAAAGTATCATAGGAAATGGAAAATTTATAACAGAACTTCTGATTATAATACGTTTAGTCTCTTGCGTGATCGTGAGAAAAGGTTACAATCTAAATATTATGATTTGTACATTTCAAATTCTGAAAGTAAAATTAAAGAATGTAGCAAATTCTTTTGGTCATTTGTCCGGTCGAAAAATTCTTCCTCTAATATCCCTGAGATTATGCAACTAGGAGAAATAACTGCCTGTGACAGAAATGAAATATGTTCTCTTTTTAGTAATTATTTTGAATCCGTTTACGAGTCACCATCCTTAATCAACAGCAATAATCGTGTGAGTACCTCAAGTGTGAATAGTTTTGTTAGCATAGGTTCGGTCACACTTTCTCCGTTTATTGTACATAAATACCTCAGTAAACTAGATATAAATAAGGGATACGGGCCTGATGGCTTGCCTCCTATTTTTTTGAAGATGTGTCGTTGCTGTTTATCCCTCCCTATTTATTTATTATTTCAAAAATCTATTTGTAGCGGCGAAATGCCTCAACTGTGGAAACAAAGTTATGTGGTACCAGTTTTTAAGTCAGGTGATAAGCACAATGTGAAAAATTACAGACCTATATCTAAATTATGTACTATCGCTAAACTTTTTGAGAAAATTATTTATGACTGTGTTTTTCCTATCCTAAGAACCGTTATAATTCCTCAACAGCATGGCTTCATAAATAAAAAATCTGTAGAGTCCAATTTATGTGAATTTGTTCATCAGGTTACTTCCGCTATGGATCAAGGTTTACAGGTGGACGTGGTGTATACCGACTATTCAAAGGCATTTGATAAAATCTGTCATGTAACCTTGATTCGTAAAATTGAAGAACTCGGTATACATGGCGACCTCCTCCGTTGGCTTACTTCATACCTTAGAGATCGTAGCCAGGCGGTTACAATTAAAGGTTACTGCTCTACGTTTGTGCCTGTTACTTCTGGTGTGCCCCAAGGTTCTCATCTTGGACCCCTTTTATTTAATTTATTCATTAATGACATTATTGCGGTATTTAAACATTCTTCATTTCTACTCTATGCTGATGATATGAAGATATATAAAACCATAAGTAAACCTTCTGATTGTAGTTTATTACAGGATGATCTGAATGAATTGTGTAAGTATTGCAATGATAATCTCTTACAACTTAATATTAAAAAGTGTAACGTAATATCATTTTCCCGCAAAAAAAATACTATTAATTTCAAGTACACTTTAAACGAAAATCTTATTGAACGGGTTTTAGGGGTGAGAGATTTGGGTATTCACCTTGATTCCTCGTTAACCTTTAGTCAACACTATAGATATGCGACTGCAAAAGCCTATCGGATGCTTGGTTTTGTTCTCAGAATTAGTAAGGATTTTAAGAATAATACCACCCTGATTCTTCTCTTTAACGCATTCGTTCGCTCTATACTAGAATTCGGTTCGGTGATTTGGAATCCACATTACAAAGTCCACATTCAAGAAATAGAGAAAATTCAAACAAAATTCTTAAAGCATTTAAGATTTAGATGTTCCGCTACTGATCAAGTTGTTCCTAATTTGACCTCTCTGGAAAAACGTCGTAAGATAAAGGACCAAACATTTCTGTTGAAATTACTACATAATGTTATTGACTCTCCATTTCTTCTTAACACCATTAACTTCCGATGTCCAAGACAATCTTCGCGAATTAAATCTTTATTTTATTTAAATACTACACGTACCAAATATGCACAAAATGCCTTCATTCATCGTTCTTGTTTATTATATAACAAAGAATACTGTTCAATTGATTACTTTACGGGTTCGTTACAGAAGTTAACTCAACAAATTAAAAAAATGACCTAGTTTAAATTATTTTTATTTGTATCAAATTATATTTGCGACTCTTTATTAACTATAATTATGTAATTATTACTAAAACATTAATTATTTTCTATTCATATGATTATTATTTTATTTAATGTTAATTTTTTTTTAATTGTAATTAATTTGCTCGCATTATTCTATGTACTATTTAATTGTGGAAACTTTATTGGTCAATGATTTATATTTTATGTTTTGTTTTTTAATTTGTATCAATTTGTACTGTTTGTTTCCCTAATAAATAAAAATAAAAAATAAATAAATAAATCTCATTTCTGAGAAAAAATACAAAAACTGCATTGTAAGAGTATACTAATATGTAAAACCTAAGAATTTGGTTTTTGGTCATCGTTCGCGATCGCGAATTTATATTAATATTATATTTTATATTAATATTATATTTTTAAATTTTTGAATCATAAAAAATATTTATTTTAATGTATTTTTACATAAAAAAATCTTTTACTATTAAAAGTGGATAATATGATATCTACATATTTCAATTTAAATTGAACCTCCGAGTAAGCGCTTTTACTTGAATAAGTAGGTATTATATAATCAAAAACAAAATACTCGATTTGAAAGACTGTATCTTATCACGACTCACATGAAGTTATTCAAGAAATACTAGATTATAAGAAGATATACGAACAAATTGTACCATAAGATAATTTTAAGGGTTTATTTTAAATATTATACAGATGTATATTATATGCTCATGGGCACCGGCTGAAGGCTCCTTGCGATGAAGTATGGAGGGTATACATAGTGGATACTTTTTCAACTTGTCTCCTCCTCACTTCTAAGCTCCATGCCGTAGGAAAATGTATATAAGAAGTTAAATAAATAAAAATACAGATAAAAATTATGCTTAAATTAAGATATTTGCTAGAAAAATAAAAAAATATTACTCACAAATATAAAAAAATCCACAGACCTCGTGTCTGCCACGACCTTAGAGTATATTGAAAATAAATCTGCCAAATGAACTGAATTAAATTATTAACACATTAATTACTAGCACCGAAGAACAACCGACTTTGCCCACGTTCAGACTACAAAAAAGTATTTGGATGCATAAAGATTATTTATACATATAATAAAACTGTAGAGGTCGAATGACTGTACATAGAAAAAATATGCTAAAAACCGAGTCAGGGGATTGTAAGAAGAGAAATAGAACAAATCCAGATTTTTTCAATTTTTTTGTTTCTGTCTGTATTTCTGTTTGTACGGACTAATCCCAAAACTGTTAGACCGATTTAAATGAAATTTTGCATGGTGGTATCTTATATTGCCGGTCAACATTTTTGATACTTTTCATCCCGGAAAATTAAAGAGTTTCAGTGGGATAGTTAAAAACCTATAGTAAATTATACAGCTTAGCACACAAAAACTACTGATTGGAATTTAATGAAACTGAATTAGTTAATACATCAGAATAACAAATCAAACTTTTTATCCCGGAAAAATGTACGGTTCCCGTGGGATAGATTCGCTTTTGTTTATCTAGAAACCCGAGCGAAGCGAAGGTGAGCCGCTAGTAACTAATATATAATTTGATGGATGAAAGAGAAGAGAAGATACATTAAAATAAACACAGAAGACAGGCGAAGAAGAAATTCGAAGAAGACTGTTAAAGTAACTGGCAGTTAATCAAACTGACAGTAAAACTAAGTAGCCGTCAATCTAACTTATTGTTATACTAACTAACAGTTAATCTAACTGACAGTTAACCAACTGATAGTAAGTCGAACTGATAGTTAAACTTACTGGTAGTTAAAATAACTGAGAGTTAAATGAACAGACAGTTAAACTTACTAGCCGTTAATCAATCTGACAGTCAACCTAACTGACAGTTAAACTTACTGACAGTTAAACTTACTGTGAGTTAAAGAAACTGACAGTTAAACTTACTGACAGTTAAACTTACTGACAGTTAAACTTACTGACAGTTAAACTTACTGTGACTTAAAGAAACTGACAGTTAAACTAACTGACAGTTAAGCTAACTGACTGTTGAACTTACTGACAGTTAAACTAAATTAACTGACAGTTAAACTTACTAGCCGTTCATAAAACTGACTGTTAATCTTACTGACGGTTACCCTTACTGACGGTTACCCTTACTGACAGTTAAAATAACTGACAGTTAAACTTACTGATGGTTAAATTAACTAACAGTTAAACGAACAGATAGTTAGTCTAACTGACAGTTAAGCTAACTGGCAGTTAATAAAACTGACAGTTAAACTAACTAGCCGTTAATCAAACTGACGCTTAAGCAAATTCACAGTTAAGAAACAGTTACAAACAAACAAATAAATAAATATAAATATATAATATAAATGTTTGCTTGTTTTTTTAAAGAGAAAAGGGGGAGGAGAGGATAGGAGTAGAGATGGGATGAGAGGAGAGGAGATGGGATGAGAGGAGAAGGCAGGCGAAGAAGACAAGCGCAGTAGACAGGCGAAGAATATTTGTGAAAAAGAACTGCAAACGAAAGACAGGCCAAATCTCAACAATAGGCTCCTCTTTTCTCGCTCCTCTCCGCACCGCTCCTGTTCTCTCCCTTTTCTTTTATTTTCCTACAGCAAAAATATCCTAACCCGAGTAATAAGTTATCAGTACACAAAATTTTAGTTAAAATCGGTGTCTAGTTCTACTTACAAAAATAAACCAAAATTTGAATATATTTACACAGCCTCTATATAGAAATATTAGTTTACTGGGGATTGTTAGATAGAAGTGTCTGACGCACGTTATCCGCGGACTCAGAAAATGATAAATGTTGATATGGGGAAAAATAAAATGATATTTTCACTTCACACCACTTACAGCCGTGTAAGCAAAATGAAGTGGTTAATGTTGTTGGCAGGTGAGACATTTAAATAAGAAAAATAAAATAATTAACATAATTAGCTATTAATAAAAAAGAATATATTAAGGCCTTTGCTAGCCCAATGGGAACTTGCTAGATTCAAGTGAGGTGGGCTTAAATCTCTGGTCTTGCAATGTTGTCTTCAAATGTTTTCACATGCTAAAGCATGTGAAAACATTTTTTTCTACAACGTAAGCGGTGTAGGAAAACATCCTGAGAAAACCTGCAGGTCTGAGAGAATCTAACTAGTTTTCAAATGGGACTTTAGTCCGCCAACCATCACGTGGTCAGCGTAATAGACTAAGGTCTGTGCCAGCTCTTGCATTAGGGGAGGCCCGTGTCCATCAATGGAACCTTACAAGATGCTGTATAATATAATTATTATTATGTAAAAATAATATGTAATTGTAAGTTTCCTTAAATTAAGTTTTTTTTATAGGCCTAACGGCAGTCCTAGGCGCAGTGCCTAGAATACCAACTACTCGTGACTTTGAACTGGAAGAGACGGACGGTGGTTATAATGTTATCGCTGTAACAGGTATAGTCTTTCGTTTATAGATCTAAAGTTTTCTTTTGTAGTATAAAAATTATTATATCTCTTTAAATTTTATTTAAACAATCCTTCAATTTTAAATAATTACAACTTTTATTAGAAGTTTTAAAACTGTAGATTTTATAGAACGTCTTATTTTTTATTCTCACACTTATTTTGATGTAGATTATAAAAATAAAATATTTACTGACTTCGCAGAGGAATCAATTAACTATTGTCCACAGTTCAAGCTCCTTGTGGCCGTTAAACACATGTTGCACATGATTGTGAAACAACTTTTAACTTCATTGCATGTTTAACAAAATAATAATTTAAAGATAAATTAACTTCGATTTTTACTATAATTACACCGATTTGCTTGTCAATATTTAATTGATATAAATAATGTCCTCCTGTCCGATTTCGGCCACAACGGCCAATCTCACTGAGACTGCTGCGCAGGCACATCCTCCACATAAGAATAGTGCACAAGTGTACGCGCAGACACAAGTGCACTCTCTATTCTTGTCAGTCTTAAACTCAGGTGGGACGACCATTTCACACGACCGATGAGAGATTAGGCATAGGACCGACAGCTTTATGTGATCTTCTTGGCACTGAAGTAAAACACCGCTAACTTCATAACTCCGGCCTGTTACTGAACTATTTCTTAACAGAAAAACCCAATATCTGAACTTGTCCCGACCCGAGGCTCCAACCCAGGACCTCTGGATCTGCAGTCATATATGCTAGCCACTAAACCACCTGGCAATTGATATAAATATGATCTTATTGAAGCAGAAAATATTTTAACAGTTCTATAGGTACATGTATTTTATTCTTTACTAGCAACTCGCCCTTCGCTCGGGTTCGTCCCTAGGTAAATTTTTAATTTTTTAAAGCGGAACCCTAATTCTTTTTCTAAAATAAAAGTAGCCCTTGTTACTCCCTATAATATCACCTATCTTCCAGTGAAAGTCCTGTCAAAATCAGTCTAGCCGTTTCAGAGATTATCCGGAACAAACAGACAGAGAGACAAAATTAAAAAAAAAGGGTTTTTCTTATAAGTACCGTATATAATTTCATATGCATTTAGTAAAACGTTGTTATTTTGACATTACAAACAGACATTTCAATTTTATTTACCTGTATAGATTACACTAAACAATTTAAACAAACGTATTTAAGTTATTTTTTATTTATTAAAAGTTTACGTTCTAATATCCAGTCAGTTATAGAAATATATATTTTATACTAAAATGATATACTTTTTTATCATTAGACTCCAGCCGCCTTCTTCTTGGACAAATTGGACGTAAGGTGAGCCCTGGTGATGAGAAGATCAGCTTGACCCTGACTGAAGGGCGCGACGCAGAGAGCGGCGGCTACAAGGTTACTATTACGTGGGAGGGTCCGAGCGATAGTGTATTTGAAGATTGCTTTGATTTTGGTAAGAATTTGAAATGTTTTCATTATTGAGAAAATTAGATATTTTTGGTTAGAAAATATAAAATTTAATTCTAATAAATTTAAAATAATAAAAAACAAATAGGAAAATTTAAAAAATACAATCAACATTTCCTTCTACTAATATAAATATCTATTCAAAAATTAGTATGAAAAACATAATCAGCACTTGATTATGATAATCTATACAAAATAACATTAATCATGCGTTGCATCCTTTTAGGTTCCAAGCAATGGTACGGTGGGCCTGAACAAAAAGAGCAATATTGGCCAATTCAAAACTCAAAATTACAGAAATACTCGATTATATCTAAGGAAGATGATAACGCCGCTGTATCCGAGAGGTACTGGGTCAATTCTAATGGATGGTACATTTACATTCAACCAGAGGCTCCTTTGTTCGTTGATTATCATAACGTCCTCGATAACCACATTTGTTTTATAGCCGAAGTTACTGAACCATACTCCACTAAACGTACACGCAACGTTCTGCAATATGACCTTTGGTTCTTCGACAATGCTAAAATCGCTCATCAACACGCAGTAGACACCTACCTTGGCAAGCCATCAGGTCTTCCTGACTACAGAATGATCAAATACCCCGTCTGGTCCACTTGGGCAAGATACTCTAGAGAAATCGACCAACAGAAACTATGGGAATTCGCAAATGAAATCAACGACAGTGGTTTCCCAAATGCTCAATTTGAAATTGATGATCTGTGGGAGATTTGCTACGGTTCTTTGACCGTCGATGAAAGGAAATTGCCTGATCTCAAGCAACTTGTTCAAGACATTAAGAGTCTAGGATTCAGAGTAACAATTTGGGTACATCCCTTCGTTAATAAAGACTGCGAACCTTGGTACTCAGATGCCTTAGCAAAAGGGTAAGTCATACGTGAAAATAATATATCTTCATTATTAAATAAAACTATCTTTTCGGATTATTTCGCGGATTTATTTTGATTTTTTGTTCCCGACGTTTCGAATGCTTTACAGCATCCATGGTCACGGGAGAAACATTCGCGTAAATCTAAGAAAGTATTATATCTTCATTAAATAAAAGTATTTATTTTATGAAAATATTAAATTCAATATTTTCTTAACGACATAAACAGAAACGTACTAATTGAGCAACATACGTTATTATTAACAATATTAGTTTTTTTTTTAATAATTCAATTTTTCATTTTCTAATAGTTATTTCGTGCTCAATGAGGAAGGCAGTCCAGATACGTCTTGGTGGAACAACAATGGGTCCATTCCTGCATACATCGACTTTACTAACCCCGAAGCTGCTGACTGGTTCTCATCTAGAGTTCAGGAGCTTATTGAAACATATGATATCGACAGTGTGAAATTCGACGCTGGAGAGTCCAGCTGGTCTCCTCAAGTAAGTAATAGATATTGGATTAAATTATCTAAGTTGTTTGTAATAACTTGTTTTGTTAATTGTTAACAGCAACATAAATTGTATTAATAACATTTATCATTTTCAATAAAACTATTTTTTCGGATTATTTCGAGCGAGGATTTCTTTTGATTTTTGGTTCCCAACGTTTCAAATACTTTACAACAATCAGGGCTACGGGAGAGACTCTTCAAAAATCAAAATAAATCGGAAAATCCGAAAAATATCGAGAAATTAGGTTTATTTTAAATGTCAAATACTTGTGTAAGTCTCATAATATGTAGGCATCATTTTTCATAATAATCACCACCAACAATGAACACTGATTAATAGTCTAATGTCTAATTAGATCCCAGTCCAGAATGGTGATATTGACTTGCACCCAGGGCATATAGTTGAAGCTTACGTGAGGACCGTCGCTAAATTTGGACCTATGATTGAAGTTAGATCTGGAATGAGGTAATCTATAGCTACCATATTTTACTAATAGCAATGTTTCAACGATTTTAATATTCCCATGAAACCATATAATTTGAAAATACTGAACGTAATATATTTTCCAGGACTCAAGATCTTCCCGTATTCATCCGTATGGTAGACAAGGACACGTATTGGGGCTTCAACAATGGGCTCGCAACTTTAGTGACCACTCTGCTCCAATTAAACCTGAACGGTTACACTTTGGTGTTACCTGACATGATCGGCGGTAACGGATACAATGACAAACCATCGAAGGAACTTTTTGTAAGATGGCTACAAGCTAATGTCTTTATGCCCACTCTGCAATACTCTTTCGTACCTTGGGATCATGATGAAGAGGTTTGAACAATTTCTGTAGTTTTATTAATACATGAATTACTATTATAAATGGCAAAGTTTGTATCTTTGTTTTAAGACGTTACAAGACCGGCTGTCGTGGAAATCTTTGGAAGAGGCTTACGTCCAGCAGCGGACGTGTTTCGGCTGAAACGACGATGAACGAACGACGGCGACGCCGACGTTCACGTTTGTTGCTTTCACGCTAAAACGGCTCGACGGATTTGGATAAACTGATAGATTATGATCTAAAACAATAGTAAACTATGAGGGCGAGGTTACCTAGGGGCGATAGTTTTGAAATATTAATTTAATCCGGCTGAACTAAGCTACAACACTTTAAGTAAAAAACTTCTTTACTAATAATAAGCCAGCAAACTATAAATATTGCAAACAATATAGATCACTATGTTTTTATTGCAGGCTGTAGAAATCTGCCGTCGCTACACGCAGCTGCACGCGGAGTTCGCGGATGAAATCGTGGCGGCCATGGAGCAGTCGGTGCTCACCGGCGCGCCCGTCAACCCGCCTATCTGGTGGCTTGATCCTACCGATCAAGTGGCTCTGGCTGTTGGAGATGGTAAGCTATTGTAGAATAGAGAAAAGTTCTTTAAATTCTTGAAAGTACAGTCTGTTCTGTCTACGTATTTCTAACGTTTCCTGTTGGGACGTATTATTTCACTTTTTTTTATTTTTATAAGTATACACACGCACTAAAAATACTACAGGTGTTTATTCGTTTATTTTGTAATAAAAACACAAAGTAAATCGGTCTTATTGCTTCAAGCAATATCTGGAAGACAATCTTTTTTTATTAAATAAAACTATCTTTTCGGATTATTTCGCGGATTTATTTTGATTTTTGGTTCCCGACGTTTCGAATGCTTTACAGCATCCATGGTCACGGGAGAGACTGAGGTGTTACATGTCTTAAAGATATAGTTGTTACAGACAGCCTACCCACAATTAACAAATTTTATTTAATAATGTCAAACATTCGCGTAAATCTAAGAAAGTATTATCTTTTTTTATTATTAGAAAATCGTTTTTTTTTATCAAACTCGGCTATCAAATCACTCATGTCTATTACAGAATAATGTTTTACAAATATTGTAATAAACCAAGTTTTAACAAGTAATAATTTTATTTCAGAATTCCTTCTCGGTGAACGTATTCTCGCGGCGCCAGTGCTCGTGGAGGGTGCCGTGTCGCGCGACATCTACCTGCCACGCGGTCTGTGGCGGGACGGTCACTCCGGGGAGCTCATCTCGGGCCCCACATGGCTTACGGACTACCCCGCACCTCTCGACATCCTTCCATATTTTACACTTGAAAAGTATGAATATAAGTAAAAAAAATGAAAATACACCTACCGATCTTTTAACTTTTGAATATTTAATTGATATGTTAAAATAAATATTTAAGTAATTATTTTTGTTTTTTTGTTAGTTATTTCTGCCTGCGATTCCCCCGTTTAAACCTATATAAGTAGTATTTGTTGTTTATGAGACCTTTTATTAGATAGATACTTGATTGATTGGATAAACGCAAATAATTAAAATATTATTTATTAAATAAATTCTCTAAAATCTATTAGTTTTTTATATTTATTTTCACTTATAAAGTTATTAAAATTTCGCATTATACTCATACGAGTTATTATTGAGAGCATATTTGTTAGGATTTTTAAATCTGACTAACGTTTGGTACTTTTTAACGAGATCAATCAAAAAAATGTCGTCTATACAATATAGGTAGAGAACGCCTTATTATATTACATGTTGAGCTAGCCTGTAAGTGTGATGTACAGTGTAATACTTTTTAAATTTGTTTTATATTTTTAGTTTTATATCACATTGTATGTTGCGTTGGCTTGCCTAATAAATAAATAAAAAAAAAATAAAAAAAATAAATAGGTACTTAAAAGAAAATACTAACTAAAATAGTCGTTATTATCGATACAGAGGCCGAATCAATAGTTTTTAGAATTTTTGTCTGTCTGCCTGTCTGGGAACGCATCACGAGAAACTCACTGGACAGATTTTGATGTTTGATATGATGATGGCTATCCGGGTCAACATATAAGTAGGATACTTTTTACTGCGGGAAAATATCTCATCTCTAACAAATCTACACTAAATGTTAAAAGGTAACTAGGGACGAACCCGAGGGGAGCGAGGGTGAGTCGCTAGTTTATCTATAATACTCGTAATAATTTAAAAATATAATATTATGATTCGACATTTTATAAGTTTGATTTGTTATAAATAAAATTGTAGCGGCAGTGATTAAATTTCCCTAATGTCTGTATCATTAATTGGATACTTATCATAAGATATACCTAAGTCACTTAATGGATACTAATTATTTTATCACACGTGGATACTTTAAGTTTAATACATAAGTAGGTACTTAGCTGTCTCGGTGGTCTAGTGGCTAGCATGTACAGCTACAGATACAGAGGTCCTGGGTTCAAGTCCCGGGTCAGGCTAAGTTTAATTAATGAGTTTTTCTGTTAAGATATTCTCAGTAACAGACCGGAGTTGAGAAGTTGGCTGTGTGTCACCTCCGTGCTTCGGAGAGCACGTAAAGCCGTCGGTCCTGCATCTTAACTCTCACCGGTCGTGTTGAAGTATCTTCCCATCGGACTCAAAGCGTAAAAGGAATAGAGAGTGTACTTGCGTCCACCGTATATTTGTGCACTATAATATCTCCTGCACGGATACCCTGTCCTGTCTCAATGAGATTAGCCGCTGTGGCCGAAATCAGTCAGGATGACATTAGATAGGTACTTTTATAAGCAGTGTCTACATCAGTCATAATAAAGTATTGAATTGAAGTGAACATTATATACAGACTATGTAGAGACTTTAGTAGGTACATAGAGGCGTACCAGAAAGTGAAGCGTCTTGGTAAACGTCGCCAGTCAGTGGATATTGATGGCAGACCAGAAGTTATGAAAATATTTGAAAGAGGCTGAGAAGCACAGATCACACATAATACTATACTAGTACTGAGAAGAGAACTAGAGACTTTAACTACATAAGTTAAATTATAGTATAAAAATAATATATACCTAAAATTATTTTGAAAATATAAAAACTAATTATCTTTATGAAAAAACTGAATTGGATAATTTAAAAAACGTTAACTATGTTTGTCGTTAATTTGATATATAGTTATTCATTGAACTAGTGACTTTCGAACCAGAAACCAATTCCAATCAGATATGGCGCCACTGCACCACGATAGTTAAATAAACCTTTAGTTTTACGTAAACAGAAGGAAAATTGGATATAATTTATCGGTAAGAAATCTCAAGAGATCGATAGCGGCTTGAGAATTGAGATAAATGCGTCACGAGACACTTAGTTGCCCACACTGAGTGATCTGTGATGGCGGTTTTAAGGACTCTATTAGGTAAATGCTTTACTTTCTAAATAAATTAGCCAATAATTTGCATATTTAAATCTTTAAAATCCTCAATAAAAACTTCAAAACAACTTCGTAATTAACTTTGTTGTTAAGTATTTATGAAATCGTGAAAAATTAAGTTCTAATAACTATTTCCCATATTATAAGTATTACCTAATAAATAATTATTAAGTATAGGTACTACTAGTGCTTGTTGAAGTTCTTAAATTATACAAAAAATTTAATACAACAGTGAGTGTTTTCTAACAAGATTACAATATACATGACATTATATATGTATACGTTATGTCAAGTGTCATTCTCTTTTTTTTTGGTGTTTTATCGAATGTAGAAATTAAATTTTCAAAGCACTACAGACTTGGATTTTATGACGCAACGAAAATAGATAATCATAACCTTTAACTCTGAATAGATAAGTTGATCTTGATCCTCTTTGAACTCATTTAATTTAACTTGAATTGACGATACATTTGGCTCAGTTTGTAATTACTATACTTGCTATGCCAGCGGTCGCGGTTTCGAGTCCCGCTGGGGGCATTAATTTGTGCCCTCTGTATATATTTATAATATGTATATATTTAAAGTTATATATATGTAGTGTATCAACTATCTAGTATCCATAACACAAGCCTCGTAGCTTAGCATGGTACTAGATGGTGTTGTGTATAATGTCCTAACATATAAAGAAAACTCCATTTATGTACCTACCATAATCGAATCACCTCAAGTTAAAAATTAGTTATATGATGTCATAGATATTGATGTTTGGAGATGTAAATAGTTGAAATGCACGCCGTTGGTCAGACCGAATATGACGTTAAAGTATTATCATAACAGAGCGATTAGCGATTTTGTCGCCACAAACTAAAGTCGTCATTTTTCTATGTATGATACTTTGACGTCACGCAAAAAATTATGCATAATATTCCATGTAGCCTGTTTCTCCAGATATATAGTCTGTTTGTCTAAATTCTTCCAGGCGTTTCAGCATGAAGGAAAATGAAAGTAAGATACAAACACACATACAAACTTTCGCATTTACAATAATAATAGCTCGATTTTTACCTGACTATCCTCGAAGGAGCGATATTCCTCAACACTCTGTTAAATTCCTTAATTCTCTTACAATTCTTGATGATTTTTTTGTGTGATTATTTAGTAATTCTAACATTGACCGCTCGGGCGCTCCCGGCGGCAATCCCCGTGCGCGCCGACAATGTGGACCTCACGCTCGAACCACAGATGACCGGTGGGTTCCTGCTCGTCGTAACAGAAGGCAAGTTTGCATCCCATGAATTTGATATTTTTTGCTAACTTCAAAAAGAGGAGATGCTCAATTTAAGTCACTGTTTTTGTTATTGGTTTATGTTTTTTTTGCGAGCAATTTTTTTAGATTTTTTTTTTATTTAATACATTATACTTGTACGGTCCCGATTAAATTTCAAGAAGAAAAAAATCCTCTCTTACGGGTGGGAAGGGAATGATTTAAATGAATTTGAAGTCGATTTTAAATAAATTAGGCGTTAATCAATCTAATTTGAAATTAAAAAGGCACATCGACTTCAAAAACACACTTTCAAACTTTGAAAATGATTGATGTAATACTAAGGTAAATAATTAATATGTTCAAAACCATTTAATTTGTTTTTTTTCTTCACATTTATTGGTTCTGTATACCTAAGTTAAGATTATTATGTATATTCAATATTCATATACAAAAAGCCAATAGTGAATAATACTTACTTAACTTATCAGTTCGACTTAAAAAGTAAATAATTGATTGATCTTTCACCTTTATTTGCAAAAAAAAACTAAATACGACAACAAACACGATAAAATGTCGGGCATACTCTTTGGATTTCCAATTTCATTATCAAACGATAGTGTCAGCTCATCATGATTAAATGTTTACACAAGATGTCTTTCCGCGATATTTGTCTCGGCCAAGTTTAATGAAATAAAGTTAAACTTAATCTTGAACATACATTTTGTTAACTGATTTTTGTTGAACAAAAGGAGATTTTTATTTTGACTATAATTTAGTGATTGCCATTCAACGTATGCTCCTGAATTGAGATGAAATCACTTTGAGATTATTAATTTGGAATTAATATCCATATCACAACGTCTGATTGTAATTTTAAAATGGCTTCTCTTCTTTTCGCTGTTGAAATCCCACACTACTCTTTGAGTAGTGAGCTACAAATATATCGTTGTATTTTTCAACTAGAGTATTACAAAGCCAAATTTTCCCTAGAATCAAACTCACATGCTTTTTTATAAAGAGTATTTTATTTCTAAAATGGACAGATAATCATTTGGTGACCTGCCGTCGGGGCGTCGTAGTTGAATGCGTAAGCGATCCTGCGACGCCCCATTAGGACGGGGGAAGATTTTGTTTTGTTTTAGTGGGTAGTACAGGCTTTGCCGGTGAGTCCCACACCTCGTGCGTAAATGCATTTCCCAACGTTAAAAAAAAAAGGTACTAGATACTAAGTGTTCCTTTCTCTTAAAAAAATGTGTTTTTTTGGAAATTTTACTACAGAATTGTCTACCATTTAATATCTTTTTTTTCTCTCTTTAAGGCTTAGAGGATTTTAATCATACATAAGACATTTCAATATAGATTATTATAGAATAGAATAAAATAGAGTTATTATAGAATAGAATAGAGATTGAGATGTGACATACTGACAGACTAACCTGTTGGAATTAATTTCCGTTCCATTTTTGGTGTTATCCAAAGGAAGGATTCCTTTGGAAACGAGCTAAATTAGATTTTAAAAAGTTATAAGTTCTATTACACGCCTAACATTTCCTAAACACAACTTTAAAAATAATAAACCCAGTTACAATTTATCTACATGTATTTTATCAGGAGACGAAAGAACAGTGTACGGTCACATCGGGCGTACAGTTTACTCTGTATACACTTCTGAAGAGATAGAGGGAGGAGTGTTAATACAAATCGGTCGGATCAATCTCACTGTGCACACTATTTATGATGATGTGAGAGAGGCGAGAGGTATTAAGATTAAATGGAACACGCAAGATCCAGTGCGTTTTGAAGATTGCTTTGATTTTGGTAAGGAAATCTTACATATCATAAAATGTGATATTTCTTTAGCTTGTAGTGCCATTGAATTTATCGAGACATTATTCAATTAGATTGATACTAAAACGTGTAACTATAATATTAAAAGATATTATGAAGAATTGATAAGATTAATTGACCAATTTTTCTCTTTAAGGTTCTAAACACTGGTACGCGGGTCCTATGCAAGTAGACCAAGTATACCCAATAGAAAATGCCCAACAAAACTACACTGCATTTGTTACCAAAGAACAAGATAATGGGGCAATTGCAGAAAGATATTGGCTTAATTCAGACGGCCAATACATATACGTTCACCCACAAGTCCCGTTATTTGTGGACTATCATTTAATACAACAAAACCATATTTGCTTTGGTGCCCAAATAGCGGTGCCATATTCATCTAGAAGAAACCACACAGAGCTTTCATATGATATATGGTTTTTACCTGACGTAAAGAAAGCTCATCAACACGCAGTTGCCAATTACTTGGGCAAACCTTCAGGATTACCAGACTTTAGAATGATACAGCATCCTATCTGGTCAACTTGGGCACAATACTCTAAAAATATTACAGGAGAAAAAGTAATGGAGTTCGCAAACGAAATAAGAGCGTATGGTTTCAATGATTCGCAGCTAGAAATAGATGATCTTTGGGAAACATGTTACGGATCTCTTGAAGTCGATACGAATAAGTTTCCTAATTTAACCCATTTGGTTGAAGAAGTTAAGGGCTTAGGGTTCCGTGTGACAATTTGGGTACACCCATTTCTTAATAGTAACTGCGAGCCCTGGTATTCAGAAGCTTTAACTAAGGGGTAAGCATTAGCACATACAAGTAATGGAATTTCATTTTATTAATTTTAGATAAGATATTAGGTACTACAGGTACGATGTCAAGCATCGGAAACTACCTGACAAGAGGCTTGTTTACATAAAACATTCAGGCTGTGATATCGAGTGCTCTCACCTCAATTACCATACTTTATTATGTAACTCCTACTTAAATTAACCATACAATAATTTTTCACAATCTTTAGATAATTATATATGTATATAAAATAATTAATGTTCATTTACATTTTTAATTTGCTACCACATTTTGTAGATACCTCGTACTAAACGAAGAAGGTTCCCCTGAAGCTAACTGGTGGAACCCCAACGGGTCCATTCCGGGTCTGATTGACTTTACAAAGCCCGCCGCCGCAGAGTGGTGGTATGATAGGGTCAAAGATCTCATCGAAACGTATAACATTGATAGTATCAAGTTTGATGCTGGAGAAAGTAGTTTTTCACCTCAGGTAAGGTTTTTTGCGCTTATTATTTTTTCTTAGTTCTATATTCGTAAAAATTGAATGAATACTACTAGGAATCGCTCTCCATCTGATCATTCATCTGCCGTATAAATGTAAATCAGTTGAACCATATATTAGTTAGCCTGATTAAATTTTCCTACAACATCCGTACCGTACGTATAACAACGTATGTACTATATATGTAGATACTAAAGTCTTAGAATTTATAACATATACCTGCCTAGTACTAACCGAGGCGGCGTCTTCAGGCACTAGTTCGCAGGTGGAACTGCTGGTAGCTTTGGAGGCACCGACTTCCTCTAATTATTATAGATAAAATAGCTAAGAGACCTAAGTTATCCTATAGGTACTACATTGTTAAATATATAAGAATTGTAATGACTAAAATTTTCGTAGATTCCAGTACAAAACGGAGACATCGACCTCCATCCCCACAACATAGTGGACGCGTACGTACGCACTTGTGCAAAATTCGGGGACATGATTGAAGTGCGAGCAGCTTTCAAGTAAGTGTTCAAGAATTCAAATGCTTATGGCAGTTTTAATGAATTAATGGAATTAAAATGAACTTTCAGTACCTAAAATTATATTAAATATTTGCTTTTAGTTTATATTAAATTAAAGATAATTATTTAAAGTATTTCTTCCAAGTCCGTTCAGCCATTTCAACGTAATATGCATAAACACAAGCACATGCACATACACATATGCACATACACACAATCAAATGCATACAGACACACATACAAACAAACTTTCGCAATTATAATATCATTTCCTCTAAAACAAACTATGTATAAACATTTAGGACGCAAGACCTCCCGATCTTCGTACGAATGGTAGATAGAGATTCAATATGGGGTCTCAACAACGGCTTACCGACGATCATAACCACTACTTTACAAATGAACCTCAACGGCTACACTCTGGTGTTGCCAGACATGATCGGCGGCAACGGCTACAACCTGAACCATGCACAATCAGACTTGCCCACTAAAGAGCTATTTATACGTTGGGTTCAGGCTAATACGTTTCTGCCAGCGATGCAATATTCTATCGCACCATGGAACTTTGATAATGAGGTAATTGTTATTATTATTTATAAATTTTCGAAATAAATAAATATAAATATGTCGGGACATTAACATACCAGATAGTGATACACTGCACATATATAACTTTAAATACATATATATTAGAAATAAAAAACATCCATGACTGGAGTATAAACATTCGTGCTTATCACAGAAATGAATGCCGAAAGCGGAATTCTAAGCCGCGACCACTGACACAGCAAGTAGGGTCACTACAAACTGAGCCAAACGTGTCGTCAAAATGTTTGAATTTCAATAAATTTTTAAGATATTATAATTCTGAAAAAGCTTGAAAAGTGTTTCTACAGTTATATTAAGTATCGTTATTCAAGTATTTTTCTGCATTTAACGCAGATGAGTAAAGTATATTTACAGAAGAAGCTTCAAACAACCGCGCTACAGTAGATGCACCATGCGCTACTTCATGAGATGACTGTGTGACATACTAGGTAGTAGGTACTATGAAACTTTGTCTCTGGACGGATATTATATAGGGAAGCTCTTACTAAATAAACTATTTCAAATGCTTTACAGCAATAAAATGTCTCTCCCGTGACCATGATTGGTGTAAAGCATCCGAAACGTCGGGACACAAAAATCAAAATGAATACGCGAAAAAATATGAAAAGATAATTTTATTTAAAATGTCAAATATTCGCTTAAATCTAAGGAAGTATTATTAAAGAAGCTCTTAATATGAAATACTCGACTTCCAGACAGTAGCAATAAGCAAGAAGTACACGGACCTGCACGCGCAACACGCAGACTACATATACGAGGCAATGCGTCTGTCTTCGGAAGATGGCACACCTGTCAATGCACCCCTGTGGTGGCTCGACCCGACAGATGAAGAGGCACTCTCTATATGGGATGGTAAAATGCTTGCAAAACGCTCTAGAAATTATCCGTAAACAAGTTTTCTACAATCAATATTGTTAATAGAAACCAATACAGTAATACAATACTACAACTCAGACCTATAGATAGCACATTAAGAAACACTAGCTGGCTTTCAGCTTACTGTTAAAATGCACTAAATACAAAATTTGATCCAAATCGGTAGAGCCATTTGAATCGTTTCCAAAATGCACGAAATAAAATTATATGTACGTACATATATATGTAAAAAATTGCTCGTTTAACATTATTGATAAAATTGATACTGTCAATCACGACATGCAATATTCCAATAGAGTTTGTTATAAATGCCAACCCGCACTCGGCCAGCGTGGTGGACTATGCCTGATCCCCCTCGTACTGAAGGGAGGCCCACCCCCAGCAGTGGGACGTTAAAAAGGGCTGAATACAATACATAATAGTTGATTAAAAGCATGCTTTTTGTTCGTAAAAATTGCTCAATATTTTGTTCCAGAATACCTCCTTGGCAATGACATATTAGTAGCTCCAGTACTAACTGAAGGGGCGACCTCCCGAGATATATACCTGCCCTCCGGCTTATGGATGGAAGAGGGCGACCCTCAGAGGGTCCATGTCGGCCCTACGTGGTTGAGAGACTTCCCCGCGCCCTTGGACGTACTGCCCTACTTTGTGAAGGAAAGTGGTAATAGTATTAATTCGGGAAATGTTGCTAGTTATAATGCTTTTATATTATTGGGTTTAATAAGTGTTATTTTGATGTTTTAAATTTTAATTGTAATATATTTTAATTTATCGAATGTTTAATTTATGAATTATTGAATGTTGTCAGCAAAAGTGAAGTAAGACCGAAAATGACTAAGTTCGTTTTTTTAAATTAATTTTAAATCTGCTTTTAGATTCTTCAAATTAAACTATTGTCTAACCTTTAAATGAAAAAAAACTTTATAATATTTATTCATATGTTATTTGTCAACTTTTTTCGCAGATATCTAAATTTAATCAGGGCTTTTACTAATACAATTTTATTTCTCTAACTTTTTCCTAGATATATTATCCTTATGACAGGGAGGTGCAAGTACCCCCCTTGCATCTCCCTGCCGGCGCCCGTGGGCATACTCCTTTTAAATATTAACAGTCTGTTATGAACACAATATTTTTATATTGAGCTTCAAAATCATATTGCTTTTCTATACTATGCTATCAATTAAAACTATAAAATTCTTGCAAATTTTATAATATTTCGTTTCATAATATAATAAAATACAGCATTAAGAAATGTACATATTATTATTTACTAAATAAATATTTTCTTTACTAAAGTGTTTTATTTTTGATTGGACTAACATTACTAAACATTTTTTAACAATAACGTATTTTTATATAAGTATGTTTAAAATAGTGTTTGTAATGAACTTAAATGAAAATTAAAACACTGTAAAATTTATTTCACTTTGAAAATAATTGAAAATCATAAATTATCTGTCTTGGTGCCTCCACGTTATTATATTCAGTAACATATAAATATATTGTAATGATGACAAAACACCCTTAATTTGTTTAAGTTAAGTTTTTTAAACCATTGATATATAAAACCCCAAGACTACACGGTCAGTGTCTCAAAACTGTCCTCGGAAAGAGTCCGAAATGTCAAAAATTACCAAAAATGTCAAGTGTCCGTTACAAAAATGTAAAAATATTACATTTAGCAAATGTATTTTGTATGGAAAGTTTGGATTCTTAAAAAAAAAACACGTTAATTAATAAGTATGTGCCAAATTATATAACGTAATGTCGAAACATACACACAAAAGAAATATACATCAACTGTGTACTTCCAGCTACTTTGAAGTCGATAAGAAATAAAGTAATAAAATAATTCGTTAAAAAAACAAAAAAAAACTAGCTCTTGAAAAATTGAAGTCGTGAAGACGAATCATATGAGCCCTAACTCGAGGGATGTACTGGTAGCCACAGTTCCACTCAGCGCTGAATTTACAGTAGGGGTACTCGGGGCTAGTGTCCAGGGTGGCAATTTTTTTAGGGCGCCAAAATAACAATAAAAAAAGATTAACTAGTAGGTACATTTTTCGCAAAATTAATATTATTTATAAAATAATTTTCTGCATTTTTCAAAAAAAATTATAATTAATAACATTTAAACTTTATTGAAACTTTATCCATTTTATGCAAAATTTCGATCATTGGGCGGCATTTTTTACTATGCCCAGGGGCGGCGCTAAAGTTAAATCCGGCACTGGTTCCACTATCCACCTCCTGGCTGCATCATCAAATTAGCTCCAAGATACCAAATTATAATACTGTCATTCGAACTACATATATAATACATATACAAAGTTTCATTTCGATACGAAAATTAGAAGTATGTTAAAAGTGACTTCTAAGATTTTATCACATTGTTAATTAATTAGTTACAAGTGAAGTTAATTAAAGCGTATTAAAAAATATGAAATATTGTTTTTTTTAATTGAACAAAATTGTCTAAATAATAACGCAAACATTAAAAAAAATATATTATAATAAAATAAATTTATTAAGCGTCGGTATTGACAGTAACATCTACCACAAGCCCCGCGCCGAGAATCTTGAAGTCTTCTACGATTGCTTCAATATTCACTTTATATTTGATCTCTCCATTTATTGTCACAGGCTTCAGTGCGTTTGCGTTTGCAATCTGAAATAAAATAAACATAATCTGAAATAAGAAAAAACTAATTAAATAAAACTATTTTTTCGGATTTTTCGAAGAGAGTCTCTTCCACGACCATGATTACTGTAAAGCATTCGAAACGTCGGGAACCAAAAATCTAAATAAATCCGAGAAAAAATCCAAAAAGATAATTTTATTTAAAATGTCAAATTTTGGCGTAAATCTAAGAAAGTATTAAATACTGATTATTTAAAACTATTTCTTGAATAATATTTTCTTAGATTTACGCAAATATTTGACATATATACTAATTACTAATATTATAAATTCGAAAGTAACTCTGTCCGTCTGTCTGTCTTTTCACGCTTAATCCACTGAACCGATTTAGATGGAATTTGGTATGGAGATAGTTTGAGACCCTGGAAAGGACATAGAATAATTTTTATCCCAGAAATCATCCCTTAAGAGAGTGGAAGTTTGTATGTGGAATCAATCATTTCTCAAGTAAGGGATATAAAACTTATCGTACCTATGTATGTATGTATACTTTATCTATTCCATACTAAGCGTCAAATTAAACTATATTTTCGGATTTAGAGTCACAGTCTTTCCCGTAATCATGATTGCTGTAAAGCATTCAAAACGCCGGGAATCGAAATTCAAAATAAATTCGCGAAAAATCCAAAAAGACACTTTTATTTATTTCTTAAAGTTACGTTGAAACAAAAAAGAGTTAAAAGTTTTAAATATGAGTTATATATTCTGGTATTTATAGAAAATAAACAGTGATATTTTATAATAAGGATCAAGGAAGCTAGTGTGGGACTATCAAAATTTGCTAAAAACATTAAGAGAACAGTTATGGCATAGCGGTAACGCGGTCGCTTGGGAAACCGAGGGAAGCGGGTTCAAATCCCGGATTTCGCATCTTCATATTCTCACGTGCGAATCATTTCCAACATAATGAACACTTGCGGTGAAGGAAAACATCGTGAGGAAACCTAATCTGAGTGAACCTAGCAAGTTTTAGAAAGAGGTGCTCAGTCCGCCCGCACTCGGCCAGCGTAGTGGACTATGGCCTGATCCCCTCATATTGAAGGGAGGTCCACTCCCAGCAGTGGGATATTACAAGGGGCTGAATACAAAAGACACCAGATAGTAATAAATAAAAAAAATAACCTGAAACTCCCTGGGCTCGTGTATGTCAGGCTTCCACAACACGGCAATAATGTCTCCGCCGTAAGCGTCGTGGAAGAACTCTGCGAACTCACCATATGCTGACTGGGATAGCAAAATAATTCATTTTCAAGTTAGACCTTAAGCTTTTAAGCAATCGATTTCAATTGGACTTTAAGCTTTTTAACTTAAGGTCCAATTTAAATTTACAATATAAAATCCGAAGAAGTAAAGAATAATTTCAAATTATAACAATCATTTTCTAAACTAATAAATAAAAAGATAGTCTAACACCAGTTCGGAAAGAATAAGCCTCAGAATAAGAACCTGAGAATAACTAATGAATTACCCGACAAACAGTTAAAAACAAATGAAAATTTTAAAAACATGCAGAGGGCCTGAAGTGGTAGACATGTGTTATGACGTATTAATAAACACAATAAATACATACAGAAATATTGTTGTTTGAATAACAAACTCGTAGTGACAAGCATGTCATTAGGTCCGTGCCCAGCAGCGGGGCGTTAAAAAGGGCTGAATATAGTGATATATATATATATATACATATATATATATACATATATATATATACATATATATATATATATATATATATATATATATATATATATATATATATATATATCTGTATAAATATTATAAATGTGAAAGTTAGTGATGTGTGAAGAAGAAGTGGATATTAGTTACTCTTTCACGCCAGAACGGATGACCGGATCTGGATGAAATTTGGCACAGAGATAGGTTATAGTCTGGAATAACACATAGGCTACTTTTTATCCCGGAAAAATGTACGGTTCCCGTGGCATAGGTTTGTTTTTGTTTTCCTATAGGCGAACTCGTGCGAAGCGAGGATGAGCCGCTAGTGTATGTATACCTTCAACTCGTCCAAGTATCTGTTAACGGGATGAAATTCCACCACCGGGATGAGGTCATCCTCCGCGGCAGGGGGCGGAGGCCGGGGGCCGCCGGGCCGCGCCTGCAGGCGCTCCCCGCGGTGCGGCACCAGCCGCGCCCGCAGCCGCACCAGCACGTCGTACCCCGACAAGGACGGCACGAACGCTTGCTGTACACAGGTAACACACATTATTATATATGTATAGATAATAAAATATGTAATAGAATCTACCATTGTTAAGTTATATGGTTTTAAAAAAAATCGGATCAGATGAAGATCAGATTTTTGCGGTTTTAGTTTTCATGTTTCATAGCCACTTTTTGAAACAGTTTTTTCTATGACCACGATAGTAGAGAGAGAGAGAGGGAGAGAGAAAGAGCTACCCACACCGAGACGCACATACGTACGAACAGAGAGAGAGAAAAAAGGCTAGAGAAAGAAAGCGAGAAAAAGATCACACATACACGCACACACATACTTAACTGCCTCCGTGGTGTTGTGGCTAGCATGTACGGCTGCACATCCGGAGGTCCTGGGTTCGAGTCCCGGGTCGGGCCAAGTTTAGTTATTGAGTCTTTCTGTATAAGTAAGCCTCAGTAACAGCCCGGAGTTGGGAAGTTGTCGGTGTTTCACCCCCGTGCCTCGGAGAGCACGTAAAGCCGTCGGTCCTGCGCCTTAACTCTCACTGGTCGTGTCGAGCAGTCGTCCCACCGGAGTATGAGAGTGACAGGAATAAAGAGTGCACGTTGTCTGCGCGTACACTATTTGTTGTGCACTATAATATCTCCTGCGCAGTTGGCTAGTCTCAATTAGATTGGCCGCCGTGGCCGGAATCGGTCGGAAGAACATCATCACTTACCAATATATTATCCTGCATATCCTCCAGCAGGGCAGCCCCGGCGTGGCGCAGCGCGGCGCGCGCCAGCGCCCGCGCGCGGCGCAGGGCGGGCGGCGCGGCGCCGCGCGTCCAGGGCGAGCGCGCCGCGCCGTCGTACGGCGTCGCTATGTACATGTATGGGTCTCCTGTTTCCCGAGCGGCAAACTTACGCTCCATTTCTGATATTTCTTCGCCTGGAAATTGATCAACAAACTATTTTATAGTCTGCTTTTTATTCTCAGAGACGAAACTGACATTACGTGGGTTGCCAGTTTTTGCAATTCTTAAATAGTGATGTGCCACTATCGAAAATTAACGTTAGTAAAATCGAGTATCGTATTTTTATAATAAATTGTTATCCTGAAATAATGTGTAGGTACTTTTAAAACGTAATAATACAAAGTTAATAATGCAAATTTAAATTTAATAATGTGGTTTTAATGATACTTAATGATTTAAAATCAATAAATATAGTATGTATTTAGAAATTTAGAATTAAAAATGTGAATTTTAAAGATACACTTTGGAATATAAAACCTTGAAGCGAACCGTCTAACAAAGATAAAAAGTTACGATTTAACAAACCGGTATCGTAAGTACAACACTGCACAAAAAAGCTGGCAGAATTATTTGTTTTGACATTTCCATGTGTTAATTTAGTCCTGAGATTAAAAACAAACTATAGTCAAGAAATCAGGTGAGTTTTAAGTAGATAAAAAAGAGTTACTCAGAGTGTACCTTAGGAAATAGACATATGCTATTACGGACTTTTCTGTAGGAATTTTTAAGACCTACAATTTTCTAATACATACATTGTTTTGTTTACCTTTTAAGGTAAACCTAGTTTAACTAGCGTGAGCTTTTCAAAGACGATTTGACCGAACTAGTTATTGTATTTTTCCGCGGGATTGAGAGTTTGTCCATATAGTAAAAGATACTCTAAATGTTGACCTAAGCAATAAATAAGTTATCACTGCATAAAATTCTATTAAAATCTATTCAGTACTTTTTGCCTGAAATGCATACAGACGACATACAGATGACAAATTTCTACCAAGGGTCGGGTCAAATTTAGCAATTAAATCTATTCGTTTGAAAGTCTCAAGAAGTAAACAGTGTGACCACTAACCCCCGTGCCTCTCTCATGTCGAAGTGTCGTCCTTTCAGACTTTGAGAGTGACAGGCATAAAGAATGCACTTGTGTCTGCGTGTACACTGACACACACGCTGCACTGTAACATCTTGTGCAGTAGGCTTGGTGGATTGGCCGCCGTCACCGAATTCGGTCGTAAGGGGTCAGGGATCATATCCGAAAGTTCATAAATGAGCGTTTATTACTTATTCTAGCTATAACGGGCTCAGACTCAATGTATCTAGAGCGCACACGAACTTCTTACAATACACATCCCCTCAACACTTATGATTGCCTGGTACTTTTGTCACGAGTACTAGAGGACCACGGACCTCAAGGAGTGCATACGATCTCCTCAACACTTATGATCGCCTGGTATCTTTGTTACGAGTACTACGAAACCACAACCTCAAGGAGTGCTCGTTATATATTATGTAGGGCCTCTTCAAAGAGTGCATACAACAGTCAACTTATTTACTTTTAGCTAAAATAAAATTCCAATGTATTTCTGATGCTATCAAAGTCATTTTTATTTCTAACTAAAGTGTCATAATTTAAGAAGCTATCGCCAGCCAATTATAACTCGATACTACATTAACTTATATATTTTTTATAACCATGTGTATTAAACACATATAAAATAAAAAGTGTCGTGACTTGTTCCAAGACCAACTCACGTGATATATCATCATTAAAGTCCACCACCAGCATCTCCTTCTCCCAGTCCTTGTCGGCCAGGAGCTGCAGCACGCGCAGCAGGCCCAGCGTGGGCTGCGCGGGCGCGGCCAGCGGCGCGGCCAGCAGGAAGGCGGCGGCCACCAGCAGCTCGGCCGCCGCGGCCGGCACGTGGCGCGCCAGCAGGTGGCTGGACAGCCAGCGCTTGAACAGGCACACTGTGCCACCGAAAGCTGGGTGCTTTTGGTGAAGACTGTTGAGTAATGCAAATTGGTTGTGTACAAGTCTTTATATTCAAAAATGGCGAACGGTGAAATTTTAAGGAAGGTAATCCGCTCCAACATAACAAACAAAATAGCTTAAACGAAACTCAATTTATGATTTTTTTACGTCTTTAAACTTTCATGGCAAAGGTTAAAAATTTAAGGAACGTAAGCAGCCCTAAAAATAGGACAAAAAAGTGTAATAAAGCTCATTGTAGTATGAAAAAGGTAAGCTAAAGCTAATCGGCTTGCTGTCGCTGTTTTTATGACGTTAAAATATATTCTCGTTGCATTTGTACCTATGATTTGGCGCAGGTGTTATATTAGTTTAAATAAAAGATTGCAGTATGTTATTTATTCTTAAATTTACACGAATATTTGACCAAAAATCAAAATAAATTCGCAAAAAAAAAAAACAAAAAACTCATAGTACGTTACGTTTATTAATAATTTATTATCAACGGTGGATTACTGGATTTTTGAATGGTAAACCGGTAGAAATTGGTTGAATCTGTCACTGTTGATTACAGAACTATATACAGGGTGCGAATTTTTATTTTTTATATAAATGTTAAAAATTCAAACAAATAACTTACCCATGTAAAGCCCCTCTTAATCTCGGCAACAAAAAACTCTCCCGCTCCAAATTCAAACTCTCCTCAGTCTCCTTGAACTTCACCACTCCCCTCTGTATTTCTCTCCGCAGGAGAGTTATCTCTTTAGCGTGAGCAATTCTTAGGCGAAAGACTAAACCATTTTTGAGCACATCGACGTGAGTGTCATAGGCTTGAGTTAGGAGGGAGTACTGTTTGTTTAATCGTTCAGCGATTTGTAAGTGAAAAGCCGCTTTTAGACAGCGGAAGGCCTCGATGTCACCCGGCCATTTGCCACTGTGCGCTATAAGAAAAAATATATATTATTTCATCATTATGATTTTTTTATTTATTAATATATGGTGGTAACACAACTGTGACTTTATTTCAGATACAATCTCAATTTTATTCTATTGTTGATGGCTTCAAAGCGTATCAATTGAGCACAGATTACTTCGCCAAGTTATATAGAATGGAGAAGTCAGAGATACAATCACTATGTACGGATCTGAGAATAAAACCTTTTTGACATAAATGAATCTGAAACTAACAGTGTTTAAATATTCGGTAATTATTCAGCCAATTAACCGAACATGAAAAATAGCTGAATATATCGAAAACCAATTACAATTCGATCAAACACAGCACATCTCTATTACATGAGAAATTCGAAATCCAAAAAAAATAATGAAACCACTCAATTTAAAAAAAAAAGTGAAAGAACTCACTAAGCTCCACCACGACGTCACTAGCAGGCGTATACTCCGGCACGAAGGTCCCCTGGTCGTGCAGCAGCGCGCAGGCCCCGCGCCGCCGTGGCCCCCGGCGCGGGGCCAGCGGGGGACACGGGGGGAAAGGCTCGCAGTAGCTGAATACGGGGGACGTGCCTGTGTTAAGTTATATATATAAGCAAGCTTCTAACTAGAAAATCGACATTGACCTCCAAACATTCACAAAACAAACATATAAATTAATATTTCAGGTATAAAAGCTTGATCAATACAAAAACATATATATTTTTTAAAGGGATTGTTAATTCTACATTCCAAAGATCAGGTCGAGATTACGAGATCCTATAACTAGGAAGTCACTAACGTTCTCACACCATGACTTTAAAAAGCGAAACAAAAAAATAGATAAATATTTAAAACATAGTGTGCATAGGTCCTAAATCGTAGCAATTTGGACTATGATAGAGGTTTTTCATGAGTTTAATTTTTTTAATATATATTGTCACGAGGCACCGTCAAAGAGTGCATACAAACAACTTAACAGTTATGCTTGCCTGGTACTTGTGACGACATCACACGAGGTGATTTTAGTAAATAATAAAGAGTGCCATGACCATCGAAATATTACATTTGTTTCCATCTAGCTCTCATTCGCTAAGTATACCCAGTAACATGCGATAAGAAAATTGAATCCAATAATTTATTGCAAAAAAACTTAAAAACTTACCATAAACCGCACTAATTTCCAACGGCAACTGTGTCAGCCCTCTCATATCTCTCCGTAACTCATCAAAGGCTTGTAACACGGAGAGAGCGGTCTCCTCCATCTGCTGGCACTGATCAGACTTCCTCACTAACAGGTCGTTCAGTTGGGAGTTGATGTGGAAGATCTGCTCCGGTGGGACAGCTGGAATGATATTTAAATTACTTTTACTATTTTTAAATTTGAACCTGTAACCAATTAAATTAGAAATTGTGATATTAACATGTGATTTTTATCAGTAAGCGACATATGAAAATGAAATGAAAAGTTTTATTTTGGCCGTGTCTGTGTGAATGTTACAATTTTTGTATTGTACTGTCTAGATTATGTATCAATTGAATAGCTTAATCAATGTGAACCATAAAAATATCTAGGAATATTCACTCACCAATAAGAACTTAAAGGTAATTTATTTTTTAATTTATGTACGAAATTATATTATCTACAAGCTACTTACCCTCGCTTCGCTCGCGTGCGTCCCTAGCTACGTTTTAATAAAAAAATGTTTTTTTTTTTGCGCGGTACCCATTTTTTTCTAAAATAAAAGTAGGATGCAATAAGGAGTATCTTAATCTAAGTTACTTCGTATAACATATCTGCCATTAAAAGTCCCGTCAAAATCGGTCCATTTCGGAGATTAGCAGGAACAATCAGACAGAATTATATATTTTCATATGTATTTAGTAAAAAAAAACGGATATTTTTACATATACTACGAGTATTTAAATTAAAAAAAAACACTACCATATTTAATCTGTAACAGATAGTCTATTATCTGTGCGGGGATGTTGCGCCTGTCTGCGAGCGTGTCGGCGCTCCACACGCACGCCTCCGTGATGGAGCCATCTTGGAATCTGCGTAGCTCAGATTTATCTCCCCAGAATGCTCTGAAATGGTCAATAATATTGTCTTCATAAATAATTGTAATTTATGGTATACATTAAAAAAAATTAATATTATATTTAACTAGCTACCTTGGTCGGTACGTCCTTACGTAGGTTTTGAATAGATAAAAATACTTATTGCGAGTATACTTTACGAGATAGACATAATATGGCATTGGACTTTTTTGTAGGCCTTTTTAAAATCTACAATTTTCTAGTACATTAGTTTCGGTGTACATGTCTCTTAAGGCTTAGCCAACGTTAGCCATATTAAATCCTAAGGAGGATTCGACAAAATCAGTTACAGTAGTAATGAAAGATTTTCCTGTAGTAAAAGATATGCTAAATGTTGACCTGAGTAATAAGTTACACAAAATTTTATTTAAATTGGTTCAATATTTTTAGCGTGAAATGCACACAGACATACAGACAAAATTTTCAATAACTATTGTTTTGCGGCCTAAATTTTGTACACAATACATAATAGTCATTGTTTTTAAAAAATATTTTATGTACATATTTTCTTCATTACTATTTTATTATATGTGTACACTTGAATGAGTGATATATATATTGATATATATTATTATTTGTCGTTACCTAACTATATAAATTATTTTTCGTTACCTAAATTCTTCTGCTTCTGGAAGATTAGCTGGAGGTCCTCTATCAACTATGTTTATTGCATTCTCATGGTTCAATATGAAACCAAATGATAGTTTCTCCTTATAACTAAAAAACATCACACATAATAAATATTTTTTGGGAATTGTTCAGTAATAACACAATTAAACAAGTTAATTTTAAAACTATTATAATTTGAAACTATTAAAAAAATAATATACATGCAAACAAACATAAACCTCCTTTCCGGAAGTTGGTTAAAAAATGTGACAAATATAATATAAACTATGAAATCATCCAGCAAACAAACTACTTTATTGCAAATGGCACTTATTTTACTATAATATGGAGGCATAAAAATTCATTTCATGATTTTAATGAATGAAAATCCAAACTTAAGATCAATATAAAATAATGGTTAAAAAAAATTTTGGCTGCTTGGTCCTGTGTGACAAATTATTCGATTTTGAACCTCATGTCTCATCTTTAAGATACAGTAAAAATAATAACACCACTAACATTTGAGTAATGATCTATGTTTTAACATGGTATAGAAAGTTTTTCCAATTTCCAAATTAGGAATCATATGCTTTCTATGGTGTATCCCTATTCACTGCTATGAAATATTTAAAAAAAATTACCAATAAATAAAAACCTCACCCTTCCTTTTTTTCTTTTTCCAAAGACTTCTTTACAGACCAAGAGAAATCGGCTTCAACTATCTGTAGAATTAAATCCACTCGGTCACCGAGACCTTTGCTTAGCAAATTGTGGAGTGTCTCAGTAACTAGTGCGAGATGATCTAAGCCATAGTTAACTCTGACCGGTTTTAGAGCTTTATCTAAGATGGTTTGTTTTACTTCATTGAAGTTTTTAAACCTGAAAATATTTAGTAAAGAAATTAAATATTTACCTTAATCTTTACATAAAATATTACATATTACACAATATAAAGAACAACTCTCAGAATGAAGACAGAAATAGCTTTATTTTATGTCTACTTACTTTAAAATATGATCAAACTGCATCAAAACCTTAACTGGTGTCATAAATAATGGTATGAAACTGTTTATTTTTGCGTTATCTAACATATCAATGGCTAGAGAACTCTCTCGCTTTAACGCCGAATAGGTTCCTTTAGACATTTGCCATAAAATATTGTAGTAGCCAGTCTTATCTAAAAACACAACAGGGAAGTGTTCATGGAATTCTTCTAATGATGGGGAGCCTTGGTCCTTGCATACAGATATACCTTGTTTATCCCATTCTGACGATTCTGTAACAAATTTAAAATATACTAGCGACTCACCCTCACTTTGCTTTAGGTATGTCCCTAGACAAAAACAAATCTATCCCACGGGAACCATACATTTTTCCACAATAAAAAGTGACCTATGATTCCAGACTATAAGAACCTCCAGATCTATTCATCAGATCTGGTGTAATTGAGTAACAAGCATCCATTTAAACTTTTACATTTATAATATTTATGGGATTATGGGATGAGTATGGATTAAGTATAATGAAATTAGTAGGCACAGAATTTATCATCTACTTGTGAAACAAATAATTTTTATTATTAATAAGGTATGATTTTTGAACTATGACACGCTCAAGTATATATACAATTTTTTAAATACAAAAAACCTAATATTACAAAACACTTTTAAAATTATAAACATGCACTTACTCAAAGCAATCCATACATTTCTCACAATCTGATAACTGCTCATAATGTTATTTATTCTCTTTGCTTGAACTAAATATGCTATTATCATACTGATGATGTATCCAGATACTTGTAAATTACGCTGTCGCACCCATATTTTTAACAGAACTACAGCCTGTTTTAAATTTTCACAATTCATTAAAATTTGCTTTAAAAATTCCTGGTTTACTGAATTTGTCAAATCACTTAACACACTACTATTATAATATGGTGTTGGAAGACCAATTTCTGTGCTTTCTTGATCATCCATTGAAAATAACCATGACTCTCTTAGATTGTTACGAGTTGGACTAAACCTATGTAGCTTGTAAGCTTCAATCCCACAAACAACATCAAGATGCACATATATATGGTTGCCAAGTTTCCCATGTGGTTTTATTATCAATATAGGTTTTGTTTCACAAGCATTTTTAAATGAATATTGTAGATTTTCTATTATTTCAAGTTTGTTTAAATGGGAGGCTATATAAGCTAAATATGCAGCTCTTTTTTTATGATACTTATAATTTACTGAGTCATTTTTTGTGTATGTATCTACTGGAACTGTAATTTGTAAGTCAATAACTAATTTTGAGTTTATAGAGCATCCTAAGTTATAAGAACCAACAATTTCAATATTACTGAATTTATAAAATTTAAACATAACTTTTGTCTTCTCAAGTATATCATTGATAGGCAATTTCACTTTTAATAGCTTTGAAAAAGTTTTATCAGACAAGTCATATTCTTTCTCACTTTCTGGTATAGATAACAAATGAGTTTTGAAATGCGTGAACCATTCTTGAAATCTTTTAATAGTTTTCTCTTTGACTTTAACCTCCTGTAGTATTTCTTCAACTTGAAGTCTAAATAAATTAGAATTAAATAAATTCTCAGTTTCTTGAAGACGATTTAATTCGTTTGCAGTAGGCTGACGGTATAAACTTTTGGTTTTAATACGTTTCTTTCCATCCTTATTTCCTGAATCGGCTACTCGTTTTCCATTTTCATTAATAATATTAGATTCACCATCGTCCTCCGAAACGGAATTTTTGATTACCTGAAGCAGAATGGAGTGCACAATTGAACGAAAATATATGAAAGAAAAACTTATGATAAAATAAATAAAACTTACCCGTTTTACCATTTTGTGAAAAGTTATAGGGTTTAATAAAATGTACTACAAAATATTATTATATTATTGTAGGTTATAATTTTGTAAACAACATGCATCGAACATGCGCATTGAATTTTGAAAAGTTAATTTTGACAGTGACAACTGACAGCTATTGGTGTCATGGGTGACAGCTGACAGGATTAGAATCACAGACTAACTAGAGATAATGTTACAATAAAAAACAAAAAACATTATTTAATAAAAATAATTAAAGGTGTTGTAATTTTTATTCAAGTAATGAATCTAATATTTTAATTCAAAATTTAAAATATTGATAAATGCCAGTGCAGTGTACCGTACGGGTTGCTCCTGGTACTTCTCTGATAGCAGAGTATTATATATATATTTAAGAGGTAGGGCACAGTGGGGTATATACCCTACTCGAATTGGAGCAGCCCGACTGGCTAGTACCTCCGCCTTACAGAAAATCGCAGCCAAATAACACTGCTCTATGACGGTGTTGTGTTCCTGCGGTGAGTAAGGTATCCAGAGCTCCAGAGGATTTATTGTGTTGATAGAGAGGGGCCGGTGATGCAAACGGCACAGTCATCGGCCGGTGTAGGCGCGGTGTGTGGGCACAGCGATCAGTGAGACCCAGTGAAACGGTTCGTCGCTGGCCGCCCGCGGGTCAGTAGAGTTCCCGAACCCAGGGATTACCTAATCTCCGCCCTGGGAGGCTGAACTGCCAACCCGCGTAAAATCCCTGCTGTAGCAGTCGTGCCGGAGGAGGAGACCGGGGTGGACCCGGCTGTTGCAGTGGGGGGGGACTGGGGGCCCTCTCGTACGCTGCGCTGACAACCCGTACTACCTATGCTAGCCTGTGGCTGGTCTGCATTGCAAATTTGCCCCTTTACCTATCAACACAACAAATCCTCACAACAACCTATAAACCACCCCCACCAAGAAAATGAAGAACAAAAGGAAAAAGAGTAAGTGTTACACAGCGGCTCCCATCTCCACACAAGTGGACTTCTGCAACATCAGGGGGCTCCATGCAAACCTCAGCGCAGTCCATCACCATCTGGAGACTGCGCAGCCGACCTTACTATTCCTCACGGAGACGCAAATATCTTGCCCGGCCGACACATCATACTTGCACTATCCCGGCTACAAACTAGAACATAAGTTTCTAAGACGTGCCGGTGTATGCATGTTCGTTCGGGAGGATATCTGCTGTCGCCGTCTCCTTCATTTAGAGGACAGGGACCTCTCGATATTGTGGGTGCGCGTGGACTACGGTGGCCACACCCGTATTTATGCGTGCCTATACAGGTCTCATAGCGGTGACAGGGAAACAAAAAGACTCTTCGAGCACCTGCAATTGACGACGGACAAAGTTCTTGAGCAATACCCCTCTACGGAGTTGGTGATTTTAGGAGACTTTAACGCCCACCACACTGAATGGCTCAGTTCTCGGTCCACTGACTACGCGGGGAGGTGTGCTCACGAATTTGCTCTGGCCTATGGTTACTCACAACTGGTGCATTCTCCAACAAGAATACCAGATATTGAGGACCATACGAGCTCAATACTGGACCTTCTGCTGACTCAACGTCCGGATGGATATTCCATCTCAGTAGATGCACCACTTGGCTCGTCCGACCACTGCCTTATCCGGACTCTTGCACCATGCGCGCGCCCAGATCCACCTCGGCCAACTAGCTTGCGGCGCATGTGGCAGTATAAGTCAGCAGATTGGGATGGATTGCGAGAGTACTTCGCATCGTACCCGTGGAGGCAATTGTGCTTCACATCAGAAGATCCCGACATCTGCGCAGCTGCTGTCTCCGAGACAATATTGGCGGGTATGGAATGTTTCATTCCAAACTCGCTAGTTGCTGCCGGGAAAAAGAAACGACCGTGGTTTAATCGGCCTTGTAAGAAAGCGAGATACATTAAGCAAGCCGCGTTCAGGGATTGGATCACGGCTCGGAGTAATAGATATCCAAATCTTTCTGATGTGAAACGCAAACTAAATGCCGTCTCGAGGTCCAGTAAAAAACAATTGTCAGAGCTTTATTGGAGTTCATCGGGAGAATTGGCGAAAAGCTGGCTAGTTACCCTTCCGGGAGTCGAGCCTTCTGGTCGCTCGCCAAAGCTGCCGAGGGGAACTTTTGTCTGTCGTCCTTACCACCACTGCAAAATGCCGACGGCAACCTGGCCCATAGCGCCAAAGAGAAAGCCGATCTACTAGGTACACTCTTTGCCACAAACTCGACTTTGAAGGTCAATGAAAGCGCCGCACCGCCAACCATCCCACGGTGTGGACACTCCATGCCGGAAATAAATTTCTCACAAAGAGAAGTCCGGCGGGAGCTGCTAAGTCTTGATGTTCATAAGTCGAGTGGGCCCGACGGCATACCAGCAGTGGTACTCAAACAGTGTGCTCCTGAGTTGTGCCCTGTACTAACGCGACTTTTCGCACTTTCCTACCAATCTAGGCAAGTACCGTCTTCGTGGAAGACCGCCCATGTGCACCCGGTGCCCAAAAAGGGCGATAGATCAGACCCATCGAATTACAGGCCTATCGCTATTACCTCTCTTCTCTCCAAGGTTATGGAGCGTGTTATTAATACCAAGCTCCTCAGATACCTAGAGGAACACGATTTGATCAGCGACCGGCAATACGGCTTTCGCCACGGTCGCTCGACTGGTGACCTTCTAGTGTATCTGACACACCGGTGGGCTTCAGCCATCGAGAGTCAAAGTGAGGCGTTGGCAGTTAGCCTAGATATAGCAAAGGCGTTCGATCGGGTCTGGCACCGGGGTCTTCTCTCGAAGTTGCCATCTTACGGACTACCCGAGGGCTTGTGCAAATGGGTTGCCAGCTTTTTATCTGGTCGATCCATCAGAGTCGTCGTTGATGGCTGCTGCTCGGAAAAACTAGATATAAACGCTGGCGTCCCGCAAGGTTCTGTGCTGTCTCCAACGCTTTTCCTTCTGCATATCAATGACTTGCTGTCTATTGATGGCATTCATTGCTATGCGGACGACAGCACTGGAGACGCTTTCTACACAGGCCGTGCAAACATCCCTCGCTCCGCTGTGGTAGAAAGTCGCGAACAACTTGTGTCTCAAATCGAGAGTATTCTTTCCAGAGTCTCCGATTGGGGTCGGGACAATTTAGTCCAATTTAACCCCTCTAAGACACAAGTTTGTGCGTTCACCGCTAAGAAAACCCCATTTACTGTGGCCCCTCAATTCCAGGACACACCCCTAACCATCTCCAACAGTATTGGTATTCTTGGTGTCGACATATCCAGCGACGTCCAGTTCCGAAGTCACCTGGAAGACAAGGTCAAGCTGGCATCCAAAAAGCTAGGTGTGCTTAATAGAGCGAAGCGGTACTTCACGCCGGGACAAAGACTGCTTTTATATAAATCGCAAGTCCGTCCCCATATGGAGTACTGCTCGCATCTCTGGGCGGGAGCACCGGCATACCAGCTTAGGCCTTTTGACTCGGTTCAGAGGAGAGCTGTGAGAATTGTCGACGATCCAATACTCACAAGCGATATAGATCCCCTAAGTCTAAGAAGAGATTTTGCGTCCCTATGTGTGCTCTATCGTTTGTACAATGGGTTGTGTTCCGAGGAATTGTTCGAAATGATGCCCACGGCCACTTTCTATCACCGCACCGCTCACCATCGACAGGGAGTTCATGCTCACACATTGCAGCCCAAATGGTCCCGTACAGTTCGGTTTCAGAGGAACTTTCTCCCACGGACCATCTCGCTGTGGAATGAACTCCCTGCCGAGGTTTTCCCAGAGGGCTACAGTATGGGGTCCTTCAAAAGGGGAGTAAATAGGTTTTTAAAGGGTCGGCAACGCGCATGTGATGCCCAAGGTGTTGCAGGCGTCCATAGGCTGCGGTAACCGCTTACCATCAGGCGGGCCGCATGCCTGATTGCCACCGACGTGGTATAAAAAAAAAAAAAGAGTAGACTGTGGGAGCAATCCCTTTGGTTGCAAGCTTCAAGCTTGCTTGGAAGGCAGGTGTGCCGTAAGCTATCGTGTCGGTACGTCGTGCCATCATGGTTGAGTTCGTAAGCGAAACGTAGTGGTTAGATACTCTTTGGTAAACGATACTGCGGGCTGCGGAGTCCTTAAATTAAAACAGGTTCCGTTAGGTTTAAGTAAGCACTAAGCAGCCTGGCTTTTCTAGTCAGTGAGTCCCACATAACCAACTGTATGTATACATGTAATATGTGCTATGCTATATGCATAAATGCATTTTCGGACATTAAAAAAAAAATAAAAAATAGAGGTCATCGTATGATGTCATATTCATAATTAATTCTGCTTCTTCACATTAAACTACTACAGCTAATCTTTAAATGATTAACTTTATAATTTTTATTCATATTATGTTATTTACCGTTTGTTCTTTGAAGATATCTAAATTTATTTAGGGATTTTACTCATATATTTTATTTCCGTAACTTTTTCTGTTTTCATTCATGGCAGGGGGATGCGAGTGCACACCCTTGTACCCCCCTCCCGGCGCCCATGGTCATGTTGATATTATATCATGTCCACGTAAGATTAAGTCCACTTAAGATACTAACGGTCACAATAATTGTAAATTAAAATTTTAAAAAACCCCCTACGCAAATTGTCATTTAACGATTACAGTGGCATGCGTGAAGCACTTACGAGTATATAATCGAGTAATCATACGCCAAACTGCCATACATCATTTTGGAAAAGAGCTGATACTCTTACACTGCTTGACCGATATTAATCAAACATAGCTAAAAACCACCGCAAGGAAACTGGCTTTCAAAAAAAAAGCGCATCGAAATGAGTCCATCCGTTTGAGAGCTACGATGCCACAGACAGACACACACGCAGACAGACAGACATCGACGTCATACTTATAACACCCTCTTTTTGCGTCTGGGGTTAAAAATCAGTTTTCACGAGTATTTTACTTCCAAAGAGTTAAATGATATTTGCATCTATTATAAAAGTTGTAGAACATAAAATTTCCGACAATTTTGGTTTTAAACATTTTATCAAATAGATACCTAAAAAACTTATAAAAAAATCATATGCCAATGTGAATTCATTTTATTTTTAATGTATATATAAGAAATAAAACAAAAATTAACAATATTAATATTGTTTATTGAAAGTTGGATACCATCCATTGTCTTTAAATGAAGAACATTGAATTAATGTTAATATTATTTCTTCTAAAGAATAAAATTATGAAAGTGGGAATTAAAATATAAATAAATAATGTTACTGTATTTAACAATTATGACGCCATTACACTCTTAATTGCTCTGTTTTACAAAAAGAGTTGACGCTAAAAAGTCCTAAATATAATACTATTTTGCAACAATGCTTACGGCTCTGGTAACAATTTTTTTTGGTATATCCAAATAACGCGACTAGGGAAGTTTCCATATTTAATATTTACTATAGTTTTGATATAATTGCATTTGTGTATTCGCTGCATTTGCCGGTACCGCCGAGGTCGCCGGTCAACGACTTGCCCTCGCGTAGCACCTCGTAGCAGGCATTCTGCACTCTATCGGCGTGCTCGTTCATTTGTAAATGCCGCAGCATCATGATGGCGGAAAGTAGGAGGGCAGTGGGGTTTGCCATGTCCTTGCCTGCGATATCGGGGGCTGTTCCGTGAACCTGGAATTATAACAAATACATTATATTAATAAATAAACGCTTCTTTACGTTTTCTTGCATAAATAGCTCTATTAAACATTGATGAGTAACAAATATTTTTAGCACCACTAAAAATTTGTTGAGGTAGCCGATTATTAAATTATGCACTTGTTGTAAGTACAAAGGTATTAAATAATATGACTCTGAATGACTATACTATATGGCCCTAATAATAAGCAATACGCGTGTGAGTTAAATACGAGATTTTTTTTAATCTTTATTGCTTTTGAATTAAGCCTATATTAATATTTTTAATGTAATTTCTTTTTTATTAAGAGAATAATTATTAAAAAGTGCAAAAACAGTGCAGGCGGGAAATTCAAAATAGTTAAGACGCACGCCATTGGTCAGACCGTACATGACGTCAAAGTATATCAATCATAATATTAGCGATTTTGTCGCTTACAAATTGAGTCATCATTTCTCTGCCTGTGTATGTTATACTGTAACGGCACGCCAAGCGCGCGAAATGGCTGGCGTTTAAAGTATCCGTATCGGTATATTTCAAAAACATAATATTATATAATATTAAATTGGTATAAACCTCATCTCTCCGTTAGGTAATGAGTGAAATAATGATAAATAAACAAAAAAAATTCACTTGAGAACAGCCTAACCGATTTGGCTAATATTATTTTTTAATATTTGAAGTTGCCAGAAAAAGATTAGTCGTTTTTAAAAAATTTTGTATGAACTTAAAAATCACAAAGAACAATGGTAACTTTTTACTTGATTGTTTTTAAGGCATCTTAGATTAGGACATATACAAAAATGAATTATTTAATTAGCTCATTTTTTTACATTAGTTTCAAAAGTTTCAAGGAAAACCCACGAAGAAATTCTTACATAATCACTGATGCTACTAAATGATTGTTATTATGTACTTCCGGCTTAGCCATTCGTAAAAGATGATGTAAAGTGTTGGCACAGAAGAAAATAAAATGGCGTATTTATTTTAAAATATTTTTATTAAGTGCTATGTACATAATAAACAACTATGTTTTGTTCAATAATCTTACAACTTTACCTATAATGGAAACATTATATGTTAAGCTGTAAGATTTCCTGTTAAATAAAAAAATAAATCGTTTCGTAATAATCGGCTCAATGGTTTAGGAACACACGAACATTCATTTTTATTTATATAGATTACGAGGGAGAGACACCATATTCAAAAACATACACAAATACCTACCTTATATCCACGAGTCTTTACGTGAGTCGTTAGTCATTCAATTTGAAATAAAACTACGTGTTTACTTTCAATAATTTAATACTTGCTTTAGGGAGAAAACATAATTAAGTAAAATTTTATTGTCAGATTACATCTGATCGTTAAATAAATAGCGCTATTATCATATATATTAAAATACTCCTTTATTCAAACAGGGTAAATTATAAAACTAGCAAGTTCATATTAGGAAATGTTACAGTAAATATAATCACAAATAAAGGAATCTATACGGTAATTAACATTAATTAAAATACAATTACAAATACTGTTGATTATGGCTTCGTAATATAAATTTTAGTGTGTTACAAAGTATACAATTACATATTTATTTATTCTATGTATTTTATATTGTCTTTTTAATATTATAATTGAGTTCAAAATCAAGTCATTTAGGCCACTTAAAATGAAAAAATGTCATAGCCAATTTTATTATTTCATAAAATAATTAATTGTTGACATTAACGAATAAAAATTATGAATAATGTTCAATTACGATATTTCACTACCTCAAGATTAACTAAGTTCTAATAAACAGCCGCATTTCACTATTTATAAAGCCTTATTATGGTAACACATTCAAATAAATAACTTATAAATAAATGCATATCGAATTAACTGAAGTGTTATAATTGAAAAAAATCATATACTGTCAAAAAATGGAATAAAAGGTAAAAAAACATATTGGTTAAAACCATAGACAGAGAATGGACCGAGCAACAATGTCATAATATTAACAAAGAGAGAATACGAACGTGCGGTCAACACCCATCTTTTATTCCAATTTGAATTTATAAATGCAATGTGAAAAAAATATAATAATATAGTGGAATGTAAAATGGTTATAAATATCAATCTTCATTAATCGTATTTCAATAAATACAGAAGACCGGCCGCACATTCGTTTTGTCTCTGTCGCATCATTCCAACATTTTTAGCTGACGGCTAGCAAAAAACACTTAGTCCACTCTACGTCTATGGTTAAAATATTAACATTTAAAGTTCTACTTTATATGTTAATTTCAAATAGCATGGCAGTTTCTTTAGTTTATTTAAACAATTGTTCCAAGATCATTCCAGAATAAAGAACACTTTCACATATTTGGTAATAACATAATATCAATAGTTAATTTCATCAATTGATCTAATTAAGCTAATTCACTACTAATTGTAAGTTTCAGTCGCTGTTTGTCATCTTACAACGTGGAAATATGAAAATTCAAATACAATTGTAAATAGGAAAAAAAATCTAAAAATTGTTACAAATTCACACTATTTGTAAATAATAAATAATAGCAAAACTTTAATAAGCACTTAGTAGGTATGTAACAGATACTAAAAAATGACAACAAAACCAGCGACTCGAGTACAGATCTACAAATTCTTTATAATCTCATTGGTGTATTCGGTACATGTGGCGCTCCCTCCCAAGTCCTCTGTAAGGAATTTTCCCTCTTTGAGGACATGGAAGCAGGCGGACTCAATCCTGTTGGCTATGTCAAAATGTTGCATGTGCCGTAGCATCATTACTCCAGAGAGAAGTAGGGCTGTGGGGTTGGCCTTGTCCTGCCCCGCTATGGCTGGGGCTGTACCATGCACCTGGAAATTAGAATGTTAATGGATTATTAAGGGCATGATGTGGTTGGTTTATGTTATTATTATCTGCAGTAGAGAAATTTGAGTCTTTTTAATAATATTTGAAAATTATATATTCATATCAATATAATTTACAGCATTGGATATCATTTCTATATAAAATAAGATAGTTGAAAACTCAAATTTCTTATTGTGTTAGTTTCGTCTTACAATTGACCTTATGGTACATAACTCGGGACAGATTAATAAATACACAGTTTTTCACATAGCACATTCATATACATTCATTTGTTAGATTTGAAAGAAACATGCTAACGAGGGCTTAAAAATTGATATATAAAAACTCTAAATACATAATTAGCGTCTCAAAAAAGTTTCATCAAAGAAATGCACAATTCGAATTTGAATTGCACTTTTTTTCAAATCTCTTTTGTTCATTGCTTTCAGATGACAAAATGAAATGCACGTTGCTTCGTTTAAAAGACTACTTTATGTGATATGCGTAAGTTCGAATTTGTGTTGACTTAACGTCACATGTCACACGACACCACTTTTTCAAGAGATATTTGTTAGGAAATGTGCATCTATGTTTTTATATATCAATGGGTTTACATTATAATCCTAATCATTTGGAAATACCCTATGTATTATAAAATTCACTATTTAAAAGAAATAAGAAATAAAATATGCTGTCAGTTGAAAAAATAACAATAGAATAAATAATTTAAATACAAAACTTATAACATAAAAAGTGATTACATTAGCTTGTGTGACCCCAACCACCTCACAAATATAGCTATCATAAAATTGTTTTACGTTCTGAGTAAATAAAATAAATTTTACTTAAATTGACATTTTTAAATTATAATTGAGTGTTAAATAAATAAAAAATAAATTATTATTTTAAATATTTTATATGTTCTTTTATATTATGTTTTATATTATGTCATTACCATAATGATGTTTTCATAATAACTAGGTCATTGGGAATTTGTATAGTCCAATGTAGTTCATTGAACTAACAACCTGCTTTCAAAAGTCGCATCATACTAACGTTATGTCAATGTGTCTGTCTGTGATTTGAAATATCAACCCCATATTGAGCTTATATGTTTATTTGCACAATACCTATAAACCCATATAACTAATAAATTATTTTCATTTGTCTGTCTGTTTGTCTATAAGCTCTAGAACAGAAAATTTGATCTAAGCAAAACTTTCATTTGTGGGAAATGACCATATTTGGGTGAAATTGAGAATAATGTCATCCTAAGAAAAATGTACATTTCCGGGGCATACCAAGACAAAAAAATAGCTCAATCGATTTTTATGAGACTTTTGCTGATTTTTTGAGGGGTTTTCTCATCATAGTATGTCACGCAGGCGTAAGACATTTATACATGAAATATTGTCAGTAAAAAGCATACATACATGAATTTTATTATATTTTTATAACATCCACAATGTGTATGTGACATGCAAACATGTTTTAGTAGTGTCGCCACACCCATCTCTGTTAGTTAAATTTCCAATCAACACTATAAGAACCAGACTTACATTTCGAAATAACTTTCTGAAGATTGTCTTCTTCATTCAATAACAACTTTGTTGTAATATCACTTATACAAAAAACGTTTACATATATAATAATAACGAGCTAAAAAATTTTTTCTTATCTCAGAATATTAATTTAATGGCCATAAAAAATATAATAGATATATTAATATGATAATTTCATTTATATTAAAAAAATAAACATAATGACTCAACAAAACTAACTAACTTAAACTAAATGAAACGTAACTTAGGCTAGAAAAAATGTACCTATAACATGATCGTAGCATAAACTTATTCTAATGCTGTATTGCTTTTTATTGCTGTATTTGTAAATAATAAAAAAAACTACATTACTACATTACATTATCGATACAGATGCCGAATCTAGTTTTTAGATTTTTTGTCTGTCTGTCTGGGAACGCATCACGAGAAAACCACAGGTCGGATTTTGATGAAATTTGGTATGATAATAGCTGATTATCCGGGTCAACATATAGAATATTTCAACTGCGGTAAAATATCTCATCTCTGAGAAATCTATACTAAACTTAAAACGTAACTAGGGACAAACCTCGAGAGGAGCGAGGTTGAGTTGCTAGTACATATTGTATAACTAATATAAATCAAAAACTGCACTTCCATCATATTTTATATGACTACTTAAATCTTACTCGTTCACTATTGCTTATCAAATCTAAGCACTTTTGATATAGTAAATCCTGACAATAGCAAATTGACTGTTGTATTATTATTGTATTAAAATAAACGTATATATTCATTTTTCGTCTTTCATCTAAAAATTGTTATTTTTCTATTTATTTAATTACCAGACAAATGTATCCTGATTTTATTCTTTTTCAGAATCTGTATCAAAAATACTAATACAAATATTTTTTAATATAAATTACAAAAGTGTAATCAAATAGTCAATTTTATTTTTCCATTATATTTTTTTTTGTGATAAAAATGTTTTTTTCCCCCATCATTAACGGTATTTTGCTTTTGTCTTTAAGCTTACCTCATATTTCTTTTAAAATTATAATTCCGTAAATAGAAATCTTAATTTCAATAATATTAAAAGTAGAATAAAGTTCACAACAAGTACACTGTCTGTAACATACTGTGTTTGAGACGTCTATAACCTTAGTCTCTCCAGTGACCATGATTGCTTTAAAGCATTCGAAATGTCGGGAACCAAAAATCAAAATAAATCCGCGAAATAATCCAAAAAGATAGTTTTATTTAAAATTTAGAACGAAGTTATTAAATTTACTTATATTTTTTTTCGTTTTCCGCGGCTTTCAGGGACTATATTTTTCCCGTGAACACTAGTGCAAATCCGAAAGAATATTTCTATTTAATATGATTTAGTATTTTTTTAATAAAACAACCCAAGCTACTGACCTTGTTCATCAATCTTTAGCCATAGACAAACAAAAAAAAACTTAAAATGATATAAGCTAACACTCGACGACTCAATAATATTAAAAATCAAAATAAATTATTAATTATAGACATAACTATTATGATACCAATTAATACATATATAAATTTAATAACTATTATTTATCCTACAATAAAAAGCATAACAACCTACTTATACTGACTTTGTATATAAATATTTATACTGACTTTGTCCACTAAATACCAATCTTTAATCATAATAAAAAAAAAACTTTAATTGACACATGACATAAGCTGTCAAAAGTGACAAGTGACAACACTCACCGACTCGAAGAGCGCGCCGTTCTTGCCGATGTTGCCGGAGGGCGTGAGGCCCAGCCCGCCCACCAGGCCCGAGCACATGTCCGACATGATGTCGCCGTACAAGTTGGGCATCACCTTTAATTTTGAGAGACGGTTATTATAATAAGTCAGATTATTAATAAATATAAATATGTTGGGATATTAACACACAGTACCATCTAGTTCCATGGTAAGCTACGAGGCTTGTGTTATGGATACCAGATAGTTGATACACTACACATATATAACTTTAAATATCTACTCGTACATGTCATAAATATAAACACCCATGACTGGAGTACAAACATTCGTGCTCATCACACCCCCAGCATGATTCGAACCCGAGACCGCTGGCACAACAAATAAGGTAACTTCAAACTGAGCCCAACGTGTCGTCAATAAATCAGACTAGTATTATTAATGTGTAAGTTTATGTGCGTGTATTTGTTACTTCTTTTGGCTGATTTTTGGCAACTTAGAGAGCACCCGAGCGAATGAAGTAGACGTTCATAAAGATGTTGGTAACTGTCTACAACTTTGCCTCTAGATAGACGTCTTTAAACCAACGTATAAAACACTCACTATCCTTGTCTCAAGATTCAGGACAAAAGTATTTAAGACTATTAAAACATATTATTTAATGCTCAGCATACTTTACTTAATATGCCATGCTGATCAATATTTAGGAAAACTACAACGCGTAAAGGAAAATTCTAAAGTATTGAGCTATATTGCATCATTTGTACATATAATAAAATTCTGAGTTACAGATTCGATTATCAATACAGAGGCCGAATCTATAGTTTTTAGAATTTTTGTCTGTCTGTCTGTTTGTGACCGCATCACGAGAAAACCACTGAACAAATTTTGATGAAATTTCGTACGATCATATCTGGTTATCCGGGTAATATCCAATATATAGGATACTTTTTTCTGCGGGAAAATATCACATCTCTGAGAAATGTGTACTTAACGTTAAAATGTAACTAGGGACGAGGGTGAGTCGCTATTTAATAATTAAATGTAAAAAAAAACACTAACCAAGACATCAAACTTGGACGGGTCCTGCACCATGTTGAGGCACACGGTGTCAAGGTAGCGCTCCTCGAACCTGATGTCTGGGTACTTGGTGGCGAGGTCGCGGCAGCAGCGCAGGAACAGACCGTCCGACATGCGCCTGCGGATGTAAAAATAATATATATAATAACTGCATCGGTCGTCTAGTGACTAGTATATATTGCGGCTCTGGAGGTCTTGGGTTCGAGTCCCGATTCGGGCCTAGTTTAATTACTGTATTTTTCTGTTAAGATATTCTCAGTACTATCCAGGAATTGGAAAGTTGGCGGTGTCTCCGTGCCTCGGAGAGTACGTGTCGCGATGCTCCTGCGTCTTAACTCTCACCGCGAGGGTCGAAGGACTTTGTGAGTTACAGGAATAGAGAGTGCACTTTTGTCTGCGCGTACACTTGTGCACTATAATATCTCCTGCGCACCAGGCTAGTCTCAGTGAGATTGGCCGCCGTGGCATAAATAAAAATGAATGTTCGTATATTTGTCCTATATGCATTCCTAAACCATTACGCCGATTGTGATGATACTCTGTTGGGTTATTCTGCGTACACCTTCGAAGGTTCCTGATGCAAAAAAAAAGAATTTTTCTTTGGATATTTGTATTTTATGCGTTCCTAAACAATTCACTTTGGAACGCACACGAGCGAAGTGATGGTAAGTCACTAATACAATAATAAAATTCTTTACTATACATTCAAAAAGAAAACAAGATATGCAATAAATTATGACAGTGTATAAGAGGCGGCCTTATCATTAAAAGAGATTTTTTCCAGGCAAACTTTACGTATAAATCGATTTCCAAGGTTTCATTACATAATTACAAATGAAGCTAATATAAGAGTGCTCATAAAGTGCCTTTTTATTTAAAGCAGGAGTTCCCAACCAGGAGGGAGCGCCCTCCTATGGGGCCGTAGAGTTTACTTTGTTAACTTAAAATTATAATAAATAAAAACCGTTAAATTAATGTATGTTTTACGATAAAAAAAATAAAAGGGGGCATAAAAATATTTTTTACAATCCAAGGAGGTTCAAAAGAAAAAAGGTTGGAAAGCCCTGTTTTAAACAATAACAATATGTAATTGTATCAAGAAAGTCACTTGACACTGCTAATAGCGCCAATGAAGGCGAAACTAATACGCCTATCGTATCGCAGATGTCGAGGCCAGTGTTACCTTCAAACGTAATATGTCGAGGTCTTTTATGTATTTTTGTGTTACCATTTATTTATAACTATATAAATTAACTATATAGTTGTATTTGATTTTTTTTATTTGAAACATATAAAATACTAGCAGAACCCGCAGCTTCGCCCGCGCTAAAACTACAAAGAAATACTCTAAAAAGGTAGTTTCGTACAAAATTTCATCCTCTATTTTAACCCCTTATAGGATGAGTTTTGAAAAATGCTAAAACACGTATTTATTTAATTTTATTGAAGAGCATTAATACCAAGTTTCAAGTAATTCTGATCAAAAATATTTTTTTGCATTGAATTAAGTGTTTTCCAATAGTTAAATCGGTCCAGCCGTTCCCGCGTGATGGCGTGACCAAGGGAAATAGGGATTCATTTTTTATATATATATAGATTTAAATTTCACAATTCACTCTCGCCGAGTTCGGGCGTGTCTCTAGGTGCTTAACAGCATAGCATGTACTGTGTGTGTGTGCATACTCTAGGTCATAGATTATGTAGTAAAGATCATCCAAATCCGTCCAGCCGTTTTAAAGTGAATAAAATTAAAAACACACACAAGTCACAAACTATCGCATAGTGCATACATATAGGTAGCCCGATCCATATTGAATGAATCAATCAGCTTTGTGACCAATCAGGCATCTACAAAACAATGTATTTACATTTAACGCGAGTTTGGTGTCGAGCCAAATTTGTTATTAATGTTGCGATAAAAAATATAAGCATTTTTTTATTAATGGTACTTTTCAAGAATTTTTATTAACAAATATGTCAAAATAATTTTTAAATACGTTCCCAGTATAAATATAATAAGTTTATTTGAATCTCAATTTGTTAGTTTGACCGTTTGACGGCAGCTGTGAATATGTACACTGAAAAAAAAACTTACTGTAACTATTGAGTATAGATATACAAAAACTCAACATACACAATTAGTGTCTCAAAAGCGTCCTCAATTTTAGTTAATGGGTAGACTGGTAAGACTCTGTCAAGCCTGAGGAGTCCGACTGGATGGATACCACCCCCTTATCTATTTCTCCCGCCAAGCAACAACGACTACATTGTTGTGTTCCGGTTTGAAGGATAAGGTAGCCAGCGCAATTACAGGCAAGAGGCATATCATCTTAGTCCTCACAGTGACAATGCACCTACGGTTCTGCATTTTTGTAACATAAAACCTAAGTGCATGAACCGTAGGTGTTATGGGCGACAGGTACTACTTTCCATCAGGTGGTCAGTGTGCTCGTTTGTTACTGAATTCAAAAAAAAAGCGTACAATTCAAAATTTCAAATCTCTTTGTTCATTGCTTTTCGGATGACAAAATTAAAAAGCACGTTGTTGCCTTTAAAAATTTACTATATGTGATGTGCGTAAGTTCGAATTTGGGTTTAGACAAATAGAACATTTGATTTTTGAATTTTATTCTTTGGTTTGATTTAACGTCACATGTCAACGACACTTTTTGAAGAGATAGTTATTAGGAAATGTTTATCTGTTTTTATATATCAACATCTATTGAGTCTAATATTTGTATAAAAATCATCATCACATTTACCTCAGCGGTAACCAAACCTGCGACCACACACAGCATACTTACATAATATTAGCTTTGTGTACAGCAGTGACCTTCTTCCTCTTGTTCTCCCTCGCGAACTGGAAGGCGAACTCTGCCACTCTCTTGCTGGCCTCCTCAGTGATCAGTTTGATCGACTGCACCACTCCGTCGACGATCTCGTGTTCTATTCCCGAGTACTCACCTTCTGTGTTCTCTCTTATCGTCACAACGTCTACATTGTCGTATAATGTTTTAATTCTGAAAGAGACATTTATTAGGTTATTTAATATTTTATACGTAAATATGTATGCGTATTGTGTATTCAATGTTTTTTTCAGTTATTAGGTATAGTAATCGTTATTTTGATCATTATATTAAAATTTTCATTATTCTTACATGAAAATACTTTATAAATGTCTACAGAACAAAGAAAAGTATGAGAAACTTCAGTGTAAACTTACGAAAATATTAACAAAATAATAAAATTCAAAATATGTATTTATGTAGATTTTCTTGTTAAGTAACGTTAAATAAATATTATATAGAAGTTAATGTAATTGAAATAAAATCGAAAGACAGCCTAATGGAGAAGCACCTATTTTTTAAGTTGGTCAATAGAACAAATTCTCCTTCATATTATATTCATTGTGCAGCTTTGAGCTCATTTCACTAAACGTTGATTTTCACGTCGAATGCTCTCATTCTACTTAGTACGTACATAAAAAACTTGACCAAAAAGTAAAAAGAAAACTATTTTATATTATACTAGCATTGCCCGCGGCCCGCCCTCGTTCAGATGATCAAAAACCAAATTCTTAGGTTTTACATATTAGTATACTCTTACATTGGAGTTTTTGTATTTTTTTCAGAAATGAGGGATTTTCCCGCGATAAATAGTATCCTATATGTTGACCCCGATAACCAGCTATCACCATACCAAATTTCATCAAAATCCCTCCAGTGGTTTTTCTGTGATGCGGTAACAGACAGACAAAATTTTTAAAAACTATGAATTCGGCCTCTGTATCGATAATAATGTTTATTTCTATAAGATTTTCCAAAAAATATTTAGTGTACAGATTCGACTTAGTTACAATTCTATTATATGTATAGATTGTATTAAATCCTTCTCTATTATAACTTTATGTCAAGATAGAAAAATCACCCCCAAATGAAAAATGAGGCAAGTAGAAAAGTAAATTATTATAAGCAATACAACAATCCATATTTTTTAACAAATAAATAAATAAAAATATATATTATTATGACAGATTTATTATGGATTCAAAGTAAAATATTATTTATTGATATAAAAACAGATTTGCAATGTGCAATTATGTGTATGTTGTAACGGCGATTTATGTTTTAAGGTTAATTTGGTTTTACACCTCGGATTTAGGGTAGATAAGATTTTTTCACTATCAGATATAATGCTACGAGAGAGCTTAACCATTCATTAAAGTGAGATAAGAAATATGTAGCACATTGACATAGCTGATATGGAAGTTACCAAACCCCGTAATGTTATAAAAAATATTAGTCTGTCGGTATGTCCTCCTATGACGCAGTAACGTAATATAGTATTCTATTGTAAGACATAGTTTGTCATTTTGCCACGGCGTTATTTTGTAGCTGAAGCCTGCACACTAGACAAGCTTGACTATAGGCTTCCTCGTAGAAGTCATGCCATTTGACTGGAGTCCCTATTTATTTACATCTTTTTTGTATTTTTTTAATTTTTTTTAAATTTAAATTGCTTCCGTAGAATAATTGAATATTCAATAAGGTACAATATATTGTAGAACATACATTTCAGAGTATAATTTTGGCTTGTGCGAACTCAGGTATTTTCATTCATTATTCTTGGTACATTTTAACGGTTAGTAGAGATTTTTCAGATATGAGAAATTTTTTCGCAGTAAAAAGTATCCTAAATGTTAACCCGGATAACTATATACCATCATACCAAATTTCATCAAAATATGTCCAGTGGTTTTTCGTGATGTGGCACAAATTATTTTTGATTCGGTCTGTATATCGATAATGACTATCTCAATAAGATTTTCCAAAAAAATATTTAATGTACAGATTTGACTCAGAATTTTTATTTTGACATATGTATAAAACCTCGTGTAAAAGAAGCCAACGGATAACATACGGCTTATTTCGTACAAAATAATGTAAAAAAAAAACAACTTAAATAGATTCCAAGTACTTTTCCATTTAATCTTTAAAGCGAGACTGGAATTCCCCGTATTTTTTGTTTTGTGTAGATAATACATCCATACATATATCTATACCTACATGACTCAAATTGTATTTGTAATTGAAATGCACAAAGTAGTCGAACATTTCAAACTAAGTTTTAAATCAGGGGCTTTCCCGATTTAATCTTTTTTCATTGACTGTAGTAAAGCCGTTATGTTATACTAGCGACTCACTTTCGCTTCGCTCGAGTTCGTCCCAAGGTTGCTTCCTCATTCAAACTTTCATCCCCATTTTCACCCCCTTAAGAGATGATTTCCGGGATAAGTCCTATGTCCTTCCCAGGATCTCAAACTATCTTCTTACCAAATTTCATCTAAATCGCTTCAGTAGTTTCGAAGCTTATTCGGTACAAACAAACAAAAAATCTTTCCTCTTTATAATTTTAGTATAGACTATAGATGAAAATAGAGTAATATATTGACATAATAATTATTTACACTTATTTTTCATTCAAATGCAAATTCACACAACAAGTGGTCGGTCGAGATGTCCTTCATACAAAAAGTTCACCTTGTGTCTATCTCCTAACTAGATTTTTATTTATTGAAAACATCTCGAGGGACGCAGGCGAGCGAAGCGAGGGTAAATTGCTAGTTAATGATATTAATCTATACATATAAAAATTGTAACTAAGCTGAATCTGTACATTAAATATTTTTTGGAAAATCTTATTTAAATAGGTAGGTATTATTGATACAGATGCCGAATCTATAGTTTTTAATTTTTGTCTGTCTGTTACCGCATCACGGAAAAACAACTGGAGGAATTTTGATGAAATTTGGTATAATAATAGCTAGGTAGGTTAGCTAGTAGCTAGCTAGGTTATCCAAGTCAACATATAGGATACTTTTTACCGCGGGAAAATATCTCATTTCTGAGAAAAAATACGAAAACTGCAATGTAAGAGTATACTAATATGTAAAACCTAAGAGTTTGGTTTATGGTCATCTGAACGCGGGCGGAGCCGCGGGCATTGCTAGTGAATTATATAATACAATTCGTATTCAAACCTAGTAAATAATAATAACGTATACTTTGGGAAACGATACAAAGAACACGTACGAGATAAGGTGGAGATTATCTTCAGTGAATCAGAACTTATCAATTATTCAATTTCATACATATTTGTCTGCCAATTCGCTTGCGTGTATATTATTACTCTTTTGACAACAATATACATAGATAGGTAGTCTAGCTAATCTACAATATGAAAGCGTATAACATTGGAATAATTCGACTCATCGAAATAAAACTTATGTTTTTATTCAGAAAATCATCTACAGGTTTTCGAATGACGGATGGAGACAGACAGACAAAAATTAGAAATACCAGGCATAATTCCACTTCTATAACATGTTATATTTAAAATTATAACATGTTTTACACAGGCCGAATCTATAGTTTTCAGAGTTTTTGTCTGCCTGTCTGGGAACGCATCACTAATGAAACAAAAAAAATATATATGAATAATGAGTAAATTCAAAACAAGATTCAGTTTTTACCTAACTCACTTTGTAGCAAAAAATCACAAGAGCATTGTACTTATGTAGAAAAAGTTTTGATAAAAAAACGGGAGTCAATGACGCCTTTAAATGGCACCTTCAATGAAAAAAACAATGTAATTTACGGTATGACTTTCGTTTAAAAGATAAATTAAAAATAAAAAAAAAACAAAGAAAAGACTAAAGAAATATGATATCTATTAAAAAGATGAAAATAGACCGAATTATTATAATAGACCGTGAATACTCTTCGATTTAACGAAAGCCGATATGATGCTGTCTATCGATAAATCGTATCACGAAAATTCGTTACTGATCATATCGATGTCTGACGTGTGATTCATGATAATTTAATTGATATCTATTACGTAATTATGTAATTTCTAATGTAATTAATTAACCATTGTTTCCTAATGTGAATTTAACATATCATAGATAACGACTTTTAATATAGAATAATATCCGATGCGAATTTCCAGTAGATTCATTAGTCATTATCGATTATCGTAAATCGATATAAAATATCGAAATACTGCATTAACTTATTTCATATCAAAATCTTATATTAAAAAAAAATCTCACACCGAATCGAATTATCACAACGTCACGGTTATCATAAAGCGTGTCGTTTTATCCATATCGCCTTACTCTTGAAATTCCGGAAAATTACATCAATCATTGATAGAGTAAGAGATTATAAGACAAAAAAAATATATAACAGTGAACTGCGACATCGCGCGCGTGTTATTTATTTAAAGCTCGCATATATATCTATATTAAACTTTTATAAAATAACAATTGTTTTATAAATCATGAATTTTCATCTCAAATACGCGTAATATTTTTGCTTAAGAAAATATATTTGTATAGCTAGATCTTTTACTTGTAACATACACAAAGAACATTATAAACGAATTACCTCCTTCTTTTAAGAAGTCGACAAAATGCTGTATAATTTCTTTTTCCGAGTCTCGAAAATCGCTTCTATTACTTATAGCATAATACATGTTAATTTTAAATAAAACTATGTTTTCGGATTTTTTCGCGATTTTATTTTGATTTTTGGTTTGGTTGGGTAGGGAACCAAAAATCTAAATAAATTCGCGAAAAAATCCGAAAACATAGTTTTATTTAAAACTAGCATTGCCCGCGACTCCGCCCGCGTTCAGAAGACCAAACAGCAAATTCTTAGGTTTTACATATTAGTATACTCTAAAAATCGATAAAAAGTATCCTATATGTTGACCATGTTGACATAACCAGCTATCATCATACCAAATTTCATCAAAATCTGTCCAGTGGTTTTCTCGTGATGCGGTAACAGACAGACAAAAATTCTAAAAACTATAGATTCGGACTCTATATCGATAATAATGTCTATTGCAATTAGATTTTCCAAAAAATATTTAATGTACGGATTCGACTTAGTTACAATTTTATGATATGTAAAGATGTCAAGTATTCGCATAAATCTAAGAAAGTATTACATGTTAATTTTTAAATTTACATATGAAAAAGAACTGAAAATTACATAAACAAACAAACTGTTAAATTCAAATAAAATATTTTGGATTCAAGCAGTATTTTCCAGTTTCAATTTGCATGCAAAGAAGTTTGTAGGTGTATAATGAGAAGACATAATAAAAATAAAACTCACTCAAATGTAACCTAATATTACTTTTTAGACAATTTTTTATGCAAATACTTAAAACAATATTTCATAATATGAGAATCACACTAAATTTAAGTCTTTTCATATGAAATAGTATTATGTTTAAATTACTAGAAGCTGGAATCTATACATTTGCATAATTTGCCAAAAATCTTAATGATAATATCTACATTGCCAATAAATGAATTTTAAGTTTTACTAAGCGTAATGTATTACCTGTAGTGGAAAAAAAATCTAATTTTTGAATACTACCCAGTTCCCCCTTTTTTAACATTTTATTAGTTTTAAATTTTACCTAATGCAAATGTATTGTAAAAACTATATTATTTTTTATTTGATATTGAATACAATTTATATTTCTATCTTACTTATCTGCATGTATCATACATATTTTGAATTTTATATCACTTATAATATATAATTCTGTGACTCCAGTAGTGACTAAGTTTTCCTAACACAAAAATATAAACAATAAGCATGAGTCATGGAAATTTAATGGCTATACCAAATTATTTAAAAAATACTATATATTTATATAAGAAAAGATAAAAAATTATGACTCACCCATCCAAGCTTTTGCAAGGCCTTACATTCGCGTACAAGTCAAACTCCTTACGTAAAGCCAAATTGAGAGATCGGTAGCCCTTTCCCACAGGGGTCATGAGAGGGCCTTTTAAACCAATCTTGTTCTCATTAACTGAGTCAATGGCACGTTGAGGGATTCCAAATTTTCCATCTGGCCCCTATATGAAAACAAATATGGTTAATATAATGTATCTATAACATATATTGTTATTTCAGGTTGCTAAAGTATGAACAAATTATTTTTTATGGCTTCGGTCAATCACATGAACTAACACAAAAATAACAAATTACTTGCATTGCCATAAAAAGGATTATAAATTCACATTTTTTTTGGCTATTTACATATTTAGATTCTTGCAAAGAAACCTAGGTCCAATAATTATATTTAAAATATTGTGTAATATTTCATATCATGAAAATGTTAATAAATATAGCATTTTTTAAGAGTATATGAGCAGTCTTGGCAAAGAAAGGAAAACTTAAAATTTTTCTTATTGGTATTAATTTTATCAACATTCATTGCATTTGCACAATGTTCTACCAACATGTTATTTTTTTATTTAAAAACGAAATAGCTTGAATAAATATTTATATCGTATAATATTAAACTATAACGGAGACTACATGGGAAGCGAGTACTCACTCTAACAGCTGTGACATCCACCTCATCCCATTCAATGGGTACTTTGGCAGCTTCGAATATTTTCTGAACGGCTACGGTGATCTCTGGTCCAATACCATGACCAGGGATAAGGGTTACCCTGCGTACCCCCGTGCTGTACTGAGCTACACCAGCTCGCCCTGCTGGGACCTGAACAATATCAGATAATCTTCGTTTAACCTCTATCACGAACGCAAAATATAAGAGCACAATATAATATTTGTTAACCTCGTTTTTCACACTTGCGATCCCTCCGGAGGGCTTATTCGTCCCCGACTCGAACAATTTCAGTAAGCTTTCCACAACTTTACTCTCACGAAAAGGCTTCAAAAGCGCATTTATGTAATTCTTCGACATAACTATAAGTCTATTTTTGGATGGCAAAAGAAATTAAACGAGCCGTCGCAAAAGATAAATGGAATAATGGTTGCATGCAGGATAATGTAAAAAAAAAACTAAACAACAGGTCTTTCTACAAACTTACGATTTTTCTGATAATTCTCGCAGCCATTTCACAAAATTAAATTTTACGACGAGAGACACTCCGCGGTGGAGCGGCGGAGAGGGGAGGATACTGCGAACTCGACAGACGACGCATGACCGGAAATTACTGTCAAGGACAATTTTTCGCGGTATTTTAGGATATTAGATAAAGCTATGAATAAAAATATTAAAATTTAAAAATATTACTATTTACTACCATAGTGCATCAAAATAAAGTATCACAATTATTTCCTTTGTCGGTAAAAAAGTTAACTTGATAGGTACTACGAATATTATTAGTGAAATGATTTATAGTAATAGTCATATATAATCTGTATTTGCTAATGTCAAAATGTATAATGTATTAATGTCAAACACATCCATGATGTCAAAACACCAGATCTGTCAAATAGGGGATAACCGATCAGTGTCATCCATGCCGATAAGTTACTGAATGCGAAAACAAATAATAATTGAATTCACTTTATATAGTACTTATTCTAATAAATAAGAGCTAGATAAATGATAAATAAAGATTTGAAATTCCGCAGTATGTAAACAACAAAAATCAATTTTTGCGTGAAGTATTCATGAAATAAAACGTAAATAATGGATCAACCGCTTTCCCTTAAACTGCCTTCATTAAGTTTAATTTCTCAACATAAGCTGCAAAGTATATTATCTCAATGTGGGGAAAAGGCAGATTTAATAATCGATCCTGCTCTCATCAAACCTTTGGAGAGAATTTGTGGAGTCAGCTGGCTCAGGTATGAATATTTATTATAGTTTACTGAAACGAACTCATTGATTGTAAAATTACCTTATTTTATTAATTATTATAGATATTCTCAATTTTTAGACAACATGGAGTTGATAAAATATACAAAATGGATCCACAATTAGGAGCTACAACAAACACCAACCGCATATACTTTATACCAGCCAGCATACAGAAGTATAAATGTGTTTTGGACCAGATATCTTCTGTTCTAAGTCAGAATCCAGCTTTAAGTGATGCTAAGTGTTTTAATATTATAATTATACCCAAGGTTATTGCAACATATGATTCTATATTAGAGAATCGAGGTCTATATGACATTGTGAAATTGCATTCATTTTCTTGGGAGTTAATGTACTTAGATGATTACCTACTTAGCTTGGAACTTCCATTTCTTTATAAGCAGTTATTTGTAGAACAAAATCATTCTCTTTTATCAAGCATTTCAATGTCTCTATGGAGTTTATTTCAAGTGATAGGGAAACCAAAATGTATTTTATCATTAGGAAAACTGTCAGCAAGTGTGTTAGATATTTTAGAAGTTTATAATGAGAGCTATGCTCGAGATTTTGTAAGTCCAGAATCCCAAGATATAGGAGCCTTGATAATTATTGATAGAGACCAAGATTATGCTTCAAGCTTACTTACACCTGCTACATATAGTGGATTGTTGAGTGAAATATTTGATATAAGCTGTGGCCATCTGGAACTTAATGGTAAAGAGACAAAAATGAAAAGAGGTAAATTAAATTTTGTTACCCCAGAAGTAAAAACTTCAAAAAACACAATTATGATGTTGGATAGTTCAATGGATAACTTGTATGGAGAAATAAAACATAGACATTTTTCTGAAGTTTTAAGTGTATTGAGTTCAAAGGCAAAGTTGTTAAAAAATGAGGATATTAAAGCCTTAGGTATTCAAGAAATGAAACATTTTGTTGCAACTAAATTACAGCAAATCACACTTTACAAGCAGAATCTAGTCAATCATGTTTTAGCGAGTGAAACCATTATATCAGAAATGGATAATAAATTTGAAAATTTAACACTAACAGAGAGTGAAATGTTAAATAATAGAAACAAAAAGTCAAATTTTACTTATGTTGATGAGAATTTCGGTACAGATATACATATTTATAATAGTTTAAGACTCATGTGCTTGTTGAGTTTAACTCAAGGTCTGTCTTATGAAGAATACAATTCTCTCGTAAGCAAATATTTATTAGCATTTGGTTATAAATTTTTGTATGTTTTTAATAATTTAGTCACCGCAGGGTTATTAGTGCAGCCCTCTAGTCCTAAGCTATCTCTAACAAATTTGGGAACTTTGAGTGACAGACTGCCAAAATGGCAAAATGAATTCCAAACAGTGGCCAACAAGTTAAAGCAACTACCATCAAAATCTGATGACGGAAAGTCACCAAGTTATGTATTTAATGGTGGCTATGTCCCATTAGTTGCTATTTTATGTAATGCTTTGTTAAGTTCAGAATCTCTTGTTGAAGTGTTGGCAAAATTGTCAGCTTTAAACGACTTAAAAGTGGGTGGTTCAGTTATTGATAAATTAAAGAATGGAATCGAGACATTAAATGAGAAATTATCAAATTTAAATGTACAGGGTGATTTGGATTTTGGTTCAAAAGATGCTAAAGCATTGTCAAAAATTCTGAAAAGTGATAGTAAATCTTATTCTTACTCATTAAAACCTAGAACGATATTAGTTTATATGATCGGTGGAATCACATATGCAGAGATAGCTGCTTGTAATGTTGTGCAGACTGCTACAAATAGTAAGATTATAATAGCAAGTGATTGTATTGCAAGTGGCAGTGACCTAATGGCATCAAATACATAATTGTTCTATTTATTTTTATCCTATTTTATATATAAATTATGTTACTGTAAGTCTATATATTGGTAAATCTTAGGTTTAACTATTATATCTCAGGATTTATCGACATGAGTTTGTAAATGTAAAGATTTTATAAAAAAGACATTGGCATTTGGCAAATCCTAAGATTTACTTGGTAAATATACCATTAAGAGCTCTTACAGTAACATATACATTTACTTTTATAAATTAAAATGAGACAAAAAAGATATTATTCTAAAAAATACATGTGTTTATAAAGCACAAATATAATAATTTATTATTCAATTATGCAATACTGTTTTTCAGCTGATATATTTAATGTTTCACTCTACAAAAGAACAAGAGATTTTTTTATAACAAAAACGTATTTTATTTACAAATATCTTATGGAATCCATGACATAATGTTAGTTGCTATGAGAAATTATATTTTCATTTCTATATATTTTTTTTTATTCATGTATTTTAAAACCCTGTCACTAGAATAATGAGCCAAATGCCAATGGGCTACGTTCATGTTGGGTATTTGCTGTTAGGAAAGGATTCAGTGAGAGTAAATATGGGGAAGAAAGCGTGCGTTGACAAATTTTAATGATGTGAAAGGAAATTATCAATAAAATCAACTAGAATTTTTAAGAAAATAATTTATTTGTAAATATCACAGTTACAAAATTACAAATTTAACTCTTTATATCTACTGTGTGGGGCACATCCTGATAATGTCAATTTACTTCTTGTTCTGATAAAAAAGGGGGCAAACATAACTAGCAAGTTAACAAAATCTCACATAAGTACTAATGATATATATTTAATTAGATGAAATTAACAATATCTATGTCCATACGTGTCTTGATCAAGTTGATAAGTCGTTCTCATTTATTATATATACATTCATCTAGATTGCGAGTCCTTACATTATAATCGAAAAACGGAAATGGGATTTAAATCAATGCCAATTAGTATTGCACTTATCAACTTATGGACAGATTATTTATTAACACTGTGACAAAGTGAAGTAAATACCAACGCATGAGACATTGTGTATTCAGCACTTTTTAACGTCTCATGCTGGGCACGGGCCTCCCTTCAATACGAGGGAGATCAGGCCATAGTCCACCACGCTGGATAAGCGCGGGCAGACCGAGCATGTTTTTCGAAAACTTAGGTAGCTAAGCTAGTTTCTCTCAGACATGCAGGTTTCCTCACGTTTTCCTTCATCGTAAGACAAGTGGTAATCATGTTGGAAAGGATTCGCACATAAAAATATCAGAGGTGCGAGACCCGGGATTTGAACCCGCTTTACTCGATATCTCAAAGCAAGCGCGTTACCACTGGACTACCACTGTCTTTTTAATAAGTATGTCATAAGACATTAATTAATAATTATTATTTATTATTAAAAAACAAAATTTGTATCCACAAGCAGATTAATCACTAACTATAGAAACATGTTAAAAACTGGCAAGAAAGTATAAGACCCATTTCACATACACGGTTTCTTTAGAAACTGCAATCGAGATGTTATATAAGTCGCGCCTTCTCCGGTTAGTGTGAATAGTCCCGTACAAATATTATGGCGTATACAAGGTACCATTCTACAATCTCTAAAGAATAGAAATTTTTAAAATTGTATTGAATAACTATAATTTATACATTTTCAAAGATTTTAGAATAATATACTTGGATAGACATACTTGGGTGTTACTGTACAAGTCGACATTTTCCAACCGAAAATACTCGTAGATTCACAATCCTGTTTTAGCTTTAGCCAGATCGAAACTCTAACTTAGGCAAATCTTACATATTATATTATTTTTTAGTTCATTTTGACCTGAAAACACCTAAATATGCCTATTAACAATGAATGGCTTATGGATTTCACAGGCCCTTTTAGAAGATTCGTTAAAATGAAGAGATAGATATGTGGAAGTAAAAAAAAAAAGAATTTTAAACATATTTTAAAAACACAATAGAATAAGAAAAGTTTACGTTTATAGTTACGAAGTTAGAAATTTGGGATCAAAATTTGTGAGGGGACCACTACATTTCGACATCTTAGGATGAACTTCGACAAAATAAGCTCTATTCGAGATCTTTACAGCTCGTGTAGCCGATTACGGAACGGCTACGACACGACCACGACACGATCAAGAGATTTATAAATGTCTATATTACTGAACGGTGACAGTAACCGTGTCTGTGTAAATGGACCTTTGAGCAATTAACATAATATGGAGTACTATTTGAATGAATGTTTATGTGACAATGCAAAAAATCTATTTTATTTATAGCAGACAAATAGACGCAAAATGTAAATACAATGAATAAGACGAAATCGAAAGTTGATTAGAAAATCTAAAAGTAAGTAGTACATACATGAAAATGTTATTATTATTTTAACATTTATTTACAAAATACTTTCTTAGATTTACGCGAATATTTGACATTTTAAATAAAACTATCTTTTTAGATTTATTCGCGCGGATTCATTTTGATGATTATATAATGACCTTTGAGACGTGCAAAACCTTAATCTCTCCCGTGACCATGATTGCTGTAAAGCATTCGAAACGTCGGGAACCAAAAATCCAAATAAACCCGCGTAATAATTCTTAAAGATATTTTCATTTTTATTTAACATTTATTTACAATTTTGTTACTAAATTCTACAAACATTATAAAAGTTTGTCAGGATGTGTATGTATGTTGTTGTCTTTAAAGCAATATAGCTTAAACATCAGAATAACAAGCTACAAATTATAAAGATATAGTAATATATAATTTAAAAATATTAATGTTTAGATAAATGGAGTAATTTATTTATATTATAGAAAATTTTATAAAAAAAACTCATTATACGAGTATAAGACTAGAGACTGTTCGTAGTTTAACATGCTTAGTGATATTATTATAAGTGATAACAAATACCACTTTCACTTACACAATTCAGTGACTAAATTCTGTCAGCATATAACTTTATGTATTATATAAGTATTTGCCATATATCGGGTTTGAACTCTTGACTTTGAACATATTAGGTGTCACCTTAGTGCTTATTTGTTCAAACGACCAATACTTGTTGTACTTTACAGTGGAGAGTTATTTCTCTATTTTAAAAACAAAGTTATATTTGTAATAATTATATATATATATATATAGATAAAATACTTTTCTTCAGCTTTATTAAAGTAGAATGTGTATTTAATACCAATAGAATTGACATTTAAAAGTCAATAATTCTGTATTAAAAACTTTTTCGTAAAGTCGTTTCAACAAATAAGTACTGAGAGGTCGCAGTGTTGCCAGATATGTTAACAAATATGGTAGGCTGAATAAAAAAAAATTGGGAATATACTTTTGAGATATAACAGTGATATTATATAAATTTAGAGTTTACAATACGATGTTTAGATTTATTTTACTGTTATTAATTAATATTAACAAAATAATTTTTCATAAAACGTACTATAAAAGGCTTCAGTTGAAACATTAAGATAATAAAGAGTAATAATATTAATAGATATTTTTCCAAAAAAAAAAAAACATTTGGTCATCTTACCACCTATGCCACATCTTGGCTTACATTAAAAAAATGCAGAAATTCAATGGAAAAAAAAACTTGTGAAATACCGCCTTAGGGAAAGAAATATCAAATATTATTTTGTTTATTATCTGTTATATAGGGCAATATTAAATAGCAAAAATCTTCTCAGGACTTGCTTTGTATTGCTAATTTATGCTATATGATTTGTAATATCCGAATAAAAAAACAAAACAATATTTTAATGCTACAGCTTCATTTCTATTATACAAATCCCTTACTAAAATATAACACTGACTCGTTGCTTTTGTGACAGAAAGACGTAAAGAAAATAGCTGTAATATAATATTATTTATAATACGTTTTCATTTACGCCAGTACTGAGCAAACTTGTGGAACTGTTCCACGAGGGCCGCCATCACCGCTGTCACCGACATGTCTAACAGATTCTGGAGATAATGCACGGCTTCTTCATCGCCGAGGTCCAATCTTAAATTAAAAAAAATCTTTATTATTAATTGTATTCAGCATTGTTTAACGTCCCACTGCTGGGGGTGGACCTCTCTTCCATACGAGGGGGATCAGTAGTCCACCACGCTGGCCAAGTTCGGTTGATTGAGCGTATCTTTCAAAAACATACTAGGTTCTCTTAGACATACAGGTTTCGCACATGAAAATATCAGAGGTGCGAGACCTATCTACATATATATCTATCTATCTTTAGTCTATCTTTAGTCCTAGAGTTTTTTACCTTATGATTACTTTACACATAATCGATGCATACAACGCTATCTACTGATTTTTGTTTCTACTAATATTACTTTGTTCCTGTTGAGAGCCTACACTAATATTATAAATGCGAATCACACCGCTGGGCGCTGACATCCGAACTCCGAGCGCGGCGCTTACTAAGAATTTCTTCTAAGAAAGATTTGATAAGTGAACTTGGTCCGACCCGGTACTCATGCAGGATCCAGGATCTCAAGATCTGCCACTAAATCACCGAGACAACTAACGATATAGCATAAAACTAGCGGCTCACTATCGTTTCGCTCGGGTTCGTCGTTAATGAAAAACAAAAACAAATCTATACCACGGGAACCATACATTTTTCCGGGATAAAAATATGCTATACCACACTATAATCTATCTCCGTGCCAAATTTTAGAAATAGATAACACATGAAGTATCTCACCGCAACTTATCCTGCACTTTCTTGACGGCCTTGTCGGGCTCCAGCGCGATGTCGGGCACCGACGCGTCCATCATCAGCGAGAACAGGTTCAGGATCAGGTTGGCGTGGCTGGAACATGAGAATAATATCAAGGAACATGTATTCATTTTAACGTCCCACTGCTGGGCGATTGCTTCCCTTCAATCTCGTCCCTTGCAAAATTTTATCGAAATCTGTGTAGCTGTTTAAAAGTGAAACTGTGTATCTGGGTAACAGACAGACAAACAGACAGGCGTTTCAAGGTAAATGTCATTAAGCTATGAGAAAGGTACCATTGGTGATATCACATTTTTTCTGACAAGAGTTGGATAACTAAACAGTTGCTCTTTTAAAAACAATACTTGTTTTGAAAACTGAATTGCAACCGGTTTCAGCTACGGCTAACTGTAAGAGATATTATATGCAGCATGTACGCTCACAAACACAACGTGTACTTTCTGTGGTACGACAGCGATAGTTGTACTGTATGAGTAATGAGAATCGATTAAAATACAATTCTATAAGTATTTATGAGCGTATGGCAGCATATTATTTATTATTATTTATTTATTACCACCGGTCTGCCACTGTCTCAGCGACCTAAATACGCTCACTTACCGAGTGAGTATGGAGTAGAGTGTATACTACTACACACACACATACAAACATCATCATCATCTCATTGTTTTTTCAGTTTTTATCAAATAGTTTAAATATTGTACGGAGGCGGGTGTTGATATCTGCACTTTTTACAGTATCAACGTAGCCATTGTATACTTATAAGAACTCTTACTAAATAAATTTCATTTCATACTGTAGAGTGTAGAGCGTGGAGTGTAGAGTGTGGAGTGTAGAGTGTGCAGTTACCGTCGGAGGTGCAAGAAGGCGGTGTAGCAGAGCTTGCGGAACTCGTGGTAGTGGTCGGAGTGCACGCCGCCCATCGCCTCCACCATCTCCTTGCTCAGCTTCATGGGCGGCGGCAGCGGCTTCGGGTCGCGCCCGAGGATGTAACTGCCATACACATATATACTTATAGTACCATACACCACCGCACACCACACAGCACCATCTAGTTCTATGGTAAGCTACGAGGCTTGTGTTATGGATACCAGATAGTTGATACACTGCACATATATAACTTTAAATACATACATATTATAAATATAAAAACTCATAACTGGAGTATAAGCATTCATGCTCATCACACAAATGAATGCCCCCAGCGGAACTCGAACCCACGACCGCTGGCACAGCAAGTAGGGTCACTACAAACTGAGCCAAACGTGTCGTCAAAAATATCGTATAAGAACCAACAAACACATACATACATAAGTATATCGCAGTTTACAGTCTAAATGGCATATGACTTTTAAACGTGTGTGTTAATGGTAATGGATAATCATTGAGTTAATCATATGATGTACCCAAACCTTATTATGTTAACAGTGAAAGATTAGAAGAATCAATTCGATAAAACGAACTTCTCTAGCATTAACAGAGCTCTGCACTCAAATGGTGTAGCCACAACACTCATAGAATGGATAAATAACATGTTAAAACAACGGGCTATACAGTTTACTGTTAACACCACAACGCGTGGCATCGTAAATAAGGGCTGCCCACAGGGCGGAGTTCTGTCCCCACTACTGTGGAACCTTGTTGTCAACGAGCTAATAACAGAGCTAAACAACAACAGCCTTTATACGGTGGGGTACGCTGACGATATAGCCATCCTAATATCAGGGAACTTTGAAAGCACCTTATGCGACCTAATGAGGAAAGCCTTCAGAATAACAGAGAACTGGTGTCGTAAACACGAACTCTCTGTCAATCCCTTAAAGACCGAATTGATCATGTTTACCAACCGAAGAGTTCCCGGACCTTACAGACTCCCGAAACTCTTCAACACAGAACTAAAACTTAAGGATGCAGTCAAATACTTGGGTGTAATTCTAGACAGCAAACTGCTCTGGAACAAGCACCTTGACTACAAACTCAACAAATCAACTATTGCCTTTTATCAATGTAAAAAGATGCTAGGCAATAAATGGGGCCTTTCGCCGAAAATAACGATGTGGTTATACACTGCCGTAATAAGACCAATGCTAACCTATGGGGCTCTGGTTTGGTGGACTAGAACGGAACTCCGGACTACAATCACCAAATTAGCACGCTTCCAAAGGCTGGCATTGTCTGCTACCAGTGGATCCATGAAAGCAACCCCCACAGCAGCAATAGAGGTTGCGCTCCAGACTACACCCCTGGACCTATTCATACAGCAAGAAGCGACTATGGCTGCTATAAGACTGATGCATTTAGGTCTATGGGGTAAAAACCACCATAGTCCACACACATCCATACTGGATAGAGCAATAGGACACGAACCACTTATTGCTGCCCCGTGTGACAGAACACACAATAAACATATATTTAACAAAAGATATAAAATAACTATGAGAGAAGAGGAACAAGACCACTCACCTGCCAATGAGCTACGGATTTATACCGATGGCTCAAAGACACGTGAAGGCTCAGGAGCCGGTGTATTTTCCCGTGATCTCAACATTAAAATACAAATACCATTAGGCATACACAGCTCGATTTTCCAATGCGAATGTGTAGCCATAACGGAAGCCGCAAGAACCGTGCACAGTCGTGGAGTAAACAACTACAATATAAAAATACTCTCCGACAGTGCAGCAGTTCTGCAGGCGCTAAATAACAAACAAACTAACAACAAACTAATAAGTGAATGTCATAACGCCCTGGACTTGATATCAACAACAAATCAAGTCACCCTTCAATGGATCAGGGCACACAGTGGTTCACTTGGCAACGATACAGCTGACGAACTCGCAAAGATGGGGTCAAAACTAGAAGGGACTGGCCCACTCCCGCTTCTCCCCATACCCTTTGCACAGATTCGCACCTGGATCCGCCAAAGATCCACGACATTACAAAACAACAGATGGTCACAAACTGCAGACTGCAGACAATCTAGATCAGCGCTGCCTGCAGTAAACCCACGACTTACAAAACGCTTACTAAACCTCAGTAGAACAAACCTTAAAATAATGATAGGGACGATAACGGGCCACTGTCCCTTGAACAAACACCTATATAACATCGGCGCAACGGACACCCCTCTGTGCAGAGGGTGCCTCGGCGCTGAAGAATCAGTTGCCCACGTAATCCTGGAATGCGTAGCGGTAAGTTCTCAACGTGAAGAAATCCTCGGACCAGTGAGGTCGCTCCGCGAAGCCTGTGAAGTTCCCAGGAAACTTCTGCGCTTCTGGGCGGAGCTAGGCTGGCTAATATAGCCAGGATTCGCACGCACAACGGACCAGAAGAGAGTCTAAGTGCGGAAAACGAGTCCACTTTACATTACATTACATTACATAGAAGAATCAATTGAAACATTAGGATTTTATAGCAAAATAAGAAAAGAAGATGAATTTCGTTGCAGTAACAAAAAAAATAAATAATAATCCGCTAGACTTGAAAGTCCGTGTCGAAGATATGAATTTGTCAAAAACTGCGTGTTCAGATAGCACGGCTACTGGTAGACAGCTAAAGGTCTCCACAGGTTTATGAATAAGACAATTTATTACATTTTTTTTTAAATTTCAATCATAATCTGCTAATTCTATCACTCACCCAAAGTCAATATGGAAGAGTGCCCCAGCGGGTGTGAGGAGCAGGTTATCCAGATGCCTATCCCCAACCCCGAGGAGGTACGTGATGACGCAGTAGCCGGCGCAGCTGCGGATGTAGGTGTCCATGGCGTCGGGGCGGATGCCGTGCGGCGCGCCGGCGCAGGGGTTGTGGCGCCGCAGGAAGTTCTGTATGGAGCCCTCCGCGGCGAGCGCCTCCGCCACCGTCACCGACTCGATGAACTGCAGGAAGCCGTGCCTCGAGCTGGTCGCCAGGACCTTGTATGGTGTCAATTTGAGATCGAGATTCTCTCTGGAATTTGGATATCATATTAAAGTTTTATTATTGCAGCGGAGTGAAAGTGCAAACAGATCATCTAAGTTAACATATTCAATATTCATACACTTTAAATAAAACTATCCTTTCGCATTTTTTTCGCGGATTTATTTTGATTTTTGGTTCCCGACGTTTCGTCTTTCCCGTGACCATAACTGCTGTAAAGCTCTCGAAAAAAAATATGCTTGATTTTTTTTTTATACAATAGTTAACATCGTTATGTATGTAATCGTAAAAAAAAATATCCAGCTTCAAAAAACTAAATTTTAGTATAAAATTAAAAAATATATATATACCGATACGGATACTTTAAACGCTCGCCGTTTCGCGCGATTGGCGTGACGTCAAAGTATCATACATAGAAAAATGACGACTTTAGTTTGTAGCGACAAAATCGCTGATCGCTCTGTTATTATAATAATTTGACGTCATATTCGACTTGTCCAATGGCGTGCGTTTTAACTACTTTGAATTTCCCATCTATATTTGTATTTTTTAATAATTATTTTCTTAATCAAAAATATTGATATAGGCTTAATTCAAAAGCGATAAAGATTATAAAAAAAAAAACAATTTTATTTAAATCACACATTTTAAATAGATATAAATAGTTATTAGCCAGCGTTAGCCATATAAAATAATTTTTTTTTTCGTCAATTTTTCTGATGTTTTAATACTTATTATCCTATTCAGGACTAAGAGAAAGACAAAAAATCAATAATAAATGGTGTAAACTAACACGACTTTGTTATATATATATATAGATATGAACACGAGCAGCACACACCTCCTCAGCAACTTATCCATGAGGGTGATCATCTGCAGGATGAGCTGGTCCTGGCGCAGGTCGTCGCCGTGCTTGAACATGGCCTCGTACTCCACGCCCTCCACCGTCAGGAACGTCAGCTTGCACGGCATCAGCGCCGACTTGAACAGGCTCGCCTTCTTGGCCACTATACCCTGCAATATTAAGAACTAAAGTAATTATACTATATTAAAACTTTATTTATTAATTAAAAAAAAGCTCACAATGTTTAAGTAAACACGACTCTCCATGCTACTTATTAGTAGTAAATTGTATGAAGGTAGAACCGTAATCTTCACGCGTGATCACTCGCTCATTACAGTATAGTTTAGATCAAGCTTTAAGCTTAATTCAATATTCTAAAATATTTTTTTTGTATTTTTTGAAATTTTGTATAAGTGTACTGTATGTATGTATATATTTTATTTATTACAAGTGTTTAGTATTAAATGTAGATAAAAAAGTAAAAATCTCGCATTAATGTTGTGAAGCTTCGATTATATTGTTGAACATATTAATAATAAATTATATATAAAAATAAAATAATATAAAATATTTAAAGTATGTTTTTAATAAAAAGTACAGTGCAGTAAAAAGTATCCTATATGTTGACCCGGATAACCAGCTATCACCATACCAAATTTCATCAAAATCTATCCAGTGATTTTTTCGTGATGCGGTCACAGACAGATAGACTGACAAAAATTCTAAAAACCATAAATTCGGCCTCTGTATCGATAATAATGTCTATTTCAATAAGATTTTCCAAAAAATATTTAATGTACACATTCGGCTTAGTTACAATTTGATTATATGTATAGAAGTATTAAGTTTAAAAAACCAATATCGCATAGACAAAGAACAAAAAAAAACAACTATTTACTGCAGTCAAACCTCACCTTAATATTAACACTGGGATCCAAGGGAAAGGGCATGGGTTCGAAGTTGGTGAAGTTAAACTTGAAAGCGTCGGGGTCCGCCAGCAGCTGCTGCAGGCGCTCCGCCTTCTTGTTGCGGTTGCCGCTCTCGCGCGCCACCGTCTTCACCAGCTTCACCAGCTTGTCTATGAACACCTGCTGTCTTGCGAGGAAGGAACGTGTTCTTTGGTGGTCTGCGTTACCTGTTATTATACATGTAAAGATAGTATACTCCTTTAATTTTATATTTTAATTTATCTTTCAAGTAGCTTGTATTTGTTTAGTATTTTACATAAATATTTTAGTCGTACATATGTCAAGTTAATATATTTTAAAAATAAAAACATTTGCATCAATAAACTTTTAAATGTCGTTTCTTTAAAATTTCAGGTAATATTTTATTTTATACAATGTAATTATAGGTTTTAATTGTATTGATGATTTGTTATTAATTGATTAAATCTTTAAAATTTCAGCAACACGTTGAAGTTTTATTGATAAATTTTGATGCATAAAAGTTCATAAGAAAAATTATATTATATACATTTTGTATACATATAATAAACTAGTTTATAGTACTTTAATATATGTATGTAAAGAACAGTTATACACAGACCGCTAATGGGTGCAAACTTATATGACATTCATTTGTTGTTAAATAAATACAATAATTGAGGTAATTTTAGTGGTATTGGATATAATATAACCGAAGTACGAACACCAATATCACGAGTGAATTAGTTTTAGTGATAGAGCTTGTGTACAAGGAAAGTAAAGACAGGATCAAAACGTACTGGACGTCTCTCACTACGAGGTTGTTTTCAAGTCAGTGACATAGTATGCTTTTCTAGTGGTATTGTGGAAGTATAGGAAGTTAGCAATATTTTACTGTTTGTGGCTAAAGAAATAAGAAAAAGTAAAGAAGCAAAATTTACTAAAAACGGTTATAATATGAGAATATCGTCATAATTGCGATTGAGGAGGTGGGCGCGATAAGTTGTTACTTTGATTAAAGAACCGACCGAAAATTAGGTGCTGCGAGAGGGTCCTCGTATAGCTGCGAAGTAGGAGGCGCGTACTAATTTACCAGTTTGATATTTAAAAAAAAAACCTCCACCACCACCACCACGAGCAACAAACTGGCGCCTCACCGTCGGCCAGGCGCTGCGAGAATATGCGCATGACGGCGAGGTAGACGGCGCGCTCGGCGTGGCGCAGCGCGCGCGGCGCGTCCTCGCACTCCACCAGCAGGTACCAGTACAGGTAGTTGGCCACGGTGCGGTTGCGCGCCGCGCGCGCCGTCAGGAACCCGCCCAGCGTGGCGCCCCACGCCCCGCCCCCGCCCCCGCCCTCGCCCTCCAACCTGCGCCGGCACGTACACACACACCATTTTATATTTTGTAGTGTAGACATATTTGTATTTTGTTGTGCACTTTCATTTAATATAATATAGATATTCAAGATTCATTTTAATCAATCGAGTTTATGTGATTGATTGATATTGAAACGCACTCTTAATCTATAGAATATATATATCTATCTGTACCTAAAGCGTCTCTCACCATTATCACTCATCTATCAAGAATATTAACTCAATTCAATTGTAACCTAATTAATGCAAGAGCTTACTGTAAGACGTGAGTCCTTTCTCGTTTAATCTATGTACATTTGTCAATTCTTACAAATTTTATTTAACCGATTTCCAAAAAGGAGAAAATTTTATGTTCATCTGTACGTATATATATTTTTTATTATGATATTATTTATATTAAAAATCATTACTGAACTGTACTCAAAATTATTCTCATAATACAACCGACCGAGAAACTGAATTTATTTTTTACCCAAAGTCCTCATTAACCGCAGTATGGTCGGTATTGGTCTCCGACTCCTGCGCATCCTCCGACTGTCTGCTCATAGATGAACTGGTCATCTCGCTAGCAGTTAACACTGGAATATTAAGTGTAAGAAAATTGTACTTAAAGTATTATTATGGACAAAAAATTTCCTCATAGTTGTTGCTTATCGCGGCTGCAGCTTTTAAGGTGTTGGGTTCAATTCTTGAGCTGAACCAAAAGAGTTATTCAGATTTTTTTCTATCAAAACCATTAAGTAGCAGAGGCGGCCTTATTGTTGCAAGTACTACTATTTTACATGCGAAATTTTGCATGTGTGCGTAATATGTATCTTCACGTCGAAACGGATGAACGGATATGGACAAAATGTATATTATTCCATCACCACTATTAAACACCTAGAGATGCACGCATCTGAGCGTCTCTCGAGGTAGAGAGAGCACACCTCGTTAGTGACAGAATGGACCGACGGACACACCCCTTGCTTGTTAATTGTTATACTTCGGCGAGCCTGCCGTCGGGGCCGAGTGCGTAAGCGATCCTGCGACGCCACATTCAGACGGAGGAGGTTTGTTGGGTTTTAGTGGGCAGTACTATACTGTTTTTTAATCTCAGACATAAAACTGACATTACGTGGGTTGCCAATTTTTTACAATTCGTAAATTGTGACGTGCCACTATCGAAAATTAACGTTGATAAAATCTAGTGTCGTTTTTTTATAATAAGTTATCCTAAAATAATGTTTAGACACTTATTTAAAATGTAATAATACAAATTTAAATTTAATAATGTAGATTTTAATGATACTTAATGATTTAAAATTAATAAATATGATATTTAGAGATTTAGAATTAATAATGTGAATTTTAATAATACATTTTGGAATATAAAACTTTCAAGCGAATCATCTAATAAAGATAAAGAGTTACGATTCAACAAACCGGTATCGCAGGTACAACACAAACAGCACAAAAGAGCTGGCAGCATTACTTGTAAATTTGACATTTGCATGTATCAATTTAATTCTCTGAGATTAAAAAACAGACTATAGTTTTAACAGGCGAGTCACATAACCACATGTATGCAGGTGATATGTGTTAATGCATTTCAAAACTATAAAAAAAGATCATAAATATACCCGTGGCGGCGCGGCTGCCGCGCGGCGCACCCGCGTCCGCCCACGCCGGCGCCTCCTTGCCGCACACCCGCGCGTACTCTGCCAGAGGAAACGACCAGTTCACTTTCTTAAATTTACCTTATACTCGTTAGGGATCATTTAAAATTATCACTTACTCAACCTCGCTTCGCTCGGGTTCGTCGCTAGGTACGTTTTAAATAGATATACATAGTTATTAGCCAGCGTTAGCCATACAAATTTAATTTTTTTTTCGTTAATTTTTCATTTTTCTCTTTATTAAAACCTTCCGTAGACCTTAAGGAACATATCAAAATAAAATTTAGCCGAATTGGTCCAGCCATTCTTGAGTTATACGCTTACCGACATTCATTTTTATTTATATAGATAATCTGTATTTAATAAAACACTACCTTCGTGTATTTCCATATAGTCTTCATATTTCAGCGCCTGCACTAGTTGTAGAAGATAGAGTAATAAGTCCTCGTCCGGCGCTTGCTTCAGTCTTGATATCGCATACCTGCAAATGTATTTATTTTTTAATATACATCTATAGTAATATTATAAATATGAAAATTTGTGAGTATGAATGTTCGTTACTCTTTCACGCCAGAACGGCTGAACGGATCTGGATGAAATTTGGCTTAGAGATAGATTATAGTCTGGAATAACACAGGTTACTTTTTATCCCGGAAAAATGTACGGTTCCCGTGGGATAGGTTTGTTAATATTTATAAAAATAAATTTAATAAGTTATATAAAGATATCACTTTACCTTCTAACAGCTGGGTGTGTGAACTTGGGTGTTAACAATTCCAAGGCGTCCTCGACGTCCATCGGCGCCCACTGCTTCATCATGGACAGTGCTTGTCGCACTTCACCTGAAAACGAAATAATACTTTAGAGTGAACTAGCAACTTATCCTCATCTAATACGTTAATTTCTCTCATGACCAAGATTGTTGTAAAGCATTCGAAACTTTGGAAACCAAAAATCAAAATAAATTTGCGAAAAGATAGTTCAATTTAAAATGACAAAGTCTAAGAAAGTATTATGACTCACTCTCGCTTCATTCGGGTGCCTCTTTGGTTACGTTTTATATAGATAAAAAATAAAAATAGTTATTGCGAGAGTACCTTAGGAGAGAAACACATACTATCGCGGACTTTTCTGCAAGTCTTTTTAAGACCTACAATTTTCTAGTACATTATTTTGATATATCTTTTAAGGTTTAGCCAGCATTAGCCATATAATTGTACGAAAACAGTAACGCCGCCTATGAGACGAGACGAGGGCAGGTTTTACCAGAGCAGACCACAACAACCGTGGGGTTGTTCCCACAATTCACTCTGCTATCAGAGAAGTACCAGGAGCAACCTGCATGGTATACCGCCCACCGAGGTGGGCAGCCTCTCCTCCCTACAGTCGTATTAAAATTTTCCGAAAAATGGCGGTGACATAAACAAAAAAAGGCATTTAGGCACGCACCCTAGAAAAAGGAGAATTATTAAGTAATAGATACTATAATTTATTTTTATTTTAATACTAACCCGGTCGATTCCAGTTGACACATGCCAGAAATTTGGTAAGAGCCCGACGATGAGATGACAAGTAGAATCTGTAATAAATATGCAGTGCGAATTTAGAAACTTGTTTAGAAAATCGGACAAGTGCGAGTCTGACTCGCACAACGAGAATGCATCCGTAGCATGACACATTAAAATAAGTTTATAATTTTGTGATGTAACTACAAATTTATTTTTGGATTTTTCCCTTTACTTGTGTTATAAGACATTGCTCCTTGACAAATTTCATGATACTACGTTAACGGGAAGTTTCCTATAGGTTTTAATTCCCTTGCCAGTGGTAAAATGTGCGGCTCTCATAGCACGATATATAAATGTACATGAAATTAAATGGTGTCGTGTGACACCAGATAGGAACGAAGTTCAAGTTCTAGTCGAGGTAATAAGAAATAATATTCGGGTATAAATTTTTTATTATGATTTTTATCGATAAAAATCGAAAACTACTCAACAAAATTATCTTATCACTTTTATTTTATTTACAATGATTCATATAAATATATAATAATTTTAGGGGTACCCTAACCCTTCCGCATCGTCCCAGGAACTTCGTTTCGAAATCAATACAAACCGATACTTCCATATGAGATCCTGGTCGTCAGCAGACAGAGATACCAGAGCGGCAGGGGCGGCGAGCAGTGCGGCGAGCTGGTCGCGCTCCGTCGCCGAGGGCTTCGCGTCACGACCTGGCACTGCGGAGCGGAGCGATCGCGCGAGACGGTGTTGTTTGGACTCCACTAGATTTTCCTATTAAATATAAATGTTTATCTTCAGTACTACTATTATTAATAAGTTACTAGTAGGTCAGTGGTAGCCCAGTGGTAACGCGCTCGCTTGGGTAACCGAGTGAAGCGAGCACAAATCTCGGGTTTCACACCTCTGATATTTTCATATGCGAATCATTTTCCAACATGATTGCCACTTCTCTTAACGGTGAAGAAAACATCGTGAGGAAACTTGCACGTTTGAGAGAACCTACCAAGTTTTCAAAATACGTGAAGTCCGCCAAACCGCACTTGGCCAACATAGTGGACTACGGCCTGATCCCCCTCGTACTGAAGGGAGGCCCATGCCCAGCGGTGGGACGATAAATAAGGCTGAATACATGTTACTAGTATAGTAGCATGTGACATTACCTCGAGTAACACATAGGCTCGTGTTGGTAATAAAATTTACCAAATGGTGGAGTATGGAATGATGTGGTGTATATAATATTATTAATTCAGAAGGCACCTAGTAGCGGTATAAAGAAGTAACAAAAACACACGCACGCACCACGTACGTGATTTTTCTGTTTATGCTATTATTGTTGATTTTGCCAAACAGATCTTTTACTTTCTTTAGAGAATAAGGTTTTTTTATATATGTATGAGTTAATATATATGTATTCAACCCTTTTTAATATACATACAATATAATAGAAATAATACTATCTAACACAAAAAGAGAGATAGCATAAGATTATTTAATTTGTTTTAAAATCGATTAACTATTTTTATTTATCAACATTTATTTAAATATCACTAAATATACAAATTGCCACTTGTATACTATTTTAAAACATTATTATTTGGCTTCATATTTAGTTCTATGACAATGTCTATATTATTTCTTAGTCTGTGGTCTCTAACTACATACATGTCACGCCTGGTAACTAAGTAAACAGCAGTTATCAAAATATGATATCATAACTATCGTTCAATTGTACGGAAGCAACAATGTACGGTAAAGGGCGATTAGCAACAAAGGGTCATTACCATTTACCAGTAAATATTTATGTATGTATGTACAATAAGTTAATGTTAACTGAGTATTTAATCAAGTCGATTCATGTCAAGTGCAATCTTTGATAAAATTATGACAATATTTAATATCATTAATAATTAATCCCATGCAAAAGTTCTCTTAAAACTGTCACCAATTGTGTTTAGGTAATAATTCTAGTTGAAATAAATATATAACAACGTAAATTGAGCCTTAGATGCAATGCTCAAAGTTATTTTCACAAAAAAAATAAAAAGCGCGCTTAAATGTTTAAATGAGCGCTCATTCGGCGAGAACTTTTTTTGTCGCTGATTGTGTATCCAGTACTTTTTTGGTCGATATCAATGATATTCAATATTGTTATAATAATATTGACCAACTTTAAAAATTTAAAAAGAAGCAAGGCAGTATGTTTCGATTTGTGATCATTTAGTTGTGGTGGGAGGGCTTAGTAGCGTTTGGCAATCCAGCCGGGCGTAAAGCCAAGAGTTGCTCTTGGAACGCACTTGTGGCAAGTACCATGCGGCTAGCTCTAGGTACTTCTCTGATAACAAAGTGGACTGCGGGAGCAACCCTTTGATTGTTATGGAGAAGGTCTACCTTCATAAATCCAGCCTTCGGGGAAGGTCTTATTAGTCTTTGACAAAAATGCTAGACATTTCAAGCCTCAATTTACACCTTAGGTAACTTGGAAAGTCATTAAATAATATTCGATTATTTTCATTAGCCAAGTTTATATGTAATTAAAATTCCAATGTCATTTTGCTTTGTCACTTGCCTTGGACGAATTCAGTTTGAAATTTTTGGTACATTCTGTAATGATTCTTTATCTTTATTATTGCCTTCGTAACCTTGAAATATATCGTTTCTGCGAGATCGAAAAAAAATTTTTTTTGGCCCACGTCGTAAGTCGTCTTCATCTTAAATATTAGTATCGAATATTGCTCTTTGTGTTAATTAGATAAAATAGATACGCATGCATGAATACATCTATATGTATTCAATACGAAAGGGGTCAGGTCATAGCTTACCACGTTGAAAAAGAACGAGTTGGCGGACATTTTAAACAACTTCCAAAATGAAAAAGCATAGATATTCACCCGGTATTTTTTAATAAACGATTTCTATGGATATATATATATATATATATATATATATATATAATACACATAGCAATATTAGAACATTGCAAACAATTAATTATTAAATCACAGATAAATAATTCTTAAAAATGACTTAATTTGAATGGTTTCCTGAACTTTCCGTCATACTATATACTCACAGAGACTCACCTGTAATATTTCGTAGTCGGGCACAGTAACAATTTCCGCTTGAGCTCTGAACTGATACATTTCGTCGCCGTCCTGCTCGTAATAGACCACAGCATGCTGGAAAGCGTTAAAAGTTAATTATAAATAAGTTTTAATTAATAACTGTCATTGTGCAATTATAATTGTTAACCTTTTCTTTTAATGGGCAAAGGGGGGAGGGGAGAGAGAGGGAGAGGATGTATTAACCTTACGCAAGTCTCATGGAAGATGGAAGGTCTTGTCAGAAATCGAAATCACAATGTATTACTACGAGTATACGAAATAAAACTAGAATTCTACATTTACATGATTACATTTATAGTAAATTAAAATTGTGTTCTACATAGGTACTTGCACATAGCCTACTTTTTATCCCGCAAATGTAGCGTTGCCATGGGATAGATTAATTTCTGTTTTTCTAGAGGCGAATCCGAGCGAAGCGAGTGTGAGCCGCTAGTACTAAATATATTCGTTAAATATTGAAGTATAGACTTGATAATATGCAAAAATCAAAACAAACGTGCTCAAAAGCCTATTTAGTGACGAATATTAAAGAGTCAACTTGAAAATGAACAAAAAAGTAAATACAAGTTACAACGATGATAACGATCATTCAAGTAACACGTTTTTCGTACCTTCAAACTTTATCACTACATATTAACAAAATAAAGTCCCCCCGCCATGTCCGTCTGTCTGAACGCGATAAACTTATAAACTACAAAACGGATTTTCTTACTGCTTTCACCAATAGATGGGATGAGGAAATTTTAGGTGTAAATATGACGACGATTGTTGAAGATGTAAGAAAAAATTATGCGGACTGGGGAGCTTTATTGGCGTGCGCCGCGTAAACTGATCAAGTTATATGAAAACAATAAAATAACAAGTTATATAAAAACCTATTACAGAATTATTCCTATTAAAAGATCTATTAAACTGTAGCAACGTTTCTATATATACGCATCTAAGACCTGCCCGAGCGAAGCGGTGGCGAAAGGAAAGTCACTAATAATAAATAATTTCGATCACTAGACATAATAATGTACAGGACACAATAATTATAGTGCAGTGTGTGAGACGCACAATATTTAATATCAATTTCATTCACAAAAGTCGTTAGATGGGCCGGTAGGACAATAATTTGATACTCGACGACGATGCTAACGATGGCTTTACGTGCCCTCTATGTTCTCTTAGTTTCTTAATTTCGGGCTTCTAATACTTTCTTAATTAAAAAAAACAATAACTACTCTTGGCCCAAAGTCAGATTCGAACCTTGGATATGCTGAAGTAGGTACATGCAATCCAAATAGATTAAAGAATTAGTTAATTAATAAGTTAAGCTCTTTTTTTTTGGGCTCGATCATTTGTTTCCCAGTGTCACCATAACTCATACTAAGGATACAGGTGTCAGAAAGGTGTCAGATTTTGAAAGGTTGGTCTAAGTTGAACTGACAGGGCGGAATGACGATATCAGGCATTAATAAATGATTCGTAGGTACAATTTTAATTTGTTATGGATTATTTGCCAGAAATATGTACATAATATGTTAAGAGATACGCGAAACACTTCAATAAAAAAAACCTGTATTAAATTATTCGAAAATTATTACTCATGAATCTACAACAGTATGAAAAAAAGCCTGTCCTGAGAAAAAATCGTAAAAGGATCATCAGAAGTAATCAGCGCAACTCAAATAACTTTTTTCTTTAACTTAATTTAATAAATATATAAATTACAATATTTCTCTAACATTAGAATAAATGGAGGCGAACACATAATTTACAAAACATAAGGTAATGGATATACTAATATTATAAAATAAATAAATAAATATGTCAGGACATTAACACACAACGCCATCTAGTTCCATGGTAAGCTACGAGGCTTGTGCTATGGATACCAGATAGTTGATACATTATACATATATAACTTTAAATACATATATATTATAAATATAAACACCCATGACTGGAGTACAAACATGCTTATCACACAAACGAATGCCCCCAGCGGGACTCGAACCCGCGACCGCTGGCACAGCAAGTAAGGTCACTACCAACTGAGCCAAACATGTCGTATAAATGCGAAAGTTTGTGAGGATGTGTGGGTGTCTGGATGTATAGATGTATGGATGTTTGTCACTCTTTCACGCAAAAACTACATATGGATTTTAATTAAACTTTATAATAATATACCTCATATCAGAATAGCACATAGGCACATAATTTTAATTTCTATCCCGGAAAAATGTACGGTTCCCGTGGGATAGATATGCTTTTGTATGTATATTGTATGAAATAAATGTATAAAATAAGTGACAAAACGAAGCTGACTTACGTTTATCCCGTCAATTTGCACTGTTGGAAATTCAATCATGAGATACATGTAGTTAGAACTCCTTTTTTCTTTTTCATTTATCATTTCTATCTCTCGAAAAGTCAGTCGGTCTAACCAGTCCACCTGAAATAAAAATATCACTAAAATGCTACACATGCAAACATACATAATTGATAAGTTTCTCGAGGATTTTTTTAATTTTTATCGCATTATGCTGTTTTTGATGATCCATTTTTTTTAACATAAAGTCTGTAAGTTGGTCCCATACCAATTTTTCCACTCTGTCCTCATTTTTAAAGGAAGCTTAGATAAGGTGTTTAAAACGTTTTTTTTTACACTGCTCATATTTTTATTTTATCGATGGATTAATTTGTTCTTTTTTAGTCAGCAAGTTCCATTTAAAACTTTAAATCGTTTTTAATACCAATTTGAAATTAACATTTTTTTTTGTTTATACGTAAGGAAGGGCAAGGCAGTGGAAGCCCAGTGGAGACGCGCTCGCTTGGGAAACCGAGTGAAGCGGGTTCAAATCCCGGGTCTAGCACCTCTGATTTTTCATGTGCGAATCATTTCTAACATCATTATCACTTATTACTGCCTTATGGCAAGGAAAACATCGTGAGGAAACCTGCTTGTCTGAGAAAACCTAGCAAGTTTTCAAAAGACATGTGAAATCCGCCAACACGCACTTGGCCAGCGAGGTGGACTATGGCCTGATCTTTCTCGTATTGAATGGTGGCCCGAGCCCAGCAGTGGGACGTTAAAAATGGCTGAATACTTACATACGTAAATTAAATAGCTTTAAAAGGAAGATTAGTTACGACAGTTAGTAGATCTTATTCTTAAATAGGGAAAGAAAAGAAAACGCTTATGTAATATTTTACGATGTTTGATGATGCCCTACATCCACTTATAAGGTATGTATTATGTAAATAAACATGTTTCGAAATACGTGAATGTATCTATTTAATATGGAACTATAAAATATAGATTCACGAACCAGCAAAAAGGTAATAAACTCTTGTTAATTTAGAGAAGATGAAAGTTTTATATTCTTTTTACATTCCATAAAAAATGGGAGATAAAAAATAGAAATTTAAATATGTACTTTACGTTATACTGTGAATAACACATTAATACCAAATTGGCCATCAACTCAAGAACTTTGCTAGATGCTTAACTACTTACGAGTATGTACATTGCACATATATTTATGTATTATGTATATCGCAAAGAGCTTACATATTGATATTATGTAAATTTATATTTTTTTAAAGATAAATAAAAATAATTATTTAAAATCAATTAATAAAAAAAAGTTCGATCTAACCGTCTCACGGCAAAGTATCACATTTATTTTTAAGTGGATTCCTGTATGCATATATAATGTGAGAAAATCCTTAAAAAATGCTAACTTTATACATGCCATATAAATTAAAATAATAAAGTTTGTTTTTTTTTTCCTGTAGAATTTAATATATTTAATCTCGAATGACAGCATTTTATAGTCATAATAATATTTGCTCATGAATTAGTCGCCTAAGCCTCAATCTCAAGGCAAAAGCGAGGTAATTGAAATTCGCAACTATCGGCAATTTTGTATAATATACATATATAAATAACTATTAATAAATAACAGTATATATAAGTAACTAGCGGCTCACCCTCGCTTCGCTCGGGTTCGTCGCTAGGTACGTTTTAAATAGATATAAATAGTTATTAGCCAGTGTTATTAGCCATATAAATATATTTTTTTCGTTAATTTTTCTGACGTTTTAATACTTAGGTATTAACCTATTCCGGAATGAGAGAAATCCATAAATTCAAATATCATAAAAATTGGTCCAGCCGTTATTGAGTCTTGTATACGGGAACGCAGTCGAACGGGCTAAAAATCCTCAAGTATCCTATGTCCGTCTCCTGGTTCTAAGCTACCTCCCCACCAAGTTTCAGCCAAATCGGTTCAGCCGTTCTTGAATTATAAATAGTGTAACTAACACGACTTTCTTTTATATATATAGATAAGATAAGTATTTCTAAAACTTACTTTTGGTATGTGTCCATTCCGATGTTTCTTCGCTAACTTGGCCAGCCTTTGCATCTGTTCCTTACCGCGGTCCGGAGCCTTCCCCGGGGTTTTCTCACTACCCTCCATCCCCGGCCACACTCGCAAGTCGAACATTCCCTTTTTGAACACAACACGCAATTTATGTATAAACAAACAACATTTCCTATAGACTAACGTGCTGCCTGAATTTCCCATTTTGTCAAAACATGCATTGAACTGAGTTTAAAAATATTCACAATTTAACTAAATTTCTGCGCCGCATTTTGGTTTTGTGTTGATATTTTATTAGAAGCATTGGTTTAATTTCGGTCGGCACGCATACGTTTGCAGCGTAGGCAATTTAATGGAACACTGATCGGCAAGCGTTGTAACTTGTACCCCGATAGGCAGAAGCATTCAGTTCAAGATATAGAAATAAAAACATTATTGTTTATGATTATTACGTAGAATGTAGGTATTAATCATAATTTTAAATTAATATGGAAAACACCAACTTTATTGTAATAAATCTATACTATTATTATAAAGAGGTAAAGTTTGTGAACTGTTACTTTGTGACGTTGTAGGGGATAATCTCTGGATCTACTGAGTCGATTTAGATGAAATTTGGTAAGAAAATAGTTTGAGACCCTGGAAAGGACATAGGATACTTTTTATCCCGGAAATCATCCCTTACGGGGGTTAAATTGGGGATGAGAGTTTGTACGGGGCATCAACCTAGGGACGAACCCGAGCGAAGCGATGGTGAGTCGCTAGTAATAATATAATTTAAACATTCCAGAGCCCTGTTTCTAATCCAATTTAACCTTAGTAAAATAAGATTATAAATTACAAAAAATATTCAAATAGGATTGAAAGAGTCCGAGATTGAAACAAAAATAAAAACAAATCTATATCTCTATAACAGGTTAGTATTATAGCTTATAAATCTTTTAAGTAATATTGACACGTGGACGAAAACTGGTTATTCGAGCGAAGCTACGGAATAGACATAATTTTATGTAATTAATTAGGACGACATGACATCTGTACCAATATTATGATGTAAATGCGAAAATATGTAATTCTATTTCTCTGCCTACTTTTGAAGACTAAGACGATTGGATCGATTTTGATGAAACTGAAGAATAAAAAAAAAGGTAAAAAGCTAAAAATTGTTGTGGAAATCGGTTATTACTTAGACACGTATAAAAAACTTGAGTTTTGAATAAAAAAAACCACCTGGACGAAGCAAAGGCTGAACGGTAGTAAATAATAATAAATAGGTACATATAAAATTGTAGTTTGTTTTTATGTATATATAATATGTTAAGCTCAAAAAGCATCTTGGGCTCGCAATACAATATAGGCTATACACAAAACAGGTAAAAAATTTTATGTGCGACCGTCAATTATTAGTAAATATTTAGTGACAATGAACTATACTCGTATGTATCTAAAAGTGTTACAAATTTGTTACCATATGTGTTACAAATTAATTAAAAACAAAACCGCATCAGGCATCGACTTTGAATGTTAAAAAAACTTAATTTGATATTGAAGGGTCATTGACAACTGCCACTAAATAAATATTTAAATGCAGATATTTTGATAAGGTGTAAAAGTATATGGAGTACCATTGATAAATAATTTACCAATATTTAGTTAAATGGATATGTGGTAATCATAATCATTAATCAGGTAAGTATTCGTTTTCTTTAACGTTTAGTTGAGCATTTCAACCTGAAACGCCAAAATTTTGAAATTACCATTAGCAAAAGTTACATCAAAATCAGTATATCTATTGACTGTTGCGGAGATTAACGAGTGCAAACAGATGGACAATTTTTTTGGCTATTGCTTAGTGATGGTTCAGTTCATTTGGAGTGGTGCAAATAATCACATGAACTTGGTATGGGGTAGTTTTAATCTTACAGGCAGATACCAGAATTTTATTTATGACTATAATTTCAGAGTAACGCAAGATGTCGATTAATTTATTGTTAAATAATAAATCAATAAATAAAAAAATAATGAAATAAGGTGTTACGTGACGGTTCTGTTTACGAGGAACGTGTGTGAAGGTGAACAGTAAACAAATCTTATACCTAAAATATGATACTAAAATTTATTTGTAGACCGATCGGAATCAGTTTATTTTTAAGAAAAAAAATTAAAACCTGAAGTTATATGGTTTTGTAAAGTTAGCAGGTATACAAGGAATAGAAATTCGTAAAATGCCCTCGATACCCAGATAATGGGGGGCCACAAAGTTTTTTTTTTAATTTCCGGCTTTCTATCAAAAAAATTTTTTACAAAAGTTGTAATTCTAGTAAAAATTTACAACTTTTATAAACGACACTTTTTACAATAACCTCAAAGTTTTCGAGATATTTGCAAAAAACTGTTTTTTAAATTTTTTCTTGGTTGTTTAATTATAATTTCTACAACAATCTTTTGATTTTCATGAAACTAGGGGAATGTAATCTTCGAAATACATACAATAAGCAAAAAAAATTGAAATTATATTTAGCCATTTCCGAGTTTATGTTTTATGGTCTCGGGAGGCTGAAAATCACCCCCAACTTTAAGTGTAAGTCCTGTAAAAATACCCTTAAAAATTGAAAAAATTGGAGAAATCGATAATTTTTACTTTAAATGTATACCTACTATTTTTATTATTATCATTGAAAAGTACACAACAGTTTATTTATCAAATTTTGAAAATTAAATTGAAAAAAACTATTTTTAAACGCTTTGCGTCCCCCCATTTTTCGAGGGTAGCTGGGTAGAGGGGGCATTTTACGAATTTCTATTCCTTATAATACGTGCTAACGTTTTAAAACTAATTTGTTTGTTCCCAAATCGCATTCAGATTGGACTATTGTTTGTAAGCACGTGAAAACCTCTAAAACAACTTAATTTATTTTAAAAATTCTATTATTAGTATGTCTAAGTAACACGCTCTATAGGTATACATATATATTGATGTATTGCACAAATGTTTCAAAATCTTTTTATTTGTATTCAAAAAAATATTTTTAAGTAAATAAAAACGATTTTAATTTTTATTCATGTTCGTCTGTTTCCTAACTTTACCTATATATTTGTTTGTCATTGTTCATAAAATATATAAAAACCATAGTCTGTAGTAATCTATACGTAAATTAATCAACAGGGTCATGTAAAACAAATATCAGACACATATTTTATGCAAAAATGTATCGTATCATTGTAAAGTAAATATTTATTAATTGGATAATATAAATATGTAGCTTAAGTGGTTGGACTCAAAAGACAAGAATCTTATCTATTGATGGACGAAAAAACCGTATGATATTTTTTTATCATAAGCATGAACTAGTTCTTTCTATTGAAAACAAATGTTTTGGATGTTTATTTATTATATCATGTTTGAGACGACAGTATGGTTTACTTGGACTGCATTTTTTCATGTTTGGGAAACTCAAGCCGTAGCATTAGATCAATGAAGTTAAAATTATCTATATATTTTGACGACACGTTTGGCTCAGTTTGTAGAGACCCTACTTGGTGCACCAGCGATCGCAGGTTCGAGTCCCGCTAGGGGCATTCATTTGTGTGGTGAACACGAACACGAATGTTTGTACTCCAGTCATGGGTGTTTATATTTATAATATGTATTTAAAGTTCTATATTATGTGTAGTGTATCAACTATCTGGTATCCATAACACAAGCCTCATAGCTTACCATGGAACTAGACAGTGCTGTGTGTTAATGTCCTGACATATTTATTTATATTAATAGATGAATAAAAAACTTTATATCAGTTTTTGAATATAATATTGCATGTACGTAGAATTATGAAGGGCATAATCATCTTATATGGAGTAGGATTGATACTTGCTTTTGCTCACAGCTCTACTAGTGCAATTTTTTTATGTATTCCAAAATATCCGTTATGTTAGATAGTCTATAGCTGATATAAGAACACCAATAATATTCACACTTTATGAATTATAGTTGATTTTCAATCATTTAGCAATTCTTAGTATAATTAATTTTAAACCATGAAAATCTTAATATATACATGCAATATGACTTCCCGCAGTTTAGTTCAAAGTGCAAATTAATCATTAATTAGTAATTCAATATATATCATTAGAATTATATATATAACTAGCATTGCCCGCAGCTCCGCCCGCGTTCATATGACCAAAAACCAAATTCTTAGATTTTACAGATTAGTATACTCTTACATTGCGGTTTTTGTATTTTTTCTAACAAATGAGATATTTTCCCGCGGTAAAAATATTCTATATGTTGACCTGGATAACCAGCTATCACCATACCAAATTTCATTAAAATCCCTCCAGTGGTTCTTCTGTGATGCGGTAACAGACAGACAAAATTTTTTAAAACTATAGATTCGGCCTCGGTATCGATAATAATATAACGGTTTTACATAATAATAAAACCGATATTATGTGCCGAGAGGGAAAACATACAGTATTGTATATGAAGAAGCAGTGTATACTTTGCCATTTATTTACGGTCTGTAGAATATGTCATCTACTTTTCAACTACCCTATACTAAATTTTAAATTGACGGTAGTAGAAAATCCAGCTAGGACACGGCAAAACGTTGTCACTTTGAATATCATAGTCTTCACCAGGAAGGACTTCCTGCAATGCTGTATGTTTTCCCTCTCGGCACATAATATCGGTTTTATTATTATGTAAAACCGTTATATTGATGTGCCTCCGGAAAACATACAGCATTGTATATGAAGACGTGTTTGTTATCTGCTGGTGAAATATGTACATTGTAGGTATATAAACACAACGCTATGATGAATAGTAAAATGAGAATAATAAAAGTTTAATATGAAAGTAAATTATATATTATATATAATTATAATATTTATTTATTTATTGTTTAACAATATTAACTTGTATATAATTGTTACACTTTTTTTATTGCAAATCTCTTAATTATTTATTATTAACTAATTTAAATCATAAATTTATAATGACGTGAATGTATTGAAAAAGGAATTATGGTCATTTTTAGATACTTTAATTACTTTACAGTAATGATTAAAAAATGTAGTGGAAGATTTCCAGTTACCCCGTGCTAATATATCATCTAAGGGTTGATTATCTAACCACCCCAGTGAAGCTACAGCTGACCTACAACTCCCTGGGGAAGCATCAATGCCACTGTCTTTAAGAACTGTGCGCACCCAGTTGCCTATTACAGTACGGGAAGCAAATTTTACTTTATTACTAATTGTAATGAAGAGGTTGTCTAAGTCTTTAACATCCGACCTTCTTTGTTTGGTTTTCTCTATTAAACATCTAACTAAACTAACTGGGCAGATGTTCTTATCAGGATGTTTAGACAGCTTCCAAGCAGATTGGCGGCAGTCATGTCTGTCAGTCTTTGAACCAAATGCCGGTATTAAATAGATGTTTTGTCCATTATCAAGATAGTTGTCTTTGGAAATTCGCAACAAGGTAAGATCGTGGACTCTACGTCCAGAAGCTAGCAATAACACTGTTGCTGTTCTACGCGATATTTCAAAGAGCGTATCTTTAGGTGAATTAGCTGAAAGCCATTCCAGAACTACATTTGGGTCCCAACTAACAAATGACCTAACTGATTTTGGTTTAGCTACCCCGATTGCCTTAAGGGCATGTTTTATAATGAAGTTTGTAAATGTTTGTTGTTCTACATAAGGCCCACAGAAAGTTAATACAGCCGACTTGTGTACCAAAATAGTGCTATAAGATAAGTTTTCGTTAAGGAAAAGATAGATTAAGAATTTAGCAATGTCAGCAGGATTAGGTGATTTTGGATTTACTTGAGTACTGTTACACCACTTCAACCATCTTTTAATGGCAGGTAGATATGTTGCGAGAGTAGACTTTCGCCAGCTATTTCTTAGCAGCTCCTTCTCTTGTGTAGACCACTCTTTTATTTGGGAACCCCACCCCCAATTTTCCAAACTTTCAAGGTTAATAGATCTACTTGTGGAGGTGGCCGTGACGTTGTCATGTCGATCATTGTTTTCGATAGATTCGGAATTTCGTGTGGGTGATCCAATGCTCTGGACTTCAGATCTTGAAGCCAGAAGACTTGAGGCCACTCCGGTGCCACTATTAAATAAGTCCCTGTCGCGTTGTTTAGGTGTGCCAAGACTCTGGGTAATAGGCTCGGTGGAGGGAATACCCATGCTAGTTGGTATTGCCAAGGTCTGCTGAAGGCGTCTATATAACTTGCTGATCGATCTCTGCAATCTATTGATACGTAGTTTTTTACTACAGCACTTCGTTGTGAAGCAAAGAGATCTATTTCCGGTCGACCCCATTTCCGGAAGACTTCTCCAGTTGCTTGTGGTAAGAGATGCCATTCCGCAACCTCTTTCCCTCGTGACAATCTGTCTGCAATTGTGTTGTACCTCCCTGGTAGATAATGTGCCGAAAGAGTTATCTTGAACTTGTCTGTTAGGGTCAGTAGTTTGTAAGTCAAACTTAGTAGTGTCAACGATCTCGTTCCGCCCTCTTTTCGAATATACGCAATTAAAGTTCGATTGTCCGATTGGATGAGTACATGGGATTTGCTTAACGCTGCAGCGTTTGTTCTGATCGCTGCCATTACTGCATAAAGCTCTTTTTTGTTGCTGTGCCATTTTTGTTGCTGACGAGACCACGTCCCCAACATTAGATGCCCATTTAGATGAGCACCCCAACCCAGATCCGAAGCGTCCGTCACTAGGAAATGAGTAACCGGCTTTTTGTGTATTAGCGAAGAGTGACGTGTGGCGCCGAGCCACCACCTCATCTCTTGATATACCGTTTCGGGAATAAGTTGTCTCTGTCGTGGTTGCCTCTTGTTAAAATGCCGAAGAAAGATTTGTGCTTTCCGACAATGTAACCTGCCTCGGGGTATGACAAAGCTGGTGAAATTTAGCTGTCCCAGTAGGCTCTGTAGTTCGCGAAGCGTGATATGGCCTCTTAGTAACGAACGATCTATGGTTGCTTTGAGATTCTGTATCCTCTTTTCTGGTAATGACATTCTGTTCCTGGCGGTTTGTCAGCGGATACCAAGATATTCTAGGTCTTGAGTCGGAGTCAAGATCGATTTTTGGTAATTGAGGCTCCAGCCCAGATATTCCAAGTGCCTCACGGCCGCCGAGGCCTGAAGACATAACTTGGATTGGTCTTGGTTGACCAGAAGGTAGTCGTCTAGGTAGACTAGTACACGACATCCCTTGGCACGCAGGGTCTCCGCGACCCAGCATGTTATGGACGAAAAGAGATGTGGCGCTGATGCCAGGCCAAAAGGTAGACAGGTCATCTCGTACAGCTGACCTAGGTAACTGATTCGAAGGAATGGGCAGTGAGATTTTGCTGCAGCTACATGAAAGTATGCCTGAGAAATGTCTAATTTTATCATCCAGTCTCCCGGTTGGAGAAAATCTGGCACTGAACTGTGAGAAATAAGGCGAAAATGCTTTATCTTTACGAATTTGTTTAATTCTCGTAGATCGAAAATAGGTCGCATCGATCCGTCGCTTTTCTTCCGCAGAAATAGCTTGGAGATAAAACTGGGCGTTTCTTTTGTAACAGGCTGCAGTATTTTTTGATCCAAGAGGTCTTGCATTATTTGAGTCATGGCCGGCGACGGTTTGGTTGCAAACCGACTCATAACAAGCCTTGTTGGCATTATTAGAGGAGGTTTCTTGTAAAACGGTATTCGAAAACCAGTTATTGCCGATATTATAAATTTGTTCGCGCCAAGTGCCTGCCAACGGTTTTTGAACGTCTTTAGACGACCGCCCCTGAATGGTATTAGATAGTCATATTTTCTTGTTTTTGCTTCGAAAGGACGGGTTTCCTTGTTGTTTGTAAGCATCAGTCTTTCCTTTGTACGTTTTTTTAGTGTTTGATTTTTTGTAGGTATTTTGAAAATAATTTTTATCTTGTCCTTGTGGCCTAGATTTGGATGTTGATGGTATGGATTCATGGTATTTCCTTTTTACTTGGTCCCTATTTTTAGAGATTTGTGGGGGTGATAACCAATAATGAGGCCCGCCGAGGGATTGCACCAGCGACATCAATTGTGCCTTCTCGAATAGAAATTCCTCGCTGGGAGGTATGTTAACGAGAGCGGCTTGAATACTTTTATCAGAAATTTCGCTAATTAATCTTTTACGCCTAGTTTCTATACACTCCGCTCGTTTCCCGCAGACGATTTGTAATGTTTGTTCAGATAATTTATAAGATGGCGACGAATTACCGAACATTTCGCTTATTTTATTAAAAAGGTTATTAGAGGTCAGTTCCGTAGGATTATTGTGAGACCAATTAACAATTTCCTGTAAACCTGATTGTAGCAATTGCCTTTGGTATAGTAAAGCATTGGTAATTGCAGCCATAATTTCCTCCGTTGAGGCCAGGAAATCTTTGCCCTTATTTAAACAACATATTTCGTCATTAATTTTTAAGTTACAAAAGCCTGGGAACGCAAGCATGTCTGCCAATGCTTTTTTATACCGAATGTGTTGCCACGTAGATGAATTAAAATGTTGCAATGTTATCAACTGGTTTAAACGTTGTTCATCGGCTGGTTTAAGAACTTTTTTCTCATCAAAATCAGTTTTACAAAAACCTAAATCTAATGATTTTGGTATAATAGAGCAAGGATTGGTCAAGAAATCATCATTATTCTGTTCAGGTTGTTCAATCACGTCAGTGGTTTTCGCGGTCACATTTGTATTTGATGATGACGCACATTGCTGATGCATAATTAAATTTGTAAGGAAACTGACCTGTTCGTATAACGCGTCGATCCGGAGATCGACCGTTACCTGAGCATCTCGTTTTGATTTCTTGCGCGGAGGTTCCTCTTCTTCAGGTTCGCTGCTTGACGAACTGCTGGAACCGGAAGAGTCCTCTCTCTCTTGCCTTTCCCTCTCGATCGTCGGTGAATTAGAAACGATAGGTCGGTTTGCCTCGATGGCTTCATCGACCTCGCTAGGCGCGCGATTCATTACGATACACTTCCGGTATAAGAACCCGCACAAACACAAAAATACAGATAGATATTGATGTAATATTAGTTATGCTAACACTTAGTAAAATTATTTCTCAAAATATTTAACGGATTATTCTAATATTTTTGGATTTCGACCGCACGCGGCGAAAGTACACAACGCTATGATATTCAAAGTGACAACGTTTTGCCGTGTCCTAGCTGGATTTTCTACTACCGTCAATTTAAAATTTAGTATAGGGTAGTTGAAAAGTAGATGACATATTCTACAGACCGTAAATAAATGGCAAAGTATACACTGCTTCTTCATATACAATGCTGTATGTTTTCCGGAGGCACATCAATGTTTATTTCAATTAGATTTCCAAAAAATATTTAATGTACAGATTCGACTTAGTTACAATTTTATTATATGTATAGATAATATTAAAAATTAGTCAAACAGAGAGTTAAAAGAAAATCACAATGAAATTTCTCACCTGTCTTAACATGCCATGTTTACCAAATAAGGATATGGTTGTACCACCCACCACCATAACCTTTCCTGGTCCTGCACAATCATATATTGTCATAGCTAATATTGCATTCCGAGGTAGATCACTATAGTACACTGGGAGGGTCACCCATTCATTCCAACTAAAATTAGAATTGCATACATTATAATTGGTTATTTATAAAAATCTGTATGAAAATAAAAAGGAATATTAAATGTATTGGCAGTTAATAGATTACCAGCTCATCACAGGATTAACTTAAACCAATAGAGTTACAATTTTGTTCATGTATAATATTTATTAAACAATATCTCAATGTACCCTTAAGATTAAGTAATTAAATCTGTTTAGTAAGTAGGTATACTGTTTATGTTATTTCCGAAAATATTTCCCTAGAGCAGGGTTTCCCAACCTTTCTTCTGTTAAGCCCACCGGATTATAAAAATATTTTCATGCCCCCTTTATTTTTTTATTAAAATTAAACACATTATTTTAACAATTTTAATTTTTTAAATTTTAAGTCATGCAAAATAAATTCTCACTACTCCCCCTGGTTGGGAACTCCTGTCCTGATGGGAACTCTGATTCTCCCCCAACGTGCATTCACCTTGTGGAACAAACGTGGTGGGGGGCTCATTAGCATCCGGCAGTTCAGCCGGGCGCGAAGCCAATAAACGTACAGGGAGGTAACCTATTTCGGTGGGCAGTGGTGGAGGCCCACTTTGGTGGGTGGTTTACCATGCGGGTTGCTCCTGGTACTTCTCTGATAGCAGAGTGGATTGTGGAGCAACCCCATGGTTGTTGTGGTCTGCTTTGGTAGACCTACCATCGAGGCGTCGCAGCTGAGTGCGTAAGCGATCCTGCGACACCCCATTAAGACGGGGGAAGCTTTTAGTGGGTAGTACTGGCTTTTCTAACTGGTGAGTCCCACATAACCACCTGTTTGTTACAGGTGGTATGCGTCAATGCATAACGGGAACTCTGATAGCCACCAATTATATTCACTTCACAGGAGGTTAAGGATTCTATATTTTTGAATTATTATTTTTCATGAAATTCTATTTAAGTTATCGTTTTATTTTTAAAACATTTATTCTGAGTGATAATATATATCAAGTTTTAATATACAGTTTTATTGACAATGCTGTTATCTTTGTTCTGATAATACTATATATTAAGGTTCAATAACTTATTTATTAAGCAATTGTTACTGCTATATTTCAAGAAAAAATACACAAATACACATTTATATATTATAAATAAAAATAATACCATTTCTATGCTCTTTCTAAGCAGTTTTGCCTTTCATAATATTTATTTGAAGTAGTTTACTGTTTTTTTTAGTCTTGATGAGTAAAAATATAATATTTTAATACTTACTTCCATCTATTAGTAAAAGCTTTATAAGATGTAGTAACAGGTAGAGCTAGAGGCACCCCATCACATAATACTTGACATGTGACATACAAATCGGAACAGCCTTCTTGGTATAATCCTGAGAATTTGAGCATAGGATCGGATAATAATTTGTCATATTCAGGTTTTGACCTCTTCCCTTCAAGTGTACCTCTGTGACAAATATAAAGAAAAAACAAATTATTACATAAATAATGCTGCATATTGTTTGACAAGGATATTATAACTTTTTAATTAGGTAAGATAATTGAGGTTAATCTAATTTTTACAATCTTACTTATGTAAAATATAAATTTATATGTACAAAGAATATGTAGATACAAGTATAATTAAATAGTACGTATTAGGATTAAAAGACAAAGAAAATAAATATTAAAAGAACTTTTTGTTGAATAAAATGAAACTTCGTAATAGATTGACATATTTTTCTGCGTTTTAAGTCGCACACTAAGAAGAGAATTCGGTGTTATATTTGCAATTGTAAAAGTAAAAGTTGTGTAAAGTAATATAAAATATACTTACACTTTTATTTCTACTTTATGATCTAAAGATGAACTATACACATAGTAAAATTTATCATCGATTTCATTCATTGTTACGTGTTACGAACAAACGATATTTGCTTTATTTTATATATTATAAGTATTATGACATAAATCGTACATCTGTTAAATATGAACACTCGGACAGTTTTACTTAGTTGTTCTAAGAAATTTATTCATCTTTTTATGAAACTATTCGTTTGTTTGCAAAATACTGTGATGATATTGTCAATTGTCATAGTTTTGACATTTGACAGATGCTTTTTCTTTGGAGAAAATAGATTAGAAATAATTTTATCAGCACAAAATAATAAGCTAACGGGCAAGAATGTTGTCTTTTTCTGTCGCCAGATGTCGCGATCACTATAACCCTCAGTATATTGTAAGGATCTATAGCAGTGGTGGGCAAACTTTTTAATGGGGGGCCACAAAGTTTAAGAAATTCTAGAGGAGGGCCAGAATTATAGAAAAGTTAAAGCTTTTAATCATAATATTATAAAAACATTACAGCATTACACACAAATGTTACAAATTACCTTATATTTTTACCTTAAATAATAATTAATTTATCTTTTATTCGAAGGTCCTGCCATGGTAGGCGTGTGAGACATATAGAATTGTTTTTGATTTTCCATAATATTTTTGAAAGCAGGTTCCAGCTGTGACAAAGCAACTTTGAGCAGTGCGAAAAGGTGTTTATCAGTCAATCGGTTTCTGATTGAGTTTTTCCACAATTTTAGGTCGTAAAATTTGTTCACACACATAAGACGACGCTAACATCGCCATAATTTTCTGGGCGTGAGCAATCATCTATGAGAATTCAGCTTTCGGCAGTGCTCCATCAAAATCTAGTTTTGTGGAATTCAATTCCGTCGTGGTATAAAAAAAATCAATAACAATTGCTTTAAATGGGTACTGCACTGCATTTCAATAATTTCCCACTGAATATTAAAACAAAATTAGCATAAAACGTGCGGCTCGGTCAGTGATAGCTGGCGAGTGACAAGTGGCGACTGAGTTCATTTTAATCCTTTATGGGATTGAATTTCGAAAAATGTAAGAATACATATTTATGTAATTGTATTGAAAAGCATTAATACCAAATTTCAAGTAATTCTGATCATAAATAACTCTTTGCCCATATAAACTTTACCCCTTTTACCCCTTTAAGGGATGAATTTCGGAAAAAATAAAATAAATTTATTTTTTAATTTTATCTTATAGCTAAACACCACTTTCTGTGTATTATGCTACCAGTCAGCCAGGACCACGACAGGATGCACCTCTCCTTCTTAATTCTACCTTCAACTGGTCTAACTTTCAGATACAATACATTGCACAGGTAGGATGCGAACACAATACGAGTAGAAGCAAAAACCAGATACAAAAGAGATATCATATTAAATTGACGACTTAATGATTTTTAGGCATCGACTTGACGACACGTTTGGCTCAGTTTGTCGTGATGCTACTTGCTGTGCCAGCAGTCGCGGGTTCGAGTCTCGCTGGAGGATTCATTTGCGTGATGAGCGCGATTGTATGTACTCGAGTTATGGATGTTTATATTAATAATATGTAGGTATGTATTTAAAAGTTATATACGTGTAGTGTATCAACTATCTAGTAACTATAACACAAGCCTCGTCTCGTAGCTTACTATGGACTAGATGGTGCTGTGTGTTAATTTCCCAACTAATTAAATTGGTTAAAAATCACATTGAAAGTAAATAGGCCATACGTGTTGCGCCCTCCTTTCGAGAAATCTTCCCCATGTATTTTTGACTATTTAGAAATCATCTCTACATAGTCTGTGGAGAAATCTATCAAAATTCAAACTTGCTCCTACTTCTATTGAGTATTGTTGACATAATCTATGTTGTTGTTCCTTAATCCTTCATGGTCTATGATTCAAACAGACGTTTAGTTTAGTGCAGTTTAGTGTTTTCAGAATAACAAAAACACAGTTAATAGTAAATATTTATGAGTTAAATTAGTAAATGTACAATAACAGTTTGGAAAATACGTTTTATATTAATATTTGCTAACATATTTGAATATAAAAAAGTGAGATCAATTTTTATAAAAAAAACCTTGGTAACTTTGTTATTAATTTTAGGTTAAGTAGTTTGCTAATATCATTGAATATTATAAAGGCTTTTTTGTTGTCCAAATCTGCCTTAAAAACATTTATCTTTAAAATTATATATTGATTTTCCATAAATCTGATCATCTACTAACTTTTTTCAGTACAATGACGAAGCTTTTAGAATGGATATCGGTAACATCAGCTATATTCGCTGTATGGTACTCTCTTGTTGGTGGATACGTGAAACATAAATACATAGAAGAAAACATGACTTTTATATTGATATCGCCTTTAATTTTTGTAATTTTATTTGGTTTGTATGCTGTTACTGTGGTCCTATACAGAGTATTTACATTTAATAACTGTGAAAGTGCTGCTCAGGAATTACAAGCTGAAATCTTAGAGGCCAAGCGAGACTTACATAATAAGGGTCTAAGATGGTAAAACACATTCCAGTTTAATTATAAGTTATCAATTCCAATTTATTACTTATTTAACTAAATTATTCATATCTTTACTTGTTTTTTTTTCAACAAATTTCATGAAATTCTAAGATAACACTGATACTGAGTAATCATTTTTATAAGTGATATTTTTTTTTTATTTTCACATCTTTAATAATTGTTTTAGTCTTAAAATTATATGGCATTACCTTAAAAAATTAAGTAAATAAAACAACTGTCTTCAGACTAAGATTTATTTGAGCTAAATATTTATTTGCATGTATTTACAATTGTAATAATTTAAAAAATATGTATATCTTCACACCATTCTCTTCAAGATCAAAATCAATATACTTAGTATAGATAAGGTACTTTATGGTTTTATAAATTAAAAAGTGTAAGTTTATTGTTTAAGCCATTTGTTATTGGTAAAGGTGTTTTGTTATTATTTTTATGGACAAAGGTATCTTTTACATTAATATTTGATACACAGTACACACAATACATAAAGTATAAAAAAGAATTTACCAATGATAGAAATAGCTTTTTTTAAGTATTTTTATTCTAACAAATTATATATGAATAAAATATTAAAATTTATGCCATCAAATAAATTATTATTTGACAAATACACTGTTTTTGTTAACATTTTTGTAAAGATACCTACATGTCTAGCCTTTTTAACGGATAAAATGAAGGTTTCCTATAACCTAAGCCTTAAAGCTTTCCATTTATGCAAATTAACAACCAGCAACATATCACATACAATTTTTAAACTGAAAGCTATAAGAATAATGGGATGATGTGGTTGTAATTATATTTAAACTGAAAAGAAACTACTTCCCATAAAAATTATTAAAAATAATATGTAATTAAAATGTTGAAATTTTTAAATATATGTACATATATGTTAAATATACCTACATAATATTAACTATTCAATATAATATATCAAATATATAAAGTAAATAAATCCAGAATGGATAGTTATTTTAATTTCAGTTATTTTGGCTTTAACAAAACATTACATAATTCCCACGAATTATATATTTTTGGAACTATAAGTACACAAAAAAATATAATTGCCTTAAACTTATAAAATTGAAGTCATAGTAGACGTTCAGACATTTTCTGTTCTCAAATTACTACAAAATAAATAATATTTACTAATACCTACACGATTTTCCAAAACGTTATAAAACTAAAAATATTAAACATTAATTTTCGTAACTATTTTTACGGCAGAAATGAATTTTATTACGAAACTGTTAACAGTTAACTGGCGTAGTCGGTCGTTCAAGTCCAAGTCGTGCCTGATACAAAAATAAAATACAACTACAAGTTTGAAGTTACAAGTAAAATGTACTTAAATTAAAAGTCAAAACTCAAAAGTACAGTGAAGCACAAAAAATCATGAATATTTTCATTTTTAAACGCATATAATATTTTTTTAACAAATTGAAAAGCTATTATTTGATGTAAATACGATGTTGCTTTATAAAGGCGATTATTTCGATCATTTCATATATTTTATCTTAGTAAATACTAACGTTTTCATCATCAAAATAAATTTTGCTTTTTTTATCACATGTTTGGATGTGATTAGATTTCAGTTGATATGTAATGATGTTATAATATCTACAATTACATATGAGAAATAATGAGTTATGAAGCAAAATTATATTTGACCTTTTATATTATATATTAAGCGAATATTTTATTGTCCAAGCTACTTTTATGATTATGACCTATGTCAAAAGAATTTGGTCATGACGCCTACATCTAGCTTTTTAATTCTAAAACTTGATTTTAAATGATGAAGGTATATAGTTATTTTGTATTTTGATAAGTGAAATCTAATATGGGGCTTGATTTAATGTAGTCAACTCGCATGTTAAGAAAACTGAATGAGTTTTAGTAGAAATCTTAAACTTCTTTTTATAAGTAGTTATCTTATATGTAATGATTAATATATTATCATTATTAATATATTCTGCTGCAGATTTTACTTAAAAAAATAATAACGTGTCTTACGCTATTTTTTTTATTAATTTTCTGAAACTCTTATTGATGAAAATGCACATTTTCTAAGCTTAAATGTAAACTTTATTTTACATTTCTACGTACGGAAAAAGTTGATGAGCTTTTAAAACTACCTACATAATAATTTTTTTGAAGAAACAACGGCAACTAGTCTGTGTCCATAATGATGGTATTGTATGAAATATGCATGTTTTATATAACCTTATTATAGCTGTTTATTAATAAATTTCTATTAAGGGAAGTATATTTCAAATTGATTCTAAATCTAATTACCGCTTGCTAAAAATATTTGAATCTATGGCGTGTAATTTGATAATGTCTTCCTATGTGATTTTTTTTAAATTATAGAATATAATGTTAATTATTTTTAAAGAACATGACATGATAAAAACCCTAGCGAACGACTCACTACTAACCAATGATATGACGTAAGTAATTTAAAGCTACAATTTTAAAGTGCCTATCTATTCGAATAATTAAGAAGTGAAGGATCATAATTAATTCATTCAATATATTCATATATTTTCAGCTACTTTAATATATCACTTGGTTGAAATAGTGGCCTTTTTATGTTGAATTATGTATAAAATCGATGCAATTGTTACATAAGTGTACAGAGCTGTGTAAGGCACACAGATTTACATAATTAGAATAGCACACAATTATGTATAAGAATTCAACATGTAAAATTCGTATAATTTCATGGTCCATAAGCTGTTGCTACCTCTGATGAATTAATAACAATTTGTAACATTTTACAGAACATAAATTTAAGTGTACATTATATTTAATCCTTCCTCATTATTTTATTATGTAAATATACTTCGCGTATGTTTCGTATCGAAAACGAAACGCTAGGGAGTATTTAATGACAAAATTCTACGTTATTTTAACGATTTTATTCCTATACATTCTAATGTAAATTTTACTTGTTAGATGCAGTGCTCTTAGTACGAATTTTAAATTTTAATGACACATATTATGAGAATGTTCAATGTTTTCTGTCATACTACGAGTAGATAAGATGGAACTTGGTCTCGTTTAAATCTGTCATTAAATTTAATACTAGGTTCTTTGGTAATATATATTATTTATTTATGTAGCCAAATATTACAAATTGTTTTTTTTTTTTTAAAAATTTCATGTTATGGACCTGAAATTGAATGCAAAATTTCATACGAGTACATTTACTCAAGTACAGACAGACACATTAAAATATAAAGTAATTTGGCATTGTCATTTTTTGACGACACAGTATTTACATTTTTTTATATCTGTCTGTATATATGTAGCATCTAAGTCACGACACGTAAATATTTAACATAAACAATAATAATTGAAAAATAAAGCGAAAATTCTACTTGTTTACACAAAATTGGTCCAAAAATGTTATTTGTATCTAATTATTTATTATCTGTGTAATAAATTATTTTTAAATCTAATTACTAAACAATATGAAAAACATAAAAAGGTTGTTCGCTTAGTCAACGAAATCGAAATCCAATATTAGAAGAGATTAATTTTCGTGCAAGATATATATTTGTATGTATTTAGGTATATCGATTAAATTATCCTTGTACCTACCAATTTTAACTTTAAGAACATAAAAAAGATAAATTTGAAAACATACAAACTCTTTACGTAACTAAAAAAAGGAGGATGTTTGATCAGATTTAAATTATAATTAATACACTATATGCAGTTATATTTCTACAGAGAACGGCCTACAATCTTCAACTGACTAGGCGTAATTATTTTTAAATGAACTGAATTTTAACGAAACATTAAATTCAAACCTGGCATTCCGCCATTATTTAGTCACCTGGAAAAGAATTGTACTGCCATAATACCGTAATAAATCGTTAGTGACTTGGATCGAAATTCTACATACATAATATGTGTAACATAAATCAATTGTATCTAAATGGAGATATAAACAGCACCTGAAAATTATATTTATTAAATTTGTTATTTGTTTATTGAATGACAGTGACAAAGACATAACAGCATGGATCTAGCTTCTTTAAAACTGAAATAATATTTAAAATAATTGACATAGTAAAATGGCGAGTAAAACAATTGCCCAGCAAATATTAAATTAAAGCAATTCGTGTACATAAAAATTTTAGTAATTTTATATGGCTTTTGTAAAATTACAGTTATCTGTTAATATATAACTAGCTAATAAAGCCTAATTTAACTAAAATGAATTTGTAAAAGGTACTAAAAGAGGTAAATTGGTGTTTTTTCTTTGGCAATTTATTATTTGGAAAAAAGATAGTGAATTTCAAAAATGTTTCAAGAAAAAACTTTTAGACTTAGAATTCATCGTTATAATTAATTATCCTAAGCATTTATCATATCATATCTATAATTATTTACTAAACCGAAGTCTAAGTTTGAAGGGTTGTAATCACAGAATGTTGTGGAAATTTTTATTTTTAAGGGGTGTGTCAGCGAGTAGTGAAGAGTTCTGTCCTCCATTTGAGGTTGAGTTGTTACGAGTTATTTCTGTGAGGCAACTCGTGAAACTAGCTTTTTTACTGAGAAATAATAAATCTGTTGTAGGTTTTTGTTTCGTTCATTAAAGAATACTTGCATACCGATACCCCTAAAACATTGAATGCACCAACATTGTATTGCTTAGATTATTTGTTTCAAACAAATCTTGCAACTGCTACGGCGAGTAAAGAGATGCCCGCTTTAATTTTCAACGATGGTCTGGTGTGTGGAGCGGAGGAGTTTCCAGCGAGGATCAGGGCTCGCAGACGTTGTCTTTCCCGGTATCTAGTGTCTTCCCCGGGCGGGTCGAGGCATTCGAATTCACAGCATCGTTCCCCGACGCGGAAGTTTTTGCAGAACTGTGGAAGAAGGAATATACCTAAATAAGTTGTGAGTAATCATAATTATACTACTAAATCAAATAAATTTGACAACGTCAAAACAAAATTGATTGTGTAATCAAAATTTATTTTAAAATATATCCGAAAATAACATTGAAAATTTAAGTAATGGTATAAAAATTGTTTTAAAAGACAAAAAAATCGAAAGTGCATGTATATTACAAGACTTCCGCGACACCATCCAGACAAAGAGAGATAGCATTCCCAAGGAGGGTTGACGTCAGGCAGGTGGCCGATCGTAAAACTTTTGGCAAATCCTTTCAGCAGTACACAAGATGTACTGCGCCGACCCCGAGTGATTGGGAAATGGGCAGAGCGAAGAAGAAGAATCATAATTATACTACAATTTCTAAAGTAATCTTTAAGGTATTTTGGGCGTGTAGAAACCTGATTTATATATACCTATATAGGTATGTAGCTATAAAAAGTGCCTATAAAGTCGAAGCGAGACAGTAGGTACAACAGTAGTTGAGAATCTTAAATGTGTTAATTATTAAATATCAGTGACAAAAAAAAAATTAAAACACATAGGTAGGTACAAAGAACGGATTTAGCGTCTTTCAAAAAGTGGAATAAGATTTATGAGTAAAATAGTTTTCTTAGTAAATGGCGACGGTTTCCTCCATAGTTTATTGAAATTGTAGTATGTTGAAATTTAGGTAAAATATTATAAAAATAGCAAGTTTTTAAAGACATATGTTAAATTTTTAATGCACATGGCCAGCGTGGTGGGTTATGGCCTACCTCCTCGGCCATTGCCCAGCAGTGGGACGTTAAAAAGGGGACCATACGAATATTTCCGACATAACATCATTATATAACACTTACATAAGGCGGATCACAGTATATAGCTTTACACCACATGGGCTCCGAGTGGTAGCAGACGCAAATGGAGCACACGCCCGGGCCCGGCACGTACAGGAGGCCGTGCGGCACTGACTTGCCCTCCCAGTCTATGCAGTCCTCTTCTACACACGCTGGAACAAATATATTTTGGGATTACTAACATAATTTATAAATGCGAAAGTTTATATGTGAGTGTTTTTGTTACTTAGTCAAACGGCTGGACGGATTTAAATGAAATGTAGTTCATAGATCGTCTATGAACTGGAGTAATACATAGGCCCCGAGAGACACAACTTAGCGAAGCGAGAGGAATATAATGATCTTTTAAGACTTTAATTTATTAAAAAATATAAAAATCAGTCAAGCGCGAGTCTCATTTCGCATCGAGTATTTCGTCCAGCGTAATTTTATATGTTTTTTCTACATATTAACGTGTTACCAATAAAATCAGATGTCATATTGAATTTTAAATAAATATTTATTTTAATTATATTTAATTGGAAATCGTTTTTATTTTGTGTTTATTGTGTTAACTGATTTATTTCATACAAAAGACGCTTGTATCTCTAAGCTCCTAAATATATACAATGTTATGTTACAACCAAACTAAAAGAAATGTGATATGATTATAGATTATTTTTTATTCTCTTATGATTGTTTTATTTTAATCACTTGCTTTTATAACTTAAAACACAAAGCTTATAAAAATAAAGATAACAGCTCTTTAAGACCTGACTTTGTAGGCTTATTAAACACTTGACCCTTTGGGTAACGGTACCATAAAAATAAGGCATTTATTGGGTAATTAAATAATAAGCTTATTAGAATATTGCAAAATTGCACAATAAAGGTTTGCGAATGTGTTTGATAATGTATAGTAGGTACAACCGCATTGCGCCTTTTGCTGGTACTTTCCAGCTGTAAATTATTATGCGTGACTTGCTCTTGGCCAATTTTATAGAAACAGGTCGCTACGATAAGTCGCCAACTTATATGCGGAACTTGAAAAAGTTTTACACGGCTATAAAGCTGGGGTTTAGATAAGAAAGATTTAGTTTATTCCCGCGAGATCCTAAAACCTACATAAACTTCCCGAATGATATGTGATTTCTTCAATTTTTACGACTCTCTGTATTTTTTGTAACATCTCTCTCATACTCATACTATTTGTATTACTTAGCAAAAAGAAAAAAAGTGTATTAATTTTTTTTATAAAACGACTGTAAACTATGACTAATAAATTTAATGAAATTATATTGTTCTTATTAAAATATACCTATGTAAAAATATATTAATTAATTACTTTTTTTTCAAAATGGCTTGTATAGCCATCAATATTAAAAATTTACAAACGTTCGTGCATGTAAAGATAAAAAAAGGAAAGAAATATAATTATTTGAAACTTGGAAGCGTATTGTGCGTCGACGCGACGTTTCTATTATAGGCAGTCGTAACTCGTATACATAAATATACCGTGTTTAAATCGGTTAATAGCAAAATAACGACATTAAAAACTAGCTTTGTATATTTTTGTGATGAAAGATATACGGAATTTAAAATAAACCGTATTTTAAACAACACGTTATTTATAATTAAAAATGGTAGTAGAATTAATTAGGTCGTTTTATTTCGACTTAGGTAATAAATACAGTAAATACAGATTAGAATTACAAAAAAGGATTTACAAAAAAACAGTAAACATTCGAGTTTAATATATGAAATGTTAAAAATATAGGTACTATCTTTACAGAGAAGTACACAAAACTTTCGTATATTCATAAAACCCTCGCATCACTCTTTATTTACCAAATGCATAAAAGGGTGGCAGACAAAATACCTACCAGCCAAACCGTCGCAACTATTTTAAAAAGTAAAAACAGACGACACGAGACGTAATATACACACTGCATAGGTGCGTTAAAGTGCTAGCAGCTAGCTTAATGACGGAAAAATTTCGGCACACCGGGTTCAAAGGATTTTCTAGTATGAATATGGTGCGGTGCGACGAGTCTCGAGGACTGTCTGAGAGGCTAAGTACAGTCGTTGCCAGATATACCTACACACTTTTAGTGCTTGCCGAACTTTTTTGACAGTGCTCAATTAGAGCGACTTTTTTTAGTCTGTTGCTTTTTCTTTATAAATATCAAGTGATGTGAAATAATCTGTGCTTAACCAGCAAATTATACAGTCATTAAATTTAATTGAGTTGAAAATATATTATACTTACATGATTAAATTATTAAACTTACAAATATGTGTACGTGAACAATATTTAGAACTTTTATGAACTTTTTTAATATAGTAAAGAATCTCACGGGAAGGCTTAATATATATGGATATTGCATAGGTATCTATGTACCTAATGGCTAATGAGACAAAAAGTTACTTATACTCTCTATACTATAGACTCTTTGGTTCTTAAACTATTTTAATATGTTACGTCTCTCAGTAGAAAACTAAGAAACAAATATGTAAGTAAAGTGAAATACGTATAAGATATTCTGCAAAGGAAAGGGTCTAGAATATTCCATAAAAAAATATTTTACTCTCGGGTAGTATTACAGTTTTTGGACGTGTCTTCTTTACTCGTACTTTATTTAAATACTGGCGATATACCCCCGCCTTGCTCGGGCCTAGGAACGCTCCTAGGTCTAGGAGCGTCGAGTTGGTACATTTTAAATAGATATAAAAAGTTATTGTGAGTGTACCTTAGTAGATACATACATGCGTATTGCGGACTTTTCTGTAGGCTTTTTTATTACTATTTTCTAATACATAGTTTTGATGTATCCCCTAATGTTTAAAAAACAAATCTTTCTTGTTTATTAATTATTAGCAGATCCCGCGGCTTCGCTTACGGTAAAACTACAAATAAACTAAAATGGTTGGTTTATACAAATGTTCATCCCCTATTTTACCCTCTTATGGGAGGAATTTCGAAAAATGCTGAAACACGTATTTATTTAATTGTATTGAAGAGCATTAATACCAAGTTTCAAGTAATTCTAATCATAAATATTTTTTTGGGTTGTATTATAATGTGTTTTCCCGTGGGAATGAGATAATCTCCCGCGGTATAAAGTAGCCTATATCACTCTCCAGCCTTCCAACTATCTCCACGCAAACTATCATGCCAATCCGTCTGTTTTTTACGTGAAAGAAGGACAAACAAACAAAACACTTTGACATTTATATATTTAGTATGGATTATTAGTAATTTAAAAAAATAAATTATGTACAAATTTTGCTATCTTACTATTTTATTATAGGTTTAATATTACACAATAATGAATGGGCATATTTGAGTTGTTATTTAAGGGGTATTTAAGGATTTCATTGTGACACATCCAGTACATACTTGACCTCTCGTAAATTATTATATATTCGTCTACACGAATTCGTTTGTACGGATACGGTACTAGGTTTGATGATTGGATAGAGCGCTAAGGAAAAACTTCTATTCACTTAACCTATTCATACATTATAGTATTTAATATCCTTCTTAATTAAATTCCTGTATTTATGAATGAAAAATTAAAAGAGCCATTCTCATGCTATTTAATTAATTATTTACTTTACTAATGTAGCCATTAACAAAAAATATATGGGCATAAAAAATAAAAAGATTTGTTCGCGTTCAAAAACGAATTCACACGAAAGCTCAACTTAAAAATTGTAGATAAAAAATAATTAAAACACGAGTATCGCGCTGAAGAGTCGTTATATGACGTGAGTAATTTTTCATTAAATATTTTTTTAAGTATTGTTAATGCTAACATAAATACTTTGTGCTTATAATTTTATAATAAAAGTTATGGTTTAAAGTAGAGTACAATATGAAAGACGAAGCGCATGCTTTGTCTACTGTCATCCTCATCGCTTAAGGATAAAATTTAATTGTCGTTGTAAATGAATAATTACTTCATAATAATATACAAGTATATAATATTTTATCACTCAACTGTTTGTTACAAAGGTTAGTATAACACTTGTAAATTCTTAGGGGCTTTTATTTTTTATAGGGTTTACTGACAGTCTGAATGCGTGTCACTTGAAAAATGTACTATTAATGAATTCATTAAAATATTTTTTTGTTACTAAAACTGAAACTTCATTATTATTGTAATTTATTCGGAACATTTTACTTTAATCTTGTAAAGTGTTACTTTAAAGTAGTATAGATTTACCAAATAATAAGTTTGCGTGATCTTTGACATTAAAAAAATGCTTAACTGTTGATCCAAGATATATAAGGCTCTTTCAAATTTTAGTCAAATCCATAGAGTATATTGCTACATATATAAAGTCAAATCCATTGAGCCATTAGAACTTAAAAAAGTAACAAACACTCAACATACACTTCTACATTTATAATATAAATTAGTTAAAGACAAATATAAACATAATTTGAAAGCATCAATAGAAAGTTATTTAAAAATCATAACATAAGTAAATATTCTAAATTTAATAATAATAAAAGGGGTATCGATTAAAATACAGGAAGCCCCACGGCATGTGTTCGCCATTCTTCGAGCTCCAGCAGACGTGAAACCGTAGCAACGCGTAATGCTCACCGTCTGCTACAAATTCGGTTGTTATTTTACACTTTGTTACTTTTATTTTATTTCCGAAGCCCTTCAAAGCTTTTTGAAGTAATGGTTAAATAATTATACTTCTGAAAAAAAAGATCAAAGCTTCCTTTGGCTTTTTCTTTCGCCAGATCTTCTTTCTGTGTAATGAATAGGACTCGTTAAACCAAAACAAATAAACTCTACCTCTAAAGTTGAACCAAGAGATATTAGCTATGAGCTTTTCGACTTAAAAAAGCTTTAAGACTCTATAATTGCATTTTTTTCATATAACTGTATTCTAAATGTTAAAGAACTTATATAAGTTTTACAAATGAAGCTGAATTGTTTTGAGTTTCAGAATTCTTATCATACTATAATGATACATATATTATAATCAAGCCAAAATCGCTATTTTTTGTCCGTCAGTTCCTACAAATCTTTAGATTGTCTTAAACCATTTTTACGGAACTTTCAACGGCGAAAAGAGGACTTAGGTGAAGTGATTAAGTTTTGTATTTTCTGCGAGTCTTGCTACGTGGTTGTACTCCGACTGCATAATA